GATCTGGGTCGACATTGTCGTCGCCGAGAACACCAGCAGTGGCTCTAGTGAGTCGAGCATGGCCGCCAGCAGCATTATCATGATGCCCCAGCCGGCGAGCACGGGAACTGCGAGCGTTCCAGCTGCACAGGATGAGGCGACGACCGCTAGTGTGAGCGCCGCCGCGCACGACGATGACGTCGACTCGCAGAGCAGCGTCAGCTTTTTGGACGTGCCGTCGGATGAGGAGGATATCTTTGAGGACAGCCAGTCGCGCGCGGGACCGAGCCCGGCGGCGCCTGGGCTGCGCAGCCCTGCAGACGAGTTCGTCGTGCTGTACGACAGCTCGGATGACGAGGAGTTGCTCTGAAGGAGTGTGTTGAGCGTCGTGGTTTCATCTGGTTTCTGGTCTCGCATCATATCATCTCTTGCTCACTCTCTTTGACTGACTGATTGGATTGAAGAAAATATTTTAAAACCCCATACGTTTCTCATCATCTTGTACAGTTAATGCTAGGCCTTTGATGGGTCACCTCATACAGTATGCGCACTCGGCGGTTTTTCACATGTCCCTCCCCTCCTTACATTCACCTCTGGCCTTGAACCCTTGGTACTCATTGACTCTGACTCGACTGATTCGAGATGTAACAACACGTAGCATTGCTCGACGGAATAGCATTATATCTTCCGTCGTACTCTTCAAGTTTAGGGACGGCGGCAGTCGTGCTACACCCTACCAACAAAGCGCGAAATGAACGATGGGTGCTCAACTCTCACCACCATCATGTCCTCAACTCAAGAAATCAATATCTCCATATCCCTAAAGCCGCCTGCTGATACCACTGCCCCTGCCAACCTATCCGCTACCTCTTCCCACGCCTTTCCTCTGTCGATCGCACCGGATGCGCAAGGCCATGCGGCATATTATGCTGCCCTACGCGCCGCGTTGGCGGACGCTCGCGCGAAAACCGGCGACGAGTTGACGCAATGGAGAGATGTCGTGGGGAAGAGCGAGCTGGGAAAGGAGCCAAAGAAGACTGTGACGGACGAGGATGAGGGAGACGAAGAGGAAGAAGAGGAGTGAGAAGAGGCGGCTCGAATGTCGAACGACCTTCAGACGATGACAGTGAGCGAGATCTTCTCTTCTTCGTTGAGCTCGGCGTTTACGATACGCCATAGCCGTGTATTATCACTCTGCATGTACAATACAAGTAGCTATACGGTCACTTCACCGTGCGATGTCGCCGTGATTGACACACGAGGATGCATCCGCGACGCCATTACGTCGCATTTTGCAACCCTCTTCAAACGTCCACCCTCAACCTCCCAGTCGCTCTTCAACTCAAACGCATAACCCTGAGGACCTCCCGCTCGTACATCTCGTCGTTGAGCTCGGGATCGCATCCTGTTGCTAACCTCGCGCCATGAATCACGATGCACCATTCCGGCGATCGAGAATCCCGTTGCCTCATCCTATAGACCCGGACTGTACATTTGAAGAGGCGATGCGTACAGTGATGCGAGAGGATAACTGGGCAACGGCTGTTCAACAAGCAGAGCCATTCGTCCCAGTCAAACCGGACGAAATCCTGAGGCCTGGCGTTGTTGATCCCTTTCGCAATCTAAACCAAGCCCTCAGTGCACTACCTTCCCCATCCATCGATCTCGATCTCTCGCTTTCTCCTTTTGATCCCCGAATTGTGAAGCTCGCGAGTTATCCCCATACGCTTACCAAGGAACTCCGTGACGCGGAAGAGTTTCGCCGCCTTTGGACCTTACTGCTTGATGCGCCCTCCGACTTCATCCAGGTCTGGCGCATCTTTTTGGTAGAAGACGACCCTCGACGCAACTACATGCTCACTCTCGCTTCTGATCACGCGTCCAAGGTGGACCTTCGCCGGACTTGGGAAAGACTCATTCTAGGCGGCCTATGCGATCTATACCCAACACTCTTTTATCGAGTGCACTCGCCTGTAAGATGGATCAAAATGCCGTATTCCCTTGAGCCCTGGATGCTCACATTCCATATAGGCCTCTCTCTTGTCTATTCTTATTATCGGACGCGGCGTTCTGGAATGGGCCTCTTGGGACCCGATGACAACGCAGCGGGCGGCGACTACAACAAAGTTCTTGCAGCAACTGAACGAGTTTTGGAAGATCATGTGGGTCAACATACCCCTTTTCAGAGACGATACTCCTTTCGACAAGAAAGCCCACCGTTTGAAATGTGAACCATTAAGTCTTCGGGATGCATTGCAGAACATGATCGCTGCCTATCTGTCCATTACAGAGACCGAGTGAGTGTTGCGATACTCACAAAGGGCTGAGAGCTTGGTGCTTATCTACCACTCTCCAGGGGGCTGCGAGGGAACTGGGTACCGGAGCAAGACTCTTGCAAGACTTTGTGCCGAATCCTGTTCTTCTTGTGGCATAGCCCTCCCGGCAGCGAAACCACAATCATTCACAAGCACTTCGTCTTCAACATGCTAAATACGCTATTTGATCCGAGCTGCCCGTTCACTTGCCTCGCCCCGAATGACCGTAACGACTTCATGGACGAGGAAGTCGTCGCCGGCTTCGGGGCTAATCGTTTTCTTTGCCGTGTTGCCACCAACCTGGACAATCCGCCTACAGTGTTCAAATATGACTCTTACGTGGGGAACACACTCATGTCCATCATCAACGACGTAGGATGCATAATCGAGCGACCGGCATTCAGACCTCATCTAGCGTCATCGGGCATACTCCGAGCAATCCGTGACTTCGCAGATGTTCCTCGCAAGCATGGGCTTGTGACGAGTGCGGATGATTTGTGGGGACTCTTTGACAATGTCCTGCGTGTGCTCGAGTACGTGGTTATAGTGACCGCTCTCACGTTCCTTGATTGACCCCTGATGACGATGAACAGTCTGGTACTGCGCAGCGCAGCGATCTCCCAGGCCGCTAAGCCTCTCCTTCGCGATTGCGACGTCTTCGGTCTTCTTGCGGAGGCGTCAGTCCACTTCGCAAACGCTCCCTCAACAGAACCCGGTCACTGTGCGTGTTTCAGGTCTCCGATAGCATATAATGAATTAACATAGAGGCAGCGTCGATCACGCACGTCTTGAGCTTCTATGTGTTGATCGCGGGTGGTGTACAGGCGCAATCAGGGCGAGAGCAGTTGCATGAGTTGCTGCTACAATCTATACGACCTGTGTGGTATCGCACCATTCACCATCTCGGGCGCATTCAGAGACGGGACACGTCGATCGCGAAGAAGTGTCTGAAGCTCATTTCTGTCTGGATGAAGTTGGGAGATATACTTGCCCTTGAGGAGGATGCAGAGAAGAAAGAGTACGAACGCTCGATGAAAAGAGAGGCACAAATGTGCGCCTGGGCCGCATGTCAGTATCACAAGATGCCATCTGGCAGTCCAACGCGTGCGTGTGCGGGTTGCGGCGAAGCGGTATGTCTGAGACCGAGAGCGTGCGTAGTGGAAAGTGCTGATCTTGACTATAGCGCTATTGTAGTCGCCCGTGTCAACAAAGGTGCGCATACGTGTCTTCTTTTGCGTCATCGGTGGAAGCTGAACATATGTTTCATACAGTGATTGGAAGGAAGGGGGCCACAAGAAGCGGTGTAAGCGAATCAAGCCCGAAGCCCATACGTCTCGCAAGGGAAGGCAAACGGTGTAATCATCACGGACGCTTACATCAATATCCTTCCTACGTCGGCCACTCTTACAATCGGAGATTATGTAATACAGAGTACAATCCCACTGAGAAACGGGTTTAACCACATGGTAGCACTGAGGCGCGTAGCCAGCCGTTGAACGTCGTTTGCATGACGTCTACGCGCCTCATGCAGCCCTTGCTACATTCCGCTCACTAGTCTTGCGCTTGGCCTTGGCATTTCCAAACATGGGATCAACGCTCGCTGGCGTGAAGTCGTCATCTAGAGGTCCTTTGAGTTGAGTGCCGGCTCATCCAGATATATCCAAGCAGTCGACGCACCGATAGCTGATATCTCGTCCATGAATGAAGCCATAGACCCTCCCCACATGCCTGCACCATTTGACCCCCCTGCGAGGCGACGCGGAGCAGCGTCGCTTTCGCTCATCAAAGAGTGTTCGTCGGATACTGCGACGGCCTGGGAGATCTCGTCGCTACGAGATAAATAGTCTGAAGGCTACAGTTCAGTGATCCAAAAATCGAATATGGTCGTCGGCACTCACCTACGGTAGAACGGAGGCCCAGGGGAACGGCGTATATTGTCGAGAGAATCGCCGAGAGAAAAGTAGCGAGCAAGCAGCGTTGATTGAACATCATGTAGTGAATGTGAATGTGAAAATAGGAAGCGCCGAGAAACAGCGACCAGAAATGAAGTGAAAGGGGAAGAATCGACGGGATCGTGAACGGAATACGAATAGTTAGATCGAAAACATCAGTTGATCTTCTGCCCTATATATGTGTAGGAAAGCCTTCGTGCTTGATTTGAGCATTCTCATGATCCATAACAAGCCCTGGCTTGAGAAGTTGATCAATAGCAGTCCAGCAGAAGCAAAGAAGATGACAGATCCAATAGCGACCGCCGGCCTCACCAGTCCGGGAAGGATTGATGGCTACTTGTACCAGGCTGCAATGTCCGAGTTGGCAAGGTAGGCGGTTTGTAGTCGGAGATGAGAACCTCCTGGATTGCTGTCTAAGAGCCAGGATGGTTCGAATAGGAAGCGTTGAAGATAGACGGGCTCAGATAGAGGCTGCTTGGGGATGGACATTCGCAGTATCAGACGCAAAGACCTGAACTATCGACGTGGCGCTGTCGTAGTCCACGCGTTTCTCCGGCGCATCATCACACCACCCGGCCCTCGGCCACTCAGTTTGTATGGGAGGAATGACTGTGCGTGAACATGATGGAAGGAAGCCAAGGTTGCACTTGATAGCGAGAGCAGGGACCAAGAGGCGCCGTGATTCGTCTAGCTCACTCGTCCGGCAATGACCGGACCTATCACATGAGTTTCGCATCGCGATAGCGCGACGCGCCAAATACGCGTCTTCGCCGACACACACTCGGGTAACGCGCCGCTATGACAACGCGAAAAGATATCTTCTATCCCTACCACGAGTTCGGCCATACGTTGCGAAGGGTAATCTACGGATAAGTCCGGGGAATCCCATCCATCAGTCGCCGCGTGCGCGTCTGTCTGTCAAATCAGGCGAGCTGGTACATGAGCTTGAGCGAGACGTACATCCACATGCACCGCACCTGCCTAGCCGTCCATCGCGGTGCGTACAAAGAACATGCCATTCGAGCCATCGCCGTGCATACCGCCGTCCGAGCGCTTGCGTGTATGCTCGCTTCCGCCAAGGAGACTCCCTTCAGCATTCCAGTGCGGTAGAGCGCGAGCATAGCTTGATTCCGGGCCGTTGTCTCTGCTCATGCGCGTGCGCTGGCTGTCACCGAAGATGCCCGCCTCTCCGTCTCCACCAGGGAGGTCGCGAGTGTAGACTGTGGTGCCGTCAAGATCTGCTGCCTGACCTGGGAGAGGCGACCAGGCGCAATAAGTACTCACCTTTGACTGACGGATAGGGCATCGCTGCTGTGGGCCACAGAAATGCCACGAGAGTGAGAATGGTGAAGATAGACGCAAAGAACATCCTTGTTGTGGGACCTGAGACAGATTGAAAGAGGCTGAGCTGTAAGTAGTAGCGAATAGGAAAAAACGCAAAGATAATAAAATGAAAGAGAAAATGGTGACAAATGAGAAGTAGAATGAGAATGAGAATGTATATCATCTTCATGTGAGGCATTTTTATACTTAGGGACGGTGAATACTTTGCGCGCTGGGACAATGACCCACGCCACGCAGTCAGGCTGTACACAGAGAACTGACGAACATTGGACGTCGAAGACTGATGATCAGCGACGTTAACTCAGGTGAGAATAGTTGCAGACCTGACACATACGCAGTAGTGCAAGGGCATGATGGCTTAGCGAAGGATAGAATGGCTAGCATTGGTGAATTGCACTGGGTAGGGCTTGAGGGTCTCTCTGCAGCCCAAGGCTCGACGCGGATAGACTTCGCAAGGATCTGGTCTCTATCATGAATCCTCGTGGATACACGGCTAGCGTGAGCATGGATCTGCCACAGCCCCTGACTTTCCCAGAAAGCATCAATGGAAATGGCAAAGAACATGCACATTAAACCTCCAACCCTGCAATCAATCGTTCCAGTATGACATATGTACAGCCGAAACACGACATCTGTGAGCCTCAGGGCGCACGGATCTGACCGTTATCCAGCGCGCGAGACTGATGCTCTCCACGCGCGGCAGGGCCCCAAAGGGCACCCTCAGATGCGTCCCGTAGAGCACGACGCCTATAACTTGGTTAGATAAGGTTCATGTGCGGAGCTGTGGGAAGAGAGACATACGCGATGTCAGAGCCATCCCGTGCGCTGAGTTGGGTGTTGCTATCGTCGATGGATTGACCAGTGGTGGAAGGCTCGTTGTCGTGCCCTCCGAGGAAACCGCTGCCAAACATGCCGCCGGCCTTGTTGAACAACTCGCGAGGCCTGAATTGCGATCAGTCTCTTGCACACTCATAGCGGTCAAGTAATCACATACTCATTCGCGGGCTTTCCCAAGGACACAGCACCTGGCCCTTCATCACCAAACGGTAGACCAGTTGTCGGCACACCAACCCGCTTGCCGTCGATGTTCGTGATCTCGCGCGCTTTCAGAATGCGGACGGATGGAGGGAAGTCAGGAACCGACGACGGCGAGGGCAAGTCGGAGCAGTCGACGCCGGCGGTAGTGTTGCACACGATGCGCTTGTTCGCGTCACGTCTGAACAAGGCGCCCGCAGCTTCGCCTCCGTGCTGAAGGCCAATTGGCGGTGTGATATGTTGGGGTTCACCGAAGAACCCATTGCGCGCCTTGACTGCCTCCTCACGCGTATCGAGTTCCCTGAAGGGTACTGGTAATCCTGGTGCTGTCGTGGACACAGTAGTAGTCGGGCACTCGAGACCGGTATCGCCGCCGCAGACGAAGCGTTGACCAATGTCGGTGCGTCCGTATACCATGCCCGACGAGTGATTCCCATCCTGAAGGCGCTCGCCATCGTCATCTACAGAAGCATCAGATCAGAGGTTTTGCTGCGGGGCGCTGTTGCGAACAGAACGCACCGTCGTCACGCTTGAAGATGATCCCGTTGCTCTTCAGATCTCCCGGCAGCTCCTTGTTTCCTCCAGAGAGAATGGAGTCGGGGAGTTGCCGCCCAATAATGGTCACACCGCTACCGCTACCGCCAGGAAGCGTCGCACCGTCCCGACCGAAGAGGTCTCCGCGGGATTCTTGTCCAGTGGGGATGCTGCCGAGCGAAGCAGGCGGAGCAAACACGAAGTCACTTTCAAGGAATGAACCTGTGAAGAGGAGATAGGTCAGTCAACTATGTCATCAAGAGAACAGTGCAAGATCAAGACGGACCTCGAGCGCTAACACGTGCCTGTATAGTCCCAGCACTGGAAGAGATAGGTGCAGCGAGCGACGGCGAGAACTGAGCCGCGGCGAGAACGAAGACGGAAAGGGTGGAGAAAGAAGTATACATGGCGAAAGAAATCCGATCCAAATAAAGTGAAGCAGAAGGGAGAAAGAAAAAGAAGATCCACGAGAAAATATAAGAAAAGGCAAAGGAGAAAGGGAAAGATGCGTTGTTGTCATGATAGGCGCGCTGCTAAATACTGATTCGGACGCTTTGGAGAGGATGTTGTGCGGTCAGAAAGACAGGCCATGCGCAGCTTCGTTCTTGATGAACACGTCCCGGAGGACTAGTTCGAAGCCTTGCGAGCGAATCATGAGCGCGATGTCATAGGGTAGCATGGCTGAATATGTCGTGGTCAGGACCTGATCAACACAGCCGGAATATAAGATGGACTAACGGGGATATCACAGAATTCGGAACTGATTGTCCGCGGGAGCCACACTTGAAGATCTTCGTTCGGGCACCGCATCAAGTCTCCGTACGACTATCAATAGGCCAGTCGAAAAGCATGGGCGGAACTTTGGAAGGTAGGTGGATCTTCTCTTGCAACCTACACTGGACCATGTCCGCGGCTTTCGGAGCCAGTAGCGCGAGGCGCAATTCACCATCAAGCAATTCGGACATAGCCGGAGGACTACTCCGCACTTGAACATAACGAACTTACAAGGTTCGGTCGACTAGCATTCGTCCAGGCTTTCGCATGAGTTCGCAAGATACGCTGCATAGGAAGGAAACGTGTGGATGCGCTCTACATTATGGAAGAATTTTGGATATTGGGAATACCACCGCACGGGCTCGGATTGTCTCTCTACGACCAGAGTCCATCCAGTCACCTATAGCGATATATATGAGTACATAGAGAGTTGACAGTAACTGCAGATACGCACACACAGCACCAGGTCCACCAGGCAGCACTTGCTCAGTGGGCAAAGAGCTCGTCGACGGTCTCGACACCTGGATACCGCGTATGAGTACGATTCGACGCATGTGTTTCAAGATTTTACTCACCAAGCTCCTCCCGTACGCCCTTGAGCTCGTCAAGGTATGCCTGGTACTGCTGCTTGTTCTCGACCTTCTCCTTGACACCCTCGAACACGCGAACGGCCGTCGCGTAGTCGTCGACACGGCGCGCTGCGCGGAGTGCGGCCTCTACGACGGCGGGTGCGGGCACGAGATCGTGGGCAAAGCAGTTGTTGAGGCCGCGCTGAACCTCGAAGAGGTCTTCGGCCGTCTGGAAGAAAGAGACGTAACGCTCGGTGAACTGCTCGAAGGTCTCCTCGCCGTGCGCGCTGGACGCCCAGCGAATGGCCAGAGCACGTGCAGGGGTGACGGGTGCGGCAGGGCGGGCGCGGAGGGCGGCACGGGCGAGGACGGTGCGCATCATGGTGGGCGACGAGTACGAGGTGGTTGGTGTTTAGGTCAAGCTCGTCGTTGAGGCCTTTTCCCGCTCCGGCGGCCCCCGGCCTGTCGGACGCAGCTTCCGGACCGCGCCTGGCCGCGCGCGTTTTTGCCTCGATTCTGATTCGCGCCTTGCCTCTCACCACTATGGCAGCTCAGTACTGCTCAGTACTTGATACGATCTCTCATCTTTCGGACGTGAACTCCGTTGACAGGTGAATATTGTGTCCCTTAGATGAGTGGCCGTCACTCAGACATGGAATGTCATTCTCTACCTATCATCGCCATCACCGGCCAAGGCCGCGCTGGAGTGTCAAGTGATTTTGACGAGGGCTTTGGCAGCCATCGCTGTGCCGGGCGCTCGCTGACTTGAATACGAGCTCAGATATTCGAGGCTCTTGAGGCCTCATAGGAGAGCCGATCCAACGTTTGCTAGATGAAAGTTGCATTCAACTCTATAAACACTGGACAAATCAAACACATTCTGCCTCTGCCTTTGCGTAAGCCCAGTCCATCTACTTACTCGCCTTGACATGCAGTTGACCGTAATCGTACGGAAGCGCGGCGACATCGCACAGTCAAATGATATAACTTGTGTTGGTTGCTAAATGTTCTGAGGCGCTGCGCGGAGATATCTTGCAGGGCCAACTCGTCACGATTCGTGGCCAAGAGCGTCCGTCAGCGCCGAGATCATGTGATTGTATGGCAAGCAGTGTACTTCGTATGCCGAATCGACGAGCGGGGCACTCTCGTTCTCTCCGCCAAGCAGTTTCCTACCAATAAGCCACCGTGCCATTCGATCAAGAGCTCCACAAATTGTTGTTTTGGCCCGATGATGGCGGTTTAGTGGCTGGGCTACGACGTTGGTCTCTACGTTTCAGCGGGCTTTCCGGCCCTCAACGATCCAGGGCCTGTTGCGTGCAGAAGAGAATGGCTGCCGTGAGCATATCTTCATTGTCTTTGTTAAATCCGCATTAACGCCTACTGAGCGATCCTCACAGGTGGTCGCGCAATCCTCATCTACAAAGCGAGGTCGTCCTATACCCAACCTCGACGAGCCACCAGCAGTTCCGCGTCTTTTGCGCAGCCACGCATCAGCCTGCGACCCGCCTATATTCGGGGTGGAGCACTATTGATGTCGGTCTGATGGCGGGCCACTCGTTCAGTGTCACTGTTGGCCTCCCTGGACCCTCGATCCCGACGATGGTATAAAACCATTCAGCAATCCTCTCCTTACTCTCCAGCTGTGCTCATTCCTTCGTTCTTCTCAGGTGCTGGTTACCTCGAGTCCTCATCGTCCTCCCTTCGTTCTTCGACTCCACGCCCACAGACCAGTCTATTCTCGTTCTTACGACCTCTCGCTCGCTCACGAACTGTTCTCACTTTTACACTTCCTAACTCGTCAATCATCTTCACCATGCACGCCTCCACTGTCGCTCTTGCCCTCTTCGCCGCCACTCAAATCCTCGCCGCCCCGACCCCGGCCAACAGCAACAACAACGCGCGGTCCCTCTCAGCTATTGAGAACTTCTTCTCCAACCTCAAGCGTGATGAAAACCTCGACGCGCGCTCGCTCAACGTCATCGAGGGTCTCGTGGACGACATCTTCAACAAACGCTCTCTGTCGTTTCTTGAGAGCCTCTTTTCCAACGACAAGCGCGACGAGCAACTCGACGCTCGTTCACTCACGGTCATTGAGAACTTCCTCAATAGCTTCAAGCGCGGCGAGGATACTGACACTCGTTCGCTGGAGCCCCTCAAGCTTGTCCAAGGTTTCAGGAGTGACCTCGACAATCGCTCACTCAAGGCTGTCGGTGCGGCGGTTGCCGGCGGTGTTGCATCTGGTGTCGCCGGTGCTGTTGCCAGCAATGTTCTTGGGTACGCTCACCCTTCTCTTCATCTTGGTCATCCGCGCTCACTCTACTCTCAGGCGCTCCGAGCTCTCGGGCTTGATGGTCGACACCGAGACTGGCACGATCTACGCGGACATTCCCGACGCGAACGAGGTTCGCTCGCTCAAGGCCGTAGGCGCCGCCGTAGCAGGTGGTGTCGCTTCAGGCGTCGCAGGCGCAGTTGCTAGTAATGTGCTTGGCCGTTTCGAGCCTTCGGGCTTGATGGTCGACACTGACACCGGCATCATCTACATGGACGTCTCTGATGCGCCCGAAGGCCGTTCGCTCAAGGCTGTCGGTGCCGCTGTTGCTGGCGGCGTTGCCTCCGGCGTTGCAGGCGCCGTAGCAAGCAACGTTCTTGGCCGCTCTGAACTCTCTGGCTTGATGGTCGACACCGAGACTGGTGTCATCTACATGGATGTTCCCGACGCGCCCGAAGGTCGCTCTCTTAAGGCCGTTGGTGCCGCTGTTGCCGGTGGCGTCGCTTCGGGCGTCGCTGGTGCGGTCGCGAGCAACGTTCTCGGGCGCTCAGAGTCTGGTCTCATGGTCGATACCGAAACCGGTACCATCTACATGGACATCCCCGATGAAAACGGTGCTCGGTCCCTCAAGGCGGTCGGCGCGGCCGTTGCTGGTGGTGTTGCAACCGGTCTAGCCGGTGCTGTTGCCAGCGATGTTCTTGGTCGCTCGGAGCCGTCCGGCATCATGGTGGACACCGAGACCGGCACGATCTACATGGACGTACCTGACGCCAACGAGGGTCGATCCTTGAAGGCTGTCGGTGCTGCGGTTGCTGGCGGCGTCGCATCTGGCGTTGCTGGTGCCGTTGCGAGCAATGTCCTCGGCCGTTCTGAGCTTTCGGGTCTCATGGTCGACACTGACACCGGCGTCATCTACATGGATGTTCCGGACGAGCTGAACGCGCGCTCGCCCAGGGCGATTGGCACTTTTAACGCCGGTGGTGCTGCATCTCTGCTTACCCGTGCTGATGCCAACGAGGTGTTGGGCAACGACAAGTACGTCTCTTTCTCGCCTGCACCTCCGGCATAGACTGATTATAGATTCAGGCGCTCGTTATCCGTCATCGAAGGTCTCGTCGATGATATCTTCAACAAGCGCTCACTATCTGTCATCGAAGGCCTGGTCGACGATATCTTCAACAAGCGTTCCATTGACGACCTTGAGTGAGGAACTCATGACTACTGTAATGACATGGATGACTGGTACACACGCCGCTGGCGGCGCTGTGGGATCGTGGATTTGAATTACTTCTTTTACTTGTAGGACTCGAGGGATGTACTACTAGCACCGAATTGGAACTTAGCATTGCTCATTTCACCGCGCGATTCCTGAGGTTCAGCGCTCGAGGTGATCGACGCCAGCCAGACTAGTGAGCCATGGCCGTCATGCACCTCATCACTTTGGCTTCAGAGGCCGAGGATCGTGACTACAATACTTGCGATATCGGAAGATCTTCGAATGCGCACGAGATGGACGTGATGCTTATCATCAGCTAGTGCACTGACACCTACTAGCCGTAGCTTCGTTGCTTCAGGAATATAGCAAATGCGATGGCATCTGCGGTTTAAATTGGAAGGTGTGGATATCTCATAGTATCGGCGTAAGGGATACTGATTCACCGTCACGGCCCAGCTAAGGCAAGGACGCAGATAAGGAGCCCCTCAATCAACATCAACCATAGCACAAGAGCGATATCCGAGTCACCGTCACTGCCTCATTTCAGCTGTATGCCATTTCCGTGGTTCTGGTTCTGTAGACCATGGGCAACACTCGCCGTCGAAGAGGGTGTAGCATGCGCCGTAGAAGATGATACTGCACCGTGATGTGATGTAGTCAACGCCGAGTGATGCGGAGCTACTGTATCATGCATCAGTATCAAGCTGAGCAGCAGCCTTGAAAGTATACTCACAGCCTCGCTTAGAACTCTGATCCTTGCTGACGGGGATGTTGAACATGCGCGGAAGGATCGCGGTCCCTGCGGAGGGCTGAGGTCGTACATCCTGACTTGGAAGAGGATTGGAAGTTGCAGTTGTCGCTGAGAGACCTTGAGGACCGTCATCGGCCTTGAATGGCATTCCATTCCAGGGACCCCAGCGACCGCCACCTGGCATATTTCGACTTGCGATATTAGACTCTAAAAAGATAGTCAGACAAGGGCATACTCATACGTATAACGCAGAAGCGCAAACCTTGACGGATATGGAATATCAAGTTGCCGTCCCCTGTGGCACGTGGAGAATCATCGCCCAGCGGCAAGGAGTCTGACCAGGTCATGGTTAGGAAATGATGATAGCAGTAGTGTTGTGATATACCACGATGAATTAGACTGGAGGGAGCTGCCGTGGCGGGTACAATGCATACGACGGCAGCAGTCAACACTATCAGAACCCGGGTGTGAAAGTAAAGCATGATGAAGTCCAAGAGAAAAAAGGTAAAGGATCAGGCTGAGCAAAGGCGAAGAATGAATATGAGAAGAATAAAAATGTAATAGAAGGAGAAACGAAGGGAAAGCCGAAGGGAAAGCGAAATTGGCCGGGAGTGGTCATGCCACGCAAGGCTTTATAGGCCGAGGGCGACCGCTTTGGGCAATGGACATGGCATCCATGAGATTGAGAAGAAGTACTAGGCCACCAGATTCTCGGTACCGGTTTCTAGGTGTCCGATATGGACCTGCGCAAGTGAGGCAAGGCGGTATGGATCGTTCCCTGCTCGACATGCTGATGATCATTGCTGTCTCCGCCTGGGTGAGACGCGCTCATCGCTCAACAACCAAAGAAGGGCATGACCACGAGGTGAATCTGGGTGAATCGAGTAACGGGTTGCAATATGGCAAGGAGAGCTGTCATGATTCAGAGGCATGGATACATGATGGGTATTCTGTATGAATGGTGGTGGTTCGCTGTGACGTGCAGATTTGATCATCTTCCTTATTACCCACACTCTCGGAAATTGCCGAGCACGTTGTCGAGCATAGTATGGCACTTTCTCCGACCTTTATGCAGTGGAAGAGAATGAGACAAGGTATGTATGGACACCGATAACGGAACATGGTCCTTAGAGTCCTTCCCAAACTTCATCTACCCCCTCGACAAGCCTCCACTTCTCGCCGTTCAACCATCTTTGCACACGCGATGCATCGTTCCCGTCAGCATCAGCATCGAGCACAGATACGTCCCCGGATCCCCACAAAGATAGCACGCTCCATCCAACAACAATCATGCCAGGTGGTCGTTGCTCTCCGGAGCTGTTCAAAGCCAGAACGATGTCTTGCAACGTACTCGTGAGCACACGTTGATCCGGCATGCTCGCACGTTCTATGATCGCGACGGGCGTGTTCAGAGGGTACGCCTCTCCGGAGCGACGAGGTGCATCGGCGCCGGTCAATACGTCGACGATGGCTGGTAACCGTGCAACACCCATGAGCATAACGAGCGTCCGGCTGCGCACGTAACCCGGTACGGAGACTTCCTTGCCAGCCCGTCCAACACCCGTGCACAAGATCATGCTTTCCGCCGCACCACGCTGCGTAACGGGTATCCCAGCAAAAACGGGTCCGGCAAGTGCGGACGATACGCCTGGGATCATAGTGCATTCCAGCCCATGCTGGCGGAAGTACAAGATCTCTTCTCCAGCGCGACCATAAACCGTTGGGTCGCCCTGTTTCAGCTGAGTGATAGATGAGCTCGATGAACAAAGAGGAGAAGTGTGGTGTAAGGAACGTACCCGTACAACAGTGATGCCTCTTCGAGCTGCTTCCACGGCCGCCTCCATCATCTCGTTTTGAGCGCCTTCCGCGTTGCCTGGGAACTTCCGCGCGATGCGAACTTCGACATGTGGAGGAATGAGGGCAAGAACGGCTTCTGGTACGAGTTTGTCACTGAGTACAAGCTCGGCCCGCGCTGTGAGGACATCACGAGTGGCAACTGTAAGAAGACCCGGATGTCCTGGCCCAGAACCGAGCAAGTATATCCGTCCTGGTGGTGGGACAGGCGCTTGGCCGCTCAAGTCGAGCGCATGTAGTGAACCAACTTCACTGTCTCCCGCATGCGAAGCGATGGGTAATGTTCTATTCAGGGACGGAGCTGCCGAGGAGGTTTCGCCACCACTGAGCACCGCCGCCATATCTGAATCAGACATCTCCGCCAGACGCGAGTACGGCCAGTACTCGCTGACCTGCGCGACCCATTTCATTCGGCGCCTTGTCCTTTCAACCCCGTTTTCCGTCGCACCAAGAACGCGCTGCGGGACCGGCGCGTTCGGCGTAGGCGCCGCATCTCCGTCGGCGTCAACATCTACTTCACTATCGGCCGAGTCCCGCGCCATGCGGCGCAACTGTCCGACGCGCGCTACGGCAGCGCCCGCGTCCCGCGGAATCTTCGCGACGATCTCCCGCCGGAGACGCGATGACAGGCGGCATCCCTGTCCATTCGTAAGAACCGCCACTTGAAGAGGCGTCTTCTCGTTTGTCCGAGTGTCCGTGAAGCGATGCGTGGATGCGAATGTAAAGTCGCAGAGGTCGGGCATGTCCGTCACATTTACGGGGATGTTGCGGGCGCGACAGGCGTTGACGATTTGTTGGGCGGAGTCGCGCGTGCGGCGAGTGGCTGAAGAGTCTCCGGATAGGATCGTGTCTGCCACGCAGACTAACGAGATGCCGCCGGGAGTGTCAAGGTGCCGCACGAGCGCAGGAAGGTCCGAAGTACTACTGGACGGGTCGGCCTGTAGGTCGACCAGTTTAAGCTGTCCTTGTTCGGAGCGCCAGCGTAGTTCGTCGCAAGCAGAGTTTAAGCCATGAGTAGAAAGTACAGTGACAGGATAATCGGCTTCAAGAGCCGACAGAGCTCGGGATGCCGCCAGCTGGTTGGCGCCCACGATGAGCACCGGGCGCAATTGTGCACGAAATGCGAGCAGTAGAGATGCACCGCCGACTGGTGCTGGATACGACATGGCGGTCGAGAGGAAGGGCCGGTAATATTTTGTCAGCGGCCATGGCTGGAAGATGGTGTCTTGCAAAAAGTTGTGGCCCTGGCGCGAGCATGAGCACGCGATTCGCGGCAAAGTCGTGCTTTGTTCCCGCCTTCATGCAGCTCGTCGACAACGACGAGGTACGTAATCCATGAACGCCTGCAACAAAATGTAAAGATGTTTACGTCTATAGCGTAGTTCTTCAAACGATTGGGGGCGTTGTTCGATTCATCAAAAGAGCACGGCTCGATATGGCTCACACATAAACGCCGTGCGCGCGCTCGTCCACATTTGATCTAAGCTATCATTCTCACATACATGCAGTTACACATGACGACGCCGACGCCCCCATGCCCGATGCCGATTTGGCTGATCAGTACCCATGTCTAGTACGCGCTACAGACGGCAACGAGACCAAGTTCTCCACACGGGTGCGTGCTACCGCATGACGCCTCCCCTATCACACTCAACATACATATTGCGATCGCGTGCAGGTCCTGCCCGGTGAACTGGAGAAGTTTCACGCGACATATGCTGCACTCCTACGAGCGTCGATGGGTTCTCTACGTAAACGCGACAAGAAACGCGAGAAGCAGCGGGCGGAGGAGGCTGCAGCGCGCAAGAAGAAGCGCGAACAGACGATCGTGGTGGATGGGCCAAAACGCGGCGCCGGGAGGAGAAAACGGCAACGAAAGGTCAAAGCCGCGCAGAAGCAGGAGGAGGCGAGGATCAGGATAGCAGAACGAGAAGACAAGGCTGCCAAAACCTCGAAGGTGTAGATTCGGAGGAGGGATGTATTTTTATGAGAATCTGATCGTATGCTCCACCTAGCCTCCGATCCCTCGGGTACGTGTACAGGGCACGCTCATCTGCTTGAGCTTGGCAGCCCACTGTCGGTTGGCAAGTTCTGACACTGTTCACTCTGCGTTTGAGTCGATGGATCACACGTTTCCCTTAAACCTCGTCAGGCGTGCCGACGGGGAATGCAATCCTGGGGCTCTACTCGCGAGTGACCCTTCAACGGCCATCGGATGCGAGGCCAGTTCCGGGTACGCATAATGGCTGGTTGCATGTGTATTGACTAGCAGACTGATGTCCCCGCGGTTTCCCGGTACGTGTTACTACCTCTCCGTAGAACTTTCGGGATCCATCCTACGTATAATCAGTCAGGATGGCGTCGAGCATCGTACACGCGTAGCATGAAACGTGGAGGACGCGTACGAGTGTTACTGTTACTCCACCTCTGCCACATACTGTGTTGGGACCGCAAGTAATCATCCCACAGCGACACCGCCTGATATACACCTATAAGAAGGCAGCTTGAAGCGCGAGAAACCTCAGCAAGCCACAACTTCACTCCGAGCTCAAAGCTATACCGCTTGTAAGTCGTTCTCAGAGTGTTATCTGTATAAATGCCACTGACGACAACTGCTCTTCACTCCTCCAGATATTACTTCCTGCGATGCTGTCCCGTGCAACCCGTCTACTATGTGCGACTAGCATGCTGCTTCTGCCGCAGCTGGTGTCTTCTGCTCCGCTTTCACCTCACCTTGGCCCTAGTAAGTCTGTCCCTGTGTTGGTTTCATTCTGCATGATCTAAAGCGTCATTGTCAAGGGACTCCCATAGTCCATTGCCTTCGCGATCTCCCCTCATGCACTTTACCCATCGAACCTCTTCCAGTTTCCCCAGTATCGACTCACAGTGCATAAGAGGATACAAACAGTATTGCGTAGGGCTTAATTTTTTCAGGCTTCAGTCTCTCTACGTATCTGTGTCGCGTTCCGGCGGTCAGGCTGCCGCCATGGACTCTTACTACATTCACGCAATTGTATGGCGATTTTGATACGGGAAGTATACCAATAGATGAATTCCTGTCACCAGCTATGTCAACCGGTTTAGCGGCAGCGCTCTTCATAGCATATACATACGCGCAAGCGTCTAAGACTCCAGTCAAGTAATGAGCCAAGCCATCGGGTCGACGCGACCACGTGTTCGGCGCGTCCACTGCGGCCTCGCGATGTTGGTTCGAGTTCGGTCCGACTTAAATAAGCACGACAACCACCTTCCCGACCAACGATCCCATCGTCCCATCCCCATTCTCTCTCTTCTTACCCGTCAACAAGCACTATGCGAAGGTCACAGACTCTCGGTCTGCGACACAATGCCCGACCTTCACTCACAATGGGCGCCGACGATCTTGGGATGTTGAAAGAGGGCGTGGAGGAGACCCTTGAAGATAACTTGCGGAGACAATTGCTAGAGAAGGAACGGGAGAATGACAAAGTACGTGCAGCATCTTGAATGTCAGCTGTGGTCTACAGACATTTAGTGTCATCCCGTAGCTGCGCACTCAGGTTCAGAGTCTACAAACACAACTATCGCAACGACCACCTTTGGAAGAAGTCCAGGAGCTACAAAAGGAATACAGGAACTTAGAACTCATACTGGAAGGCACGATGAAGGAGAACAAGCGTGCAATGGATGAATTGCAGAAGTGAGTGCGTCGATTCTGCGCATTGGCCCTACTCACGGTGATGTTTAGAGGGAAGGATCGAGAAAGACTCTTAGAGAAGGAGCTCACGAAGATCGCCGGTGATAACTGGCAGGTACGTGTCTCTGGCCGGCAGCCTCTTCTACTCCTGGCTGACAGTGCCACTTAGTCCAACCTGGAGATTCCAGCCATGGCCACCCCATTCGCGCCGAGGACGGCTGCTTCGTTCTTTCAACAACCCGATGCAGCGCCCGCGGCACCGAAAGAAGGCGCCAGCGCTGCTCAAATTGAGCAAGTTCGCCTGCTCATTCTCGGTATGGAGCAACGTATGGCGGCCCGAGAAGAAGCGCTCAAGAAGGAGATCGCGCGCGCGGAAGAAGAGGGCAAGAACTTCAAGGAGCTCGGTCGACAGGTAATGTCGGCTAAGTGACTCTTGTTGTGACAGCTCCTTCGGCTCGATCGATTATTTGTTGTCAGATTGCTCTCTTGTATTCCTTCGGATGCTGCTCGCCCATACCCGTGCTCCCTCGTTTGCTGTGTACATTATCCTGTATCACTGATCCCTTGCTATGCAAGTGCCACACCTGCCTCTTCCAGGCTCTCAGTCCTCCAAACGACGACGGCCGGCAAGCCCCGTGTGGCCTTGCCGTACCTATAAGTGCGAGACTCGTCTTACTCCTCGCCTCGCGTGGGAAATCGAAGGCTACACAGTTCAAAAGGACAAGGCGTGTTGCCAGCGTGGGCTATAGCCCCTTTCATCGAGGCCACCATCTTCATCTATTCTGATCAAAAGTGCCTACACCTCCTCAAACCATGCCTGAATACAGTAAGAAGCAAACGGCGCGCAAGTCTACAGGTGGTGAGCGTAAACGTCATATCTTTTACGAGAGGGATTCTGATCGCGTACGCAGGTCGGGCGCCACAGCCGCTCTCTCACGTCGTAAATTCCGGACCTCCAGCGGCTCGAACTAAGCAAACTGCTCGCAAGACGACTGGCGGTGAGTAATGTAACCATGCTTTCCCTGCGTTGTCTCACATGTAACAGGTGGCGCACCTCGCCCGCTCTCTCACATCGTTGGCTCTGGCTCGTCTAGCGGCAATGCACGAACGGGAGCACCAACTGGAGGCAGAACCAAACAGACCGCTCGCAAGACAGGTGGCGGTATGTGCACTCTGACCATTAACCGTCCCTGTTCGGCTCACATGTAGACAGGGAGTGCACCTCGTTCTCTATCCGATGTAATAAGATCTGGCGCAGGGGAATCAGGAGGCACAGGTAGTGTGCCGCTCTTTGTTTCTGCGCCTGCAAGCGAGCCTAGGCAGACAGCACGCAAAAGTACCGGAGGTGAACAGACTCCTCGTTTGCGTCTCATCGACAACAGTGGCTCACCTGGATATAGGAAGGGCGCCTGTCCCGCTTTCTAGTGTTGTGGGATCAAGCGGAGTGCCTGCGACCAGGACCAAGCAGACTGCGCGCAAGTCTACAGGAGGTACTTCACTCATTGAGTATACATACATGGAGACTGATTGATGAGTGGGCGCCAGGACGCGCGCCTGTATCGCTTTCCACCATAACCAGGACTGACGACGTATCAGACGCTACCTTGCGCTTGGGCGGTCTTCGTCTCGGGTAGCACTCGTTCTTGCATCTTCTGTGCAGTACGAGTATTGCGCCGCGCATGTCATAATGAATAATATTGCGTACCTTTCCATATGCACTAGTGACTGGTGAGGTTTCCTCCTGGGGTCACCTCGAGGTTGCCACGGCCTCTTGTCAAGCAAGATTGGTGAATTCTCCTCGGTGAGTCAAGCCACACGGTAGCCTAGAGAAGCGCCCATGGTTCATGTTTGGACACGTTTGCTCCCGTGGGAACATATAGTGGCCTTTGGCGCTCTCACGAAGCATGGTCAGAGCTTCTTGTCACCCCCCATCATCATCAGTATGCATCCTCACCGCAACAGCACGGGAGGCAGACCGCCTCGGCACTTGATGACCGCCCGCAAGTCCACTGGTGGTCTGTCAACCGTCATCTCTGTAGCTTTCCGCGTTGTAACTCTGCATTGCAGGCATGGCTCCGCGCCTCCAACTTGCGCATCGCCCATTGACAGGCATGACCGCTCGCAAGTCAGCGACCGTTGCTGGTCCGCATAATACCCGTTATTGACCCCTTTCTTGACTGAAATATCCTAAAAGGTGTACATCCGCGCAAGTTATCGGACATCGTCAAGTCGGAACAACGTGACGACAGAGAATATCTCAATCGGGTAACGCACATCCCTTGACCTTCTGACCGTCGGCTGACTTGACGTTTCGTCTATCAGATGGGCTCCCTGGACGATGTTACCAAGCTCGTGATGAATACGCTCGCTATGAAGGCAGAGATGGAGAGCTCGCCAAAAGTCCAATGAATACGCTCAGCCGGTCCGTTACACGACTTAGTACGTCTAATCTTCTCTACGATGCATGTATTCCATCAACAGACTGCTTTCATCCTACGCGATTGTACTCGTATGTCTCTTTGGCAATGGGTCATTCCTTGAGCATGTCCGATGCGTGAGAACTGCTGGCACTGCCTTGTGAGGGTCCCTAGATTCGAATGTAGGTACTTGTCTCTCACCATCACGCGCATCATCTCTCTCCGCTGTCACTTCATCTTGACAATGGCCAGAACCAAGCAGACTGCAGCAGTTATGAGAGCAAGATTGCAGAGTGCTGCGGCGCGCAAGAGCACGGGTGGTATGTGACACCTCGTTTGGGCCACCGTTCCTCCCCATATACTTAAGCTGTGTAGGAATGGCTCCACGGGGTCTATCCAGTGTTATCAAATCCATGCCGGATGAGACCGCACGAGAGCTTGAATACCTTCATCGGGTACGCAATGTTACTACTTTTGCAGTAGTCAACTAATGGGATCTGGAACTTCTAGATGCGTGATCTGCGCGATGCTACCAAGCTCGTCATGATTGTTTGTGGTCTGGAGGATCGTAAGATGAAGAAGGATCGTTGATAGGGGGAAGATAGACCGGGGCGCCCCTACAATACGGTTCGGACCGTCAAAGGCATAGCATTGTGGTGGTACTATAGGGCGTATCTGAGTACGAGGCTTCGTATTTGGTAGCACCCAGTGAGAATAATACATGCGAGGTGGAGCTTGGCACGCCTGTACTTAGTAAACGCTTCAGAACGACGGGGCTATTCTCGCGTGGGAACACGTGTGGCAGCTTGGCGGAATCCCCTCGAGCCCGGCGCTATGGCCTTGCTTCCTCCCATCTCCGCAATGGCCAGAATCAAGCAGCCCGCGCGCAAGAGTACTGGTGGTATGTACAACAATCACTCAAGAGCGCCTTGTACTCTTCCACTGAACTATGGTGCAGGTAAAGCGCCACGCAGGTACTTGGCCTCCATCACGATGTCGCAGAAGCAAGACGATCGAGAGTTTCTCGCTCAGGTAGCGTGGCCGTCAGTGGCATTCGAGTGGATCTCGTGCTGACACTACTTGATGCCTTTCTACTAGATGCGCGAGCTGCGACACGCCACCAAGCTTGTCATGAATGTTCTCGCTGCGAAGAACATGAAGCTCAAGGAAACATCAACCTGAGTTGCGATTACTCCGAATCCGGTGCCCAGTCTGCGCACAACCATTTGTAAATACCCTTTATGGGTGAGAAAGTACACGTTGAATCGCATGCGATCATCGTAGCCTGTTTCGTATCTAGTCTCGGTGAACTTACTCAAAAGGCAATATTGTGCGCCGCGGCAAACTACCGACGCGTTTGAAGCGAAGAATGCGCCCGCGCCACGCTATAGCGTGTGAATGTTGTAGCGTGTCTCGGCTACACCCATACATAGGGCGGCCTAAGTACAACGGATGCCGCGGCTATTCCGCGGCCGCAGCTTCTTCCTGTCCTTCATCTTCAACCGTGCCCGCTCATCCTCAATATGCCAGCGACTAGGAGACTGAAGCAAACCGCGCGCAAGAGCACTGGTGGTTCGTACCGTGCTTCTCTACGAAACCTCCTGCCAGCCTAACCTGTTCATTCAGGCAAAGCACCGCGTTTGCAACTGGCAATGATGTGTGCCTCGGGGCCTGCGTATGCCGATCAGGTAGTGATTCCAACTTCCGTGTGCGTGTCAACATGAAGTTAAGGATACCATTCGTTCTCCAGATCTTCGCGAGAGCACCGCGGGAACGAGACAGGGTCATCAAGTTGAAATCGAACGATGATAAAGAGTATCTCGATCGGGTATGTGGCACGATCCTGGCGGCAGTCCGGAGGCAGGCTGATTGTCTAATAGATGCGCGATCTGCGTGCTGCTACCGAGCTTGTTATGAGCGTTCTCGCTTTGAGGAGCGCCGGAGACCGGGCAGTCTCCTGAGTTGTGGCGCGTATGCAGTTGATGCTACCAGTGTGCAGGGTCCCATATCAGAACCCACGCTGTCTACCGAGTTCAAGGGAATGGTAGTACGAGATCTCACTTTCTGCTGATCGTTGAGGGCTGGGCTGTACCGCAATTAGTGCCATTTGAGCGAGAGAACGTCGATGCGCTTATCCAACACATCCAGTACGCGGGAAGATTGATCGCAACGCTCCAACTTCCTTCAGGGCCCGTGGGGAGACCCTTGCTACTTGCCTCTTCCCGTCATCGAGAGGACTAGGATATGGCTAGGAGCAAGCAGCCCGCGCGGGAGAGCGCAGGCGGTATGCTCGCAGTTATCTTCGCCCTTCTCATTCACCGAGACGCTTGTCATAGGCAAACTGCTCTTAGTTGAAGGTTGCCGCCTGCGCAAACCGGTGCCCCCCGACCTCATCTTGAAATTGCAGCTAGATGACCATTGGGAACAACTCAACCAGGTGACATGCGTCGTCTTGAGTACTGTAGCGCGCTTTGACGCTTTATCATTCAGATCCGCGACTTACGAAACGCGACTCGGCTTGTCATGAGGGTTCTCGCCATGAAGAGCGCGGAGGCGAAGGAACGCCCTTCATGCGGGGAGTAGTGTTTTCACCTACAAGCTGTATTATCAGCGCACAAGCACGGTGAATTTCAATGTGAACGTATCCATCATCGTCACGAGTGAGGTTGGCGGACTCCGTGAGCCCATCCTTTACGCCGGGACAAAAGTCCGCCATAGATTGTGTGTGGGACCATGCCTCGTGAGCTGAGACATCGGCCTCAGCTCCGACCGTCATCGCATGACACAACCCAGCACGGGCACGGCGAGAACCAAGCAGACCGCACATAAGAGTACTGGTGGTATGCGCGGCGTTGCAATATCAGGACTGTCCGTCATTGACAGTTCGCAGGTAAAGCGCCGCGCAGGATATCTGAGGTCGTAAACCCACTAGGCAGTAAGAAAACGAGTCAGGTAGGTAGCCCACTCATCACCTCTGAGTCAGAAAACGCCAAATGAACCCATATTTGTGCAGAGAAGCGACATATACGGCGCTATTCGGCGCATGAACGCACCATCCTTGGGGACAAAGGTCAAAGTGAAGCTCTGATCGCGCTAGGCGCAGCATAATCATGCGGTTCTGCTGGATAGCTCCCAATGACACGTTTCATAGGCTGTATGAGGTGCATGTAACCTGATACTTGTCTTACAAAGCCGACTTCAGGCTGCGTGGGCGGCATCCATCCTGATTCAACCGAGTTGGATTCTCCGTTCAGCCACTGAAGTTTAATATGGCTGGTGTATATACCCGCAGAATTGACGTACTACTCATCGTGCATCTCCTGTTACTACTGTATCAGGCTAGACATACATCGCATACAAAAGCTACAGGGACCTCATGCCTCCCTACACACCGGACTACACGCCCTCATCCAACCGCACTACACCCTTCACCGCTTGAATATGACCGTGTTCACGACGAAGCCAAAATCTCGTGCGCGCAGCAGTACGAGAGATCTTCTCAGAGCATGACTCCGTGGCGGATGTGCTGAGTTGCGCGTAGACAAGACCCTCAAAGCCAAGCAGACCGACTTGAAGCGGCGGCAAAGTCACGATCTGCCGTCGTTCCGGCAGCCTCCTGCTTCCACCGCCATGATTGTGTTTGACCTTACGCTGGTGATTACTACGATCCATGTGTCCTAGAAGATAGCGACCAAGCTGATCCTTGGACCTAGGAGCACGAGATGGGGGATTCTACCCCACGCGCGTGCACGCCGAGTCCCTAAGGACTGGGAACGCACCTGAAGTGCCGTGTAGGGTCAGCCCATCCCTGGTCCGCGTCGTATCTATACATATCATTGACGTCTTCCCACTTGCAGAAGCCCCCCCTGTAGATCGAGATTTCATTGGAGATTGGAGTGTGTAGAGAACGAGGAGTCATTGGGTTCGAATATATTGTAGAATCCCCAGTCACCGAGTTGTATCGGGTAACAGTAACGAGCGTGTAGCCATTCGTTGTTCACTTTGACGGGAAAGACCGCGTGCGCTGTGGTGCTGTGCGATACAAGAGTGTAGCCGTCAAGATAGCGACGCCGCAACCTAGACAAGCCGTTCCAGGCGCATCGCGGCGGTGTTGGCTAACATGATCCCATCTATCGTAAAGAATGAAGGGGGTAGCAGCTCGGTCTTCGTATCTTCAGCCGCTGCGATATTCGTGTGGTGGTATGGCAAAAAACAAGAGCCTGGGGTAGTATTCAAAAGGAGCCCGCATAAGAGGACGAAAGTTCGGAAGATGTTTGCGCGCGCGGCGGGCGGGAGTACTTTCCCGCGCTTGCTCTTCGATCCATACCCTGCCGTGGACCACCTCCCGAGGGTCTCTACTTGCATCTAGAGGTACCAATCGACATTTCAACGACACTGATACCCTTCAGGACCTGTTTACGGGGAGGGGCGAGCGGGCGAAGGCAGGCAAAGGTCCTTTCCGTACAACGCTCCGGTTCACGTCGCCGAGATCGGGGTCCGTGCGTGGGATTTTGGCGTCTCGCGCGAACAGCAATCGCAATTCGAGGGTCCAGGGAGTCGCTTTCGACGCGCGACCTTTTCCCCTTACCCCCACGAGCAAGCTACCCATCCTCACTCTCAGACTCTAACAATGGCCCGCACCAAGGTTTGTACCATTCAACAAGGTTCCCCTTCATCTCAGAAGGCTCACTCTATCCCGCATCTCTCTTTGTCGCCGCTGTCCATGTGGTCGTTGTTGATCGCCTTGTCGTCGTCGTCGTTGCCACCGTTTCCGCCACTATACAGCAAACCGCCCGCAAGTCCACCGGTGGCAAGGCCCCGCGTAAGCAGCTTGCCACCAAGGCCGCCCGCAAGACCGCCCAGACCGTGAGTAGCGTCGTCCTCGTTGTGGCGGGAGGCGCCAGCGCCTAAAGATAGCCACTGACACCCACCTTCCATATTAGGCTACCACTGGTGGTGTGAAGAAGCCCCATCGCTTCCGCCCCGGTACCGTCGCCCTGCGCGAGATTCGTCGCTACCAGAAGTCGACCGAGCTGCTCATCCGCAAGCTCCCCTTCCAGCGTCTCGTTCGCGAGATTGCCCAGGACTTCAAGGTCCGTCCCCTCTTCATCATCGTGCATGACTCGTACTCACCAATGCTCTGCAGACGGATCTCCGCTTCCAGTCCTCGGCTGTGATGGCCCTCCAGGAGGCCGCCGAGGCTTACCTCGTCTCCCTCTTCGAGGACACTAACCTCGCGGCCATCCACGCCAAGCGTGTCACCATCCAGCCCAAGGACCTCGCCCTTGCCCGCCGCCTCCGTGGCGAGCGCACGTAAGCGCTTCGCGAGATCTTGTCGAGTAGCATACGGCCCATCTCTTCTCTCATCGTTATGACATGTTTTCTTTTGTATGTCGCCCACGCGCGCCGGTGACCGCCGTCGGGTCTGGACTGTACTATAATTATTGTCCGAGCTGGGCGCGTTCTGGACATGGAGCACCGCCGTACCATATGTTTGTGGCAATATATGTCATCTTTATGCATCAAACATCAATGAGTGTACCTGCCTCATGCTGTGGTTCCTGGCTCTGTCGTCTGGTCATGTCTTGAATCGTAATATTATAAGTCAATCCACTTGAGAGCGTATGGGTCATGTTGAATACTAGTCCATACTTTCTATGTATGCTGGGGGGCTGTGCGAATACACCATAACTGCCGGTACCGCCTCGTTTATGCTTGTTCGTTTATCAGCATGTGACCATGATGTCATTGAAAGCCTCGAGGCTACCATCCGATGTTGCGAGGCACTTTCTCATGTCCTCATGGCTGGACGGGTAGAAAGAATGACGTGTCACCACCACATCAGAGCAAGTTAAGCAAGGCAGCTCACTCCATGGAAAGTAAAGTAGATAAGTACATCTGAGAACCCAATTTATAAGTCGGAGAACAATCAACGCAATCAGAACAGTCCCGCAGCGTCGGGCTTGTACAAGCCATCAACGCACTTAAAGCCAACGTCGTTGTCGACGGTCGTGGAGTTGCACATCACCCGCACAGGTGAGTGGCTGACTGTCGTCGCAAATACGTCCTTAGCGCGGATGTTCGAGGTCGTGTTCGGGTAGAGGTCAAGGATGATGACTTCCTTCCCGGTCATGCCGTCGACGTTGTACCAACAGGGGTCGGTGACGCAGGAGCCCTCAACCTTGCCGGAGCTACACAGTTATTGAGAAACGAATGGGAAGGGATGAGCAAGGTGAACGTACTCGTCGATGGTACCGGCAAAGTTCTGGAAGAGCATGTTCTCGATGTGCGTCTCATTTGAGCCGGCACCCGTCGGCTTGCCCTTCTCTTGGTCATAGTAGCTACGCAATGTGAGTTGGCCTGGCGTCCTGGATGCAATCGGTACTACGGTAGGAGACGTACTTTTGTGTAATGTAGATGGGGATCATGACCTTGGAGAATGCAATGTCCTTCCATGTGATGCTACAAAGTCGGGTCAGGATCGCGTTCGAGAGCGAGTGATTGTCAAACCGTACTCCTTGGCCAAGCCGTTACCACCGGCCCAGCTCTTGAAGCGAGCGGCATACAGGGAGTCTTTCTGTACTAGATGTCAGCGATTGCGTTGGTTGTCAGTGTATGAAACGGCGAACCATGACGAAGTTCTCGAAGTAGATGTTGTTCACTTGCGCAACCGAGCCGCCGCTGCCGAGCGAGCCGATGGACAGACCGTGCCCTCCCTCGCAGTATCCGTTCGACGCATGAACATTCGTGGTGCCGCTGCCGATGGTGATACAGTCATCGCCTACATAGCTTCATAAGTATACGAGTATAGACAGACAAGAGTTCAGACAGACCGTTGACGATGTAGTTGCCTTTGAGCGTGATATTGGTTCCGCCGACATCGACGCCTGAACGGAACAATCAGTGACTGGGTAAGTTACACAGGACCAAACATGCATACCATCGCTGAGGAGAGCATTTGATACCTGGATTAGCATGATAAAACGGGAAGCGTAGTCGTGACATACGTGTTGAAGGGGAAAGCCTATTTGAACCACGTAAGTCGAATTGTGCGGCTTGTGAAATCATACGAAAAGCTTACATCTGTGTCTGACTTTGCGAGAATCGTATTGTCGAGAACATCGACATTGGAGGAGCCGCTGGTGCTGAAGCACCATCCGATGGGCTATTCACGTTGGTCGGCAAAGTGACTCAAAGATCAAGAGAGTGACTGGCGGTGTACCTTCCACAACTTGACGTTCTTGATGGTACCACCTACGATCTTCCTGAAGTAGATACCATGAGGGCGGTTGGTCTGCTGGACAGCGTCCCACCACTACTTCTCGATCAGTCGCGAGTTGCTGCTGACGAGCTGTCTCCCTTACCTGTTGACCATGAGCGTCAATCCATCCCCACTTCGGGTCAGTGGTACCGCGGAGCGTGACGTTCGTTCCACCGACAAACGAGATCCTGGAAACGTTGCTCAGCCGGACAGAGCGATCTCAATGACACGAGTCCACGCACCATGCACCTGGGAAACCCTGATATGCATTGAGGTGCATGTTCAATTGGTGTCATTAAAGACCAGCTTACCGAGGCAGCGACAACATCTACAGCTCTCGTCAGTCTATGAAATCGTCTGCACTGGCAATAGACACGCACTCTGAACGTCGGTGATGCTTTCCGGGTAAGTGAGATTACCCTCGATAGCAACCTCGACATTGTTCAAGGTAGGGAACTGAAGCGCAGACCAAATGTTGTACGTGGTACCCTTCTTGAACAAAATCGTAGAGTTGGCCGTGATATTGCCCGAAGACAGTGCAGCCGTGAGTGTAGGAACGTCGTCCGCGCCGTCGGTGTGTGCCACTGTGTACGTGTTCCAGGATGAGGTGGTGGGCTTCGGGGAACCGCGCGATGCAGCGACATGAGTCGCAACCGCGAGCGTCAAGGCCGTTGTTGTCGTGAAAGCGCGCATCGTGGAAGCCCAGCAAGACACACGCAGTCGATGTGGCGCGCGAGCGTCTTATATACCCTCATCTGCGGTTCAGGATCGTCAGGTACGATGCGCGCTGCTTCGCGAAGACTACTGAAGTCTACAAGGGCCGAGGGACGTGCCCCGCATCGCGTGAGTCGTCGGCTGGTGTGTGCGCATCACGGCGACAGCTCGGAAGGGATGAGGCGGCCCGGCGCGGGCGCGACATTAGCCTCGAGTACATTGAGCGCGGGTCACGGGAGCGCGTCAGTGCCGCCCAATGATTGCGGGGTATGCGGGGCACTGTGCCTCTCGCAGGCACGATGCTGCCCCGGGCCTGTTCGCAAGGCAACGAGAGACGCAACTTAGACATAGCGAGGTACTAGGCGCCGAACCGCCAGGGCCGACGCCGTGCTGTGATGATCCTGGTAAACACTCAGCACATAGAGCTGTTGCCCGACGTAATTCCGCGGCTTCTATCAGCTTGCGAGAACGACATTGACAGGTCTTTCACGTCGAAATGTTCAACATGAGATCCGGCGAATGTACGATGTGAGCGGTGTATTGTTGAGCAGGATCCCGAACATGATGGGGAGAAGAAACCTGAGGCGGCAAGCACCATTTGCGATCAATATCTTCGCACGCGTGCTAAATGAGCTCGTTGATCTGGGAAGAACGAGCGCTGGACACGAGAATCCTCGCAATACGATGCATTGTCCACCATTGAAGTATCTGAGCATAACGTAGGCAGGCTATCCCGGATCATGGTAATGGTTGCAGGACATCCCGGCCGTCGTTCTGGGTGGCCATATCGAGTGAATGTGCGCGGCCCCGACTTCGCCGGGCGGCGCTACCATACCCCAAGCACATCCATACTATGGGAGCCTTGAGCAAGGCGAAGACTTTGAAGCCCGGCCATAGCTTGCTACGTTCTGTCAAATGATCTTGTCAGATTCGGTTAGGCCGAAGATATGATGGTACAATACAGAGCGCAGATCCTACGTAGCGACGTGTGCAAGTGCCTACTTCAGTAGAAGATTAGTGTAGTCGTTATGAAGCCTTTCCAAGTCTTCCGGATCTTTGGCCTGTGTACAGAGAAGACGCCTGGCTAGCATCGGGCAAGCCAGATCTCTCTCACGCATGCTTGTTCTGGTCAAGCAGAGCGCCGGTCGCTGACGGCGACGCGCTAAAGATGCGCGACTGCCCACGATCAATACATCCGCGCGTCTTGTAACTTTTGAACTTGGCAATTCCCTCCATGGCTGATTCAGCATCCATGTCGTCCCCCAAAGGCAAAGAAAAGGCTGACGACAAGCCCCGTCGCCGACCTGGTCGTGTCCCCGTATCATGTGCAGAATGCAGAAGGTGCGTACAGCGCAGTTAGGGGCTTTGGAGCGCGCGCTGACATAGGGTGGAAGGTTGAAGCTGAAATGCGACCGGAAGGTGCGCTGTCACTTAGGGCTGGGTAGAGCCTTGGAATAAACTGGAATGCCTAGGTGCCTTGCGAGACGTGCTCCAAGAGGGGGTGTGCGGACATCTGTCCAAATGGTATGCTCTGAGCATAGATCCTGCGCAGGACACGGTCTGACGCTGTGAGAAGGGTCGTTGGCCACCGGAAAGATCAACAACAAGTGCGTTGTCGCACTCTATATATTGCATCTACATTGCTGATCTGGTTATGAATAGATACGTGCTCTCAAACACTACAGAGCTACATGCGCGCATCGACCGGATGACGCGCCGAATCCGTGAGCTGGAGTATGGCCTTGGTCAGCTACAGTCTTCGGTTTCTACCGAAACGCATGAGCTATTGCGGGACGACCATCCTCTGAAGGACACATCTGTCGCTGCTGCTGTGGCTGCATCAAAGTCTGGCGGCGCGTCTCCGGAACTACCGATTCCGGGATCTGCAAGTGCTTCCTCATCCTCCGGTGCATCTCCCCCGGAAGGCCCGGCCAGCGCTATTGATTCCACTGATGATGAATTCATCGATTCCTTCGGTAAGTCAAGTCGTAGATGTGGCGCCTGACTGTTCTCATGGGCTTCGATCGCAGGGACGCTCAGCATTGGCGCGAACGGCGAGACGCGCTTCTATGGTGCAACAGCTCGGGGAGAGGTATGCCTTTTACCATACGCAGAAGCACCCGGCTTGTACTTACTCCATCTCGGCAGTATCTGCTTCAGGTGGGACATGAGCGCTCTTCGTTATCTGCGCGCTGACTTCGAGAAACCAGGCAGGTCTGGAGCAAGCACCTGCGGATTTCTGGGGATGCACACGCTTGAACGAGCGCATCTTGAATATACCATTCCCAGAAGCGAGCCCTCATCAAGTCACACCGGAGCTGCGCGAGATGGTCTTGGGGCATGTTCCCCCACTGGAAGATGCGAAGTCGCTCATCGACCAGTTCTTGCTGTACTCCACCTCTTTGTAAGCACTTCAACGGCCACCCTTGACCGTCTGTACTCATCACCATGGTAGTCCGTCATCTTTGACGCGCGAGCAAGCAGCGGATGACGTTATCGATGTGGTGTATCACTCAAGGTGATATATATGCTCTACTTATCTCATACTCAGTAGCTGATGATTGTCAGAACTTACAAATCTGCACCTCCCGCATCGCATGCATTGAGTCTCCTGTTCGCTGTCCTCTCCATCGCCAGCCTATTCGAGAAGAAAGATGGCTCCGAATGTCGAGCTCACGACTTCTTCGTGCTGTCTCGCGTTGCCCTTACCTTTGATACACCTGTCGCAACAACAACGGTCATGTCCGTACAAGCAATGGTAAGTATATGTACTTCAAACTGTTCAGTTCGCTCACCAATCGTTGACAGTGCTACATGGCACAATACTTGGAGATGCGCGACATAGGGCTCCTGCCGAAGGGGTGTTCAAAAGCGTGGATGTATCTTGGTCTTGCCGGCCAGATGGCCCACAGTGTAAGTCTATCCACCATTACCTTGTCTCCCGACGCTTATACAGCAGCATAGATCGGTCTACGTACGCCACATCTTGACCGCTCCACAGCTTCCCTCTGATTTTGTCATATAGATGTAAACAGTACCCGATTTAAGCTCGAGAAGAAAGAGGGCGAGTATCGGTCGCGCGTGTTTTGGCACTTGTTCGCGGTCGAGACCTGGACGGTACGCTATTCAGCATGCCGTTGATATCTTTGGCTCATAGCAATCATTAGAGCTTCACATTTGGACGGCCACCGAGCGTCAATCTGAACTTCGTTGACTGCGAGCTCCCCCCAGATTCCGACGTCTTCGTATGCCCACTGACCGGAGAGGAAGACATGGGTTGTGAGTGCATTCATCCACTTTTACCAGTGACCGCTATGCTAATGAGCGTGTCAGTCTCAAAATGGTCATACACATTCTCTCAGCTCTTGTACTACGTACTCGAGACAGCCTTCGCTGCCAAGCCACCACCGTACAGCAAAATCTTGGATCTGGATCGCAAGATTCGCGACTTCTATGTTCCCAAGTATCTCCGCCCGGACTGTGAGATGCCTGATAAGCCCGGTTGTTTCGTGGTACTCAAGCGCTGGCTGGCGCTCTCACATAAGGAATGGGGTGCGTATCTCATCCGTGTGCAGGCGTGCATTAGTGCTCATGCAAGTATAGGCTTGTTGAATATACACAGGGCATACTTTGCCCAAGCTCTTCGCGAGAAGCCGCTCGACCCGTTGAAGCACAAGTTTGGCGTCTCAGTCATGGCGCTATACCGCTCTGCGTATAGGATTGTGGAAGCATCTCGACTGGCCATGGAGCTCGAGCCACATATCTTCTGCTCGTCAAATATGGCGACTTCGAAGATATTCTCTGCAGTCGTACGCAACCTCCTAACATAGCTGTGATGCCTTTCGCTCATGGAGGTCATAGATTGTGATGTGCTTGCTGGTATGCAGCGCGCCCTGCTCCAATCTGGCGCCGCCGTCGCTCGAGGTTCTTGCGAAGGCTGTGTCCGTTATCGAACATGGTGTCAAGAACGGCAATAGGCCTTCGGAAGAAAACATCGTACGATGCCTCCTGGTGTGTGTTTGGAAGTGCGCTCATTTTTACCCAGGATGCGGTCCGTAGTCTCCACCGACAAGCGCAACAGGCGCTGGAGAAACATCATACCAGCAATCATGAACCAGCCATGAGCGCCGAAGAACTCGATCGTTTATGTGGCCAGACGACAGTGATAACGCCCTGTGGTCGCAAATTCTGCTTCTCTCCTCCAGGAAACTCGCCCAGTACACCCAGCAAGGAGCCGACATTCACGCAGCTACAGTCGAACGGCACACTGGACGCTCTGTTTGCGATGACCTCACCGAGTGGCGAGCGCCTCTCACCATCAAGCGCGCCTGTATCCGCCGGTTCTGGCCCCAGTCCACGCCGCACACCGATGAGCGTCGATAACCTGCTGAATGACTACACGAACGTCGTCACCTCCGTACAACAGGCCCACGCCGCGGCGTTCCAGCACCCGCAGTACAAGCCGCAAACACCGGCCCAATGGGCCGATGTAGCACCCGTACCAGCGACCTCTTTGTATGAGGTCGCAGGGTATCAGAACTTTGCACCCGCTCAGCCGGACCCTGCGGCTACCGTACCGCTACAGGACGGGTTCGGTGCCGGTATGGGGTGGAGTGAGATGCCATATATTCTGGACTCATCGTGGCAGGATCTCGCGCAGCAGCTTGGGTTTTAGAGGGGACTATACACGGACAATCTAATCTATGTACGACGACGCGGAATGCTCGATTTACACCTCTCTTCAATATATCTTTCTACCGAGATAATATACGAGTTTAATATGTAAAAGAGGCAAGGGCAGGGTCAATATGGACCGATAGGGATCCATCATGTGCGCACGTTCGCCACAGGCGGCCGAAAACGATTGAATCCTAGCGGCGCAAGCACCCGGTCCCTGACGAAGGCTTACACGGTGGCTATTCTCGAGCAGTACCGAGACATTTGGGTTGGTGTAGAGCGACTAAGACTCAACAGTCCACTTTAAATCGTAATTAAATGAATGGGATTAAGTAACATGGGTCTGACCGGCGATCCTTGCCTCCTACCGCGATGCGATGGCGACGCGCCGTGCTCGCTCCTCTCGCGCACCCCCCGACGCCTCGGGACGAAGAGCCGCGTGTCACGCTCGACGTATTTTGCATCCAGCCCGTATGCGCGAATGTCTGCAGCATCGACGCGTCTTGTTCATCTGCACAATCCTGTTTGTGTGGAGACTTCCGCGGCGTCAATGGGATCGCGCGCGAATGACCCGGTTGCGTTTGGGCTCATCGCCACTGACGAGGATGCCGAACACGCTCAGATTTGCGCCCTTCAGCATTCCATCTTGCCGACCGCCTCCTCTCGGTCCAATCCTTCGGCAAGCCGTATCGCATCGCCCGCGTTCGTGTCAGTGCGGCGCATACCGAACCGGCACGTCTGTCGCGGGTACTGGCCAGGCCTGCAGCTGTAACCTTGGAGAAATGCGGGCGGGCGGGGATAGAGGTCAGCTGGGAGGCTATCGGGCCTCCCTCTGCACGCAACGCGCGTGTTCTTGCCAGGCTCGCCTTCCCAACTTGCCGTTCGAAACGTAGTAACTGACTTACCCGTGTCGCCCCCCTAAGCCGGCGCGTTACTCGGCCCTGCACTTGCTCGTCTGCACCTCCACTTTGTATCTTTCCCTTTTGTACGCACTTCACGTCTCCGCCCGATCGTACTGTAAGCCTTCGCATGTATTTGCACTTTACCACCGTCTCCCCGCCTGCGCCTCTCGGGGTTTCCCGTTGATCGTAATACATTGTAGTGTCACCGGGCCGTTGTGACACACTTCTCGTCCGAACTCTCAACTGCCGCATACTTATGCTGACCGGTCTATAGATACTTACAGAGTATGAATGGCACAAGTAGCGATCTCTGACAGCTAGCCCAGGATCGACGGAAACACAATACACTCAGTGCAGTCCGTGCCGCAAAGCTATATCTGCATGCTCTGTCATGATAAGTCTGTCAATACTTCCAGTGGCATGCAGGAAAGGTGATATAGACAGCTGCGCTACAGTCATCCGAGTTCGGCGTGCACCTTCCGAGCACTCGACCCCCGTCGCTCGCTGCGCTCGCCGGGTGTCTCGTGCTCGGATGTAGGTTAGCAAGTAGCCATCCCAGACGTCACAACAGCCACTCGAGTGCAAGAACATAGTCAGTCATTGTCATGAAGAGGACGCGTTCGCCACACCGTGCCAACTACCAGCACGTGCAGATATCGTCTAGCTTTACAGTGACCCATATGCGTGAGAACCACCCCAATGTCTCAGCTTGCAGACGGAGGGAGCAAAAATGGAAGGATTCGGTGGAAAGAGTAGCACTAAAGCGGCTGCTACCAGCATAATTTGCGTCCGTAGAGCATCGTGGGAAAGACCCCAAATTCTGACCGCCCGTCCGACAAAGCCCTTCCTTCTTTCGTTTCTCGAAGACTCGAAACTTCATACGTCAGGGAACGATGACGCGCTGTACGTGTCCGCCCCGGTTCAATTTATTCTGCTCGGTTTAGCTCTCTTCTCCTCTTGATCTCCGACTTTCCTCACGAACGCGACGCCTCTTACGATGGGGTACATCCCGGATTCAGCGCTAGCTAGGCTAAAAGACTACAAGTACAAAGGCGTGGACAAGTGTGTGGCCATTTCATACTCAGATCTGCGGGAAATTCGAAGGGCGCTGATGTACTCCCCGTTGCGCTTTACAGGTCGCTTCTGTCCAACCATGTGCTGAATCCGTTTTGGAACTGGTTCGTCACGCTCTGGCCGACATGGGTGGCCCCGAACACTGTCGGTGCTGTCTGAACGCGTCTTTGGGATGCGCACCGTGCTGAGATGCGCGCAAACAGATTACGCTCTCTGGGCTGGCGATCGTGGGGTTCAATTTTGCTACGATGCTCTACTACGATCCGGAGTATCTGACGGCTAAGGGTGGCGTTGAGATACCTAGCTGGGTGTACCTCTCGTGCGTAACATCTCAAGGGCTACGCTGCACATGATCTAACTAGCTTCACAGGTGGGGGATTGGGCTATTCGCGTACCAGACATTCGATGCTATCGACGGGTACGTTGCATCTGTTGTCTGCCAGTCACATCGACTTACGAGGCCACCAGAAAGCAGGCGAGGAGAACGGGCATGGCAGGACCATTGGGAGAAATGTTTGATCATGGTGAGTGTGCGTCATGGTCTACGTATTTGGCGCGAACTGAGTCCGGTATAGGCTGCGATGCTATCAACACTACGGTGCGACTGCACAGGCGTATTCCAATCCATTATACTCAATGATGCTTTCAGCTCGAAGTTATCCTATGTTCCCATGCTCTCAACCTCGGACGGTCGTGGTGGACTGTAGCATCACAGATCGCAACTCTGGCCAACTTTTACCTGACTACATGGGAGGAGTTCCACACGGGTGTACTCTACCTGGGCCCATTCTCTGGACCTGTGGAAGGTATCCTCATGATCTCTGGCATATACTTTATCACCAGTGTGACGGGTACGCTTTCTCGCCAATCTTCTGTCTGAATATTGACTGATGGGGTACAGGCCCCACATTCTGGGATACGCCTTTCCTGACATTCACCGGCCTGGACAAGATTGACTTGGTCTCCCAATACGTGCCGAACGTCGGTATCAACGAGACGTTCATGTTCATGGCTGGCTGGGGGCTCGCCTTCAACATCGTCGGGTCCTACACGAACGTCTACAAAGCCTGCCGCGAGCAGGGCAAGTCGGTTCTCCGCCCATTGCTGTTCTTGCTGCCTTTCCCCGTCTCTGCTGCGGCCCAAGTCGCATGGCTCGGCTACCCGTCATTCAAGGGATCCGTCATCCTGAACTCTCCGGCATTTGTACCGTTCTTGTGCGGATGGGGACTGCTGTTTGCGCACCAGGTTGGAAGGATGATTCTGGCGCACGTCACCAAACAGGTCTTCCCCTGGACGGACATCACTTGGTTATGGGCCGCCATCGGTGCCATTGACGCGAACCTGCCTAAGCTTATTGGACAGTGAGCATTCAACTAAGCTGTCTATCGGTCAGAGTTGACGGTTACCTGCAGTGCCCCCCTCATCCAGACCACCCTGCGTCGGACAGAAGAGCTCGCTTTCGCCACGATGATCGTCGCAGGTCTCACCTATGGCCGCTTCGTCGTGACCGTCATCAATGAGATCACGAACTATCTGGGTATCGCCTGTCTCACTGTCCGTAAGAAGGACGCGAACGGCGAGTGGCAAGACGCGAACCCCGAAAAGAAGGAATAGACATTGACGCGCTCGGACGAACGCTTGATCTTTCCGTACATATACTCTACCTTAGCTACTCTGTATTTTCTGCTCTACAATGGTGTATCCGTAACAATGCCGTTCGGTGAAGGCTATATTGCGTCCATGCCGCGCCCATATCGATGAGCCCGTTTTCTGAACGCGTCGAGTCACGGGAGAGATTTCTTCGCGCTCCGTCATCCCGGGCAAATCGCGAAGTCCGAAATGCTTGCCCGTTCGGCCGCTACACGACTGCTTGTACCGAGCTATCATCGACTGCCGATACTACGATCGACCCGACGCGCGATGGCGACGCTCGAAGCACTCACGTCCGAGCAGACGCAGCAGACGGATCTCTTCCAGCGGCTCCGAAAGGAGGGCGCGGATCCGGCTCAGCTGGAGGAGGTCAAGAAGAGGATTCAGGATCTGAAGAAGGAGATCGGCGCGCTTAAGGGCGCTGGGGGCGCGGCGGCGGGCAAGAAGAAAGAGCGATTGCTGCTCAAGACGCCAAAGGTCCGTGCGCTGGCGTCCTTGACATTATCTATATATTTACATCTCGCCACAGGGTACGCGTGATTATGGACCGGGAGAGATGTACGCGCGCGAGCACATCGAGCGTATCGTAAAAGAGACTTTTGTGTTATATGGCGGTGCCCAGCTGGACACGCCCGTGTTCGAGCGGAAGGACATCCTGGCGGGCAAGTACGGCGAGGACGCGAAGCTCATCTTCGATCTCGAGGACCAGGGCGGCGAACAGCTCGCCTTGCGATACGACCACACCGTGCCCCTAGCCCGATACCTGGCCATGCTCGGCGGGACAAGTACGCAGAGCAAGCTCTGGCAGGTCGGCAAGGTCTACCGGCGCGACAACCCGGTGATGAGCAAGGGCCGCATGCGCGAGTTCTCTCAGGCGGTATGTGCGTGCACTCGCTTGTCGTGACGTATGGAAGCGACTGACAGCTTCTGTGATAGGACTTTGACATATCGGGACTGTGGGATACTATGATTCCCGATGCGGAGATTCTTAGCATGGTCTGCAAGGTTTTGACGCGTCTCGAGGTTGGCGACTTTACCGTCAAGGTGCGCATGCTTTGCATATCCAGCAGACTGGGCTCTGACAATTGCATAGCTCAACCACAGAAGAATCTTGGATGGCATCTTCGAGGTCTGCGGTGTACCGGCGGAGAAGATTCGCCCCATATCTTCTGCCGTCGACAAGCTTGACAAGGTGCGCTCTCATCCGTTACGGACGCGTCGTCGGTCTCACCTGTCTTCCAGTCCCCATGGTCTGAGGTCAAGAAGGAAATGACCGAGGAGAAGGGCCTGGACGCCGCTGTTGCCGACAAGATCGGCGAGTATGTGAAGCTCAAGGGCAGCCGCGACCTTCTCGAGCGCTTGCAAGCGGACGAAGCGCTCGCCGCCAACAAGAGCGCGAAGCAGGGTCTGGACGAGATGGCCGTTCTGTTCGACTACCTCGACGCATACGGTATCACGAGCAAGGTAAGTCCTCATCCACTGCCGTATACGGTGTATTGACAAGTATGCGTAGATGTCGTTCGACATGTCGCTTGCTCGCGGTCTGGACTACTATACCGGCATCATCTACGAAGCCATCACAGAAGCCTCCGCCCCACCCGGCTTCAAATCCGCCGACGCTCTCGCCGACGCACCTGCATCCGAAGCCGCCGCACCCAAAAAGAAAGCCAAGAAGGTCGCCACCGCCGGCGATGAGGAGGACGAGGTCGATGCAGACAGCGTCGGCGTCGGCTCTATCGCTGCCGGCGGACGCTACGATAACCTCGTCGGGATGTTCACTGCCGCTGCCGCGGGCGACGATAAGAAGAAGGCTGCGAGTATACCATGCGTGGGTATCAGCTTCGGTCTGGACCGTGTGTTCGCGATCTTGTGGCCGAAGTGGGCGGAGCGCGGGATGAGGACGAAGGAGATTATGGCGTATGTTATGAGTGCGGGTGATGGGTTGCTCGTCGAGCGTATGGGGCTTGTGCAGGAGTTGCGCGATGGCGGTATCTCCGTGAGTATATGCTTGTCTTCTCCTTGATGATGGTGTGCTCATGTGGTGTAGGCGGACTTCCTTGCAAAACGCAAGCCGAAGGGCATGGCGGCGCAGTTCGCAGCAGGCGAGCGCGATGAGGTTCCCTTCGCCATCATTGTCGGCGGCGACGAGCTCAAACAGGGTATCGTCACCGTCAAGCAGCAGAAGTGGATCATCCAGGACGGGAAGAAGGTCAAGGAGCAGAGCGACGACAAGGGCGTGCAGATTAAGCGCGCCGAGCTCGTGCAGTGGATCAAGGATTCGGAGGTGTACAAGCTTTGGGAGAGCGGGAGGTTGATCGATGCGTAGATTGATACGAGAGAACCAAAATGTTTTGTAGCTATAGTCTTTACTTTACTAGATATATCTGGAGATGCTCTCTGGTACGCTATTGATGGGAACGTGGGGAGGGCCGAGCGTTTGATGATGTCAGTAAGACGCCGCGCCACAACTCGCCTTCGACCACCATCACGCCTTTTCGGGCTTGTGCAAGTCTCCTACAGTATTATCACGCCATACTACCTCAGAAGTGGCCATGGCCAGTGGATGTGAGACTCTACCAGCGATCGTACAGGAACTTCAGCTTCTCAAACATTCGCTGCTTCCCGACGAGCGTATGACGCTGCTCTCGCCCTTGACAGCAGAAGAGGCCCTGGAAAGTGCTCTGGATGCTCTGAGCGGCGACGATCTCTCCGAGCTCTCAGATAGCCTAAGCGGCAATGCCTTTCTTACTCTAGCATTTGAGTTGGAAGACTGGCGCGGTATATGGTTCGAAAACAATATCTGCCTGGCAGCCTCGGTACCCACGACTTCGGGAGGCGAAGATCGGTACGACATTATGGTGAAGGGCGAAAACCTAGGACGTGAGGATCAGACGCGATGGCAGAGCATAGTGCACGATAAAAGACGCGAAGTCGCAGAATCAGGCAGTGAGTACGTTCTTGGGCGCTCCCTCGCTAGAGCAAACTGAAGCTGATGGTGTATAGATATCCTTTGTTTCAGCTAGTATCAGAGCATCTACTTCCGCTACTTCATGAAGAAGCGACGGCTCAGCACATGCTCCATGAGATCAACGGGACTCAAACGGTCTTGCCCAGATCTCCAGGTCCAGTCTACCATGCCCTCCTAACCAGTCACCACCTCAAAGCCCCGAGCAAACGACGCGACATGGCGCACTGGGCATCACAATTGCATCTATCTGGCTTCGCCAAAGTTGGACATCCAGGCGTGATGTACGCCGAAGGTGTGCACGAGGACGTCGAGGAGTTCGTACAGAACGTGAAGGCGATGCAGTGGCTCGCGTTACGCGTGCGTTTTGTCGAGCCTTTGCCGGAGGGACTTAGGCCTGCGGAGAAGAAGGAATGGAAGGAGTTCGAGAAGGTTGGAGAGGTTGTCGATGAGATGAGGAGGTTGGGCGGTAGGGAGGCATTTGTTGTAGAGATGGGTATTGGGAGTGCCAAGTAGACGCCTTGCAGAAATCCAACGGTTGATGAGCTGGGTTGTAGCCTTTACTTCGGTACTTGCACCCTAATCTCCATGTACCGAATGCGCTTTCTTACGGATCTCAGATCACAACGAGTAAAAGATGGAGTACAACATCCCAGCAAGAATTGATTCGGGTTTTACATGATTTTGTACAAACTTCCGCTACCAAGTGAAATGGGTAGTGAGAATCGTAAGCGTAAAGGATTGGTCGGTTGGTTCAAAGGAAAGCCTATGCACAGAGCCGCTCAAAGCACCAGAGCGGCAATCGGCAGCGGGAACCCCACGATCCTTTTAGACGTAGGAGCAAGTGACCGACGACGAGGAAGCCGAGCAGGAGGTGAGGACCTTGTTGCTCTGCTCGATGTCGATGATGGTGGCGCCCGAGGGGCCAACAGAGCCGGAAGACGAGGTCGCGGACGCGCCGGTGAAGGTGACGGTGCCGAAGTTGGCGAAGGGGACGAGGCCACCGTTCGACTCGAAGTCCTCAACGATCCACTCGGCGTCGTACTCGCAGAGCGAGGGCTGGCCGGAGAAGGTGTGCGTGACGGACGTGCCCTTGGAGTTGTTCTTGACGGTAGCGGTACCACCGGTCTTGGAGGTGGCCTTCACGGTGGTGGTGACGGAGTCGCCAGCCGAGAAGCTGATGCCCGAGAAGTCGTAGGCGTAGTCGGGGTACCACTCGTACCAAGCTGAATATGGGCGTAAGTTGAAACTCAATCACATGATATTAGAGTATGCTCACCATCGTACGAAACGCGGCCGCTCTCGACGTTGAAGTCGACACCGGTCTGGAGGATGGCGTTGCCGCAGGTGTCACCGTCGATGCCGACCCAGGCGGAGGCGTAGGCGGTGGTGCTGCCCGAGGGAGCCTTGGGCGTCGGGACGGTGAACGTGCCGGTAACAGCGGTCCAGGTAGCCTAAACCGTATTCAGTGATGGGCGCTCAGCACGATCGGAGGATGGAACTGACCGTGGTCTTGCTGAGAACAGCGCCTGCCCAGTTGGACGAGTACTCGACGTGGGAGTTGTTCGTCGCGAGCGCCGCGAGGCCCTCAGACGCGATCTTGGGCTGCGAAGAGCGGCCGGCAGAGCGGCGCTCAAGGCGGCGGGCGAAGCGCTCGCGGGAAGTAAGCTTGGGAGCCGCAAGAGCGGAGCCAGCGAGGACGAGGGTGGCGAGAGCGAACTTCATAGCGACTAAGAGGACGGTAGACCGGTAAGCTGCAGGGACTCGAGGACCGTGGGCTGAGGTCTGCTGGCTCAGCGCCGTATCCTCTTATACGCTGTAGTACTGCCGCCGGAAGCCTTCTCGGACATTCATGACCTGAGGCAATTGCAGAATGACATCTCGCCAATATGGTCGCTATCGTCGAGAAGGCGTCCAGCTGTTCTGGAACTGCAACAAAGCATACGATGGAGCGGCTGTCTCCATCTCCGGGTCAGAAGTGTTGATGACACCGAAGGTAGGATACGCGTGCTCGACGCCGCTCAGCGGGCGGTTCAAGTTCAGATAACGAGCTTGACCATAGCGGTACCGTTAGGCGTGTTTGGTACCACAAACGGCGCAAAGGCGCATGAAAGATCCGAGGCGGTCCGGCGACGGCAGCGCATGTGCTCCCCAAATAACCCGGGCTTGGCGCTCGTCGTTCGAAAAGCGATCAGGAAGCAGTCCGAGTTGAGGAAGATCGGGTGATACGACATGCCACGCGGACGACAGGGTTCGGCGTCTGTCCGCGCCCTGTTGACGACAACGAAATCGCGGCGAGATGCAGGGTCTGTGCAGGTGGCATTAGCAGATCTCGAACACGGCTGTACGCGATAACAGACAAATACGCAACTCAACAGGTACAAATGCTTATTTTTAGTCGGCGGTCAACGAACTCGACGCGATACGCAAGCCGAAGACTCTTGTGCGCATATACGCTATGCTGCATGAGCGCTAAGCCTCGCTCACGGCGCGAACGATCTGGGATTGTACGAGGATCTGCCGAACGTGCTGTTTCGCGAAGAAAACCTCCAAACCGCGAGACACTAAAGCTGCATTGCTTGAGCACAGACAGCGAAACGTGACAGGCGTCATTCTACAGTCTGCGATTCAGAAGGATAGTGTACTCGATAGAGCACCACATGCACTGGATCATTCTTCGGCGCCTCGCTTCACGATGCATAAGGAGCAGCATTGGCCTCGATCCACTTGCTCACGCAGGTGACGGAGGCCTCGTAAAGGCGTGCTCCTCGAGAGGTCCCTTGGCATGGGAAGCACTGAGTGAATCACCGCCCAATGTCCGCCTACGCATAGCAAGCTGGCGATCCTTGCAAGGCCAAAGTGATGAACAAGTAGAGAACGCTTGATGTGTTTCGAAGGGCGGATCCCCAGTGCCCGTAGAGCTCATTACCAGTGCACAGTGGCTGATAACTCTGGCTCCTGGTATAGAGATGACGGATAATGTCCGGCTACGGATGCTCCAAGGGCCAGGGGAGGAACAGAGAAGTGATCTGAGATAGACACCGGAAAGCTTCGTCTTCTGCGCGAACAGAAGACACAGCTCGGAGCAAGCAAACGGGTAATAGAGATAAGAGCGAGCAGCAGGAGAAAGTATTCGGCGGTACCGGTACCTTGAAGTGTCGCACATGGTAGTATGCCCATCATGCAGTGACGCAGGGATGCAGCCATATGGGGTACCAGCACCTCTGTTGTATCAAGAGCCGGCGGACCAGCTTGAAGGGGTTCTATTCGAGAAGTTGTTGTGAGCGGAACCAGGGCGGCTGAGATAACGAACGATGATGCTGGCCACGGCGGGAAAGAATAAACCAGTAACACACTATAACACAAAGTATCGAGGAAGTAGGTTTTGAGGATCGGTTTCCAGTGCTTCGAGCAGCGTAACCAAGAGTAGAGGCCTTCATGTGGGGTCAACGAAAAGCATTGCTGTCAAAACGAGACATTTGATCAGTTAAACGCTGAATCCATCATGGCTGGGCAGCGCCGTAGCAGTTGGTAGAAGTCTACTCACATGACTGTACTATCCGAGTGGTACAAGTTCAGCGCCCTGAATCGGCCGGTCGACAATACAAGGCCTCGTCTGAAGCCAGCATGGCGTTGCGCTTCTTCTGCGTTGATCGCACCGGGTCATGCAGGTTTATACTTCACGTTGTCTTCTCGCCCACGCGTATACCTTCACTGTCTTCCAGGTACTGAGAACGATAGGTCAGAGCGCGCAGAGTTCAACAGGGCCAACATGGTTATCGAAAACGCATAAATCTGCCGCGAGACGGTCATGAAAGTTCGGGTCAACTTCCATCGGCCCCGGCCGCGGGGCGGTTTGCGCGCCTCACAGGCTCACACCACTCCCTCTTGCACCATCTGCAACGTTCGGTCGAAAGAGGAAAACCAGTAATCAATACGTGCTCTACAGACCTAAAATACTACACCGGAACGAAGAAAAGCGATACATAATGCGTAGCGATGGGTGAAGTGCACGGGACAAAGCAGACAGGAAACAAGCAAGAATGAAGACGAAAGTCCGGTCAGAGAATTATGAACATATGCACAGGACTATGCTGCAACGGAGCCATTCATAAAAGAGCCACCTGCAGCCTGAGAGGGCCCGCCGTTCGGCTGCGAAGGACTCGGGAGGAACGCGTGCAGGTTGCGGTTATCGATGGAAATACCTGACGAAGGATAGTCAGCCTCGTATCCAGAAAGGGACGTTGTGTACTTACTCCTCGTCTGGTTGGACGTCTTGTAGATACCAATGAGCCGCTGACTCAGCTCGAACATGTCATTACTGGCGGGGTGTCTATGAGCGTACTGAAACGCTAGGCTATGAATGGAGAACGTACCGCAAGGAGATGATGATGAATTGAGCGTTCTTCGTCCTGTCCTTGATGTAATTTGCGACGATGGACACGTTTCGGAAGTCGAGCGCGGCGTCGATCTCGTCCATGAAGTACAAAGGCGTCGGCTTGTACGTGTGCAGCGCGAAGACGAGCGCCAGCGAACTCAGCGTCTTCTCGCCGCCCGACAAGTTGGAGATGTTGCGCCAACTCTTCTTCGGGGGCATAACGCTGAAGATGATGCCCTCCGAGAACGGATCCATGCTGTCGACGAGCTCGAGTTCGGCGTTTCCACCGAGCGTGATCATCTACCGCGCATGTCAATATTCCTCTCACAGCCTCTCCCAGGCTCGTAGCAAACGTACCTGGTACATCTCCTTGAGCTTGCTCGATATGTTGTTGAAGCCCTTCATGAAATTCTCGAGACGCGTGGTGGACAGCTTATCATACAAAGCCTTCTGAGCGTCGCGCGCAGCAGTCGCCTCGTCGAGGAGCTTCACGCGATCATCATACTCGAGCTCGCGTCTGCGGTACTCTTTGAGTACCGCCGGGTTTGGCTTGGTCTTGTCCAAATGCTCTGTAAGCGCCAAGTGATTAGTCCAACTATGAGATCCAACAGGAGAAGACGGTGAAACGTACCCTCAAGGGACTGAATGTTGGCCTGGAGGGAACCCTGATTCTGCTTCGCGAGATGGGACTCAGGATAATGAACAAAACCACGCTCGTCCTTTTGGAACTGTTCTTTCGACCTATTCATCTTGGAGCCAGAGCCAGAGCCGGTCTGCTCCTCAGGATCGGGCTTGACACGCTTCTCACTCTTCTCGCCTTCTACGTTCTCAGTGGCATTCGCGTCCTTCTTCTCGCCGTCTTCCTCCTCATCGTCATCTTCGTCATCGCTACGATACTCATCAGCAAGGGTATACGCAACCGAGAGTTACATCGAATACGCACTCGATATCTTCAAGCACCAGCTTGGCGTGCTTGGCCTCATCGGCATCGATGAGCGCCTGCGTAGCTGCGAGATTGCCCTCAATATCTTCAAGCTTCTGCTTGTACTTCTCCTAAGTATCACCCAGATATGGTCAGCTATCGTCTCAAAACACAGAAAGAGAAAGATCGCACCTCTCGCTTACGGAAGGCCAGCAACGCCTCAGTCTTCTCGTCGAAGTCCCGTTTAAGACCATGTAGCTCGTCCTGGATGCCGTCAAGCCGCTCGCTCGCGTCTCGTAGACCCTCTTCGCGAGCCACGACCTTCTCTCTGACCTCCTCCAACGCCTCAGCGAGATCCTCAACCTCGACTTTGGCGTCCTTGATGGCTTGATCGTGTCCGCCCGCGGCAGAGCTCAGCCGCTTGACATCTTTCTTCGCCTTATCGAGTCCGACTTCGGCCTTGGTGACCTCCTGCGTAGCAATGTCGATGTACTGCTTGATTGAGTCGACCTTGCTGCGCTGCATAAGCAGCTTGGATCCTCCAGCGGCCTTGACCTTCTCGTTGAGCGCCTCAATCTCCGCCTCGATGGCACCGGACTTTGACTGCAGCTTCTCGAGCGACGACAGCAGCTGAGCGTGCTCCTTCTCGAGCTCCTTTATTCGCTTCTGGTCGCCAGCATCAGGTTTCGACCGCGCGCCGAGCTCGCTCACGCGTCTCTTTGCGTCCTCGACCCGGTTGTTCGTATCGCGTATGTCGACCTCGAGCATCTGCAGTTGTCTATCCAGTTGCGGACCTTCATGCCTGAGAGCCTCCACCCTCGCCTCAGCCGCGCGCAAGCGCGATTGGGCCTCCTGAAGCTGAGCTGCAGTCGCCTGGTGATCCCTCTCGAGCTTGCCCATCTCCGCAGCCGAAACCGCCTGCGCCGCAAACTTCTCGCTCATGCCGCCGCGCTGGACGGAGTTGCCACCACCTGACATCGTACCGCTCGAGTCTACGAGTTGCCCGTCGAGCGTCACGACGCGGTAGCGCTTCCTGCCGCCCACAGCTACGCTGTTCGCCTGGTCGATGTTATCTGCCACGAGCGTGTCGCCGAGCGCTTTCCAGAAGACCTTTGCGAACTTGGGCTCGCGCGGCTTGACGAGGTCGAACAAGCGCGTCAGTGGTGTGGGCTCGTTCGACGGCTGGCCGTTAATCTTCTCGAGCACCATGAAGTTTGCACGTCCGGTCTTGTTCGTTCGGAGGTAGTCCATGCACTGCGTGGCCTGCTCAACGGTATCGCAGACCATGTTGTTCAGCGCACCGCAGGCGGTCGTGATCGCCACGTCGTACTTGCTGTCGATCGCACCGAGACCGCCGAGACGACCGTGGAAGCCGCCGACGCGACCTGAGCCCGCGAGCGTAGTCAGACTGTTGAGGACCTGGTTGTTGCTGCGACCTTGGGACTGGTTGGAACGCGCTTCGTCGAGACGCGAGCGACGGTGCGAGGTTTCCTTGTTGAGCAGGGAGACTTCGGCCTGCAAGTCCTTGTGTTTCCTGTCGGCCTCGGCGATCTCAGCTTGCAAACCCTTCCTACGGTCCTTCAGGCGTTTCTGCTCCTCCAACTAGAAAATCGTATCGTCAGCGCGAGAAAGCGAGACGATCAAGAGGAAGGAGACAGACCTTGGTCGTCTGCGAGGTTTGCACACCCTGGAGCGTTTCTTGAGCTTCAGCGAGGGCCTTCTCCGCGTCCTTTGCCTTCTGCACAAGGGCCTCGCGCTCGTTAGCGCAGACATCGACACGGCGCTTCGCCTCGTTGGTCTTGGCAGCCCAGGGCTGAAGTTCGCGCTGCTTCGTCTCGATCTGGTCCTGGAAGTGCTTGGTCTTGTCTATAACGCATTGTCAGCACCAACACACAACGACGAGAGTGAGCGGGCATCTGGACGAACCCTTCAAGCTATCCATGACCTTCTCGAGATTCTCCTGCTCCTCGACGAGTTGGGCCTCGAGCTCATGAACCTTCTCGCTCTGCGTGGTCATCGTCTGTTCATTCTCCTTGATAGCAGCCTTTGCGTCGTCGAGCGCCTTCTCATCCTATAATCATCAACAGCATGAGTCTTGCATATGGAGGGCCAGATTGAAAAATCACATACGTTCTCCTTGGTCTTGACGAGCTTCTTGTGCCTCTTGTCGGCGTCCTTGTGCTTCTGCGCGAGCGCCTTCTCGCTCTGTTGAAAACCTGCGAGCTCGTTGCTGGTGCTCGCCATAGCCGCCTCGATCTCCTACAAGCCCGTTAGCGGTCTGGGAGCAAACAAGAATGGGACTTGACTGACGTCGTACTGTCCCTTCTTGGCGTTGTACAGTTTCTCAAGTTCCGCATGCTGCTCCAGCTCCTCCTCGTTCTCTGCACGAATAGCCTTAAGCTTTTCTTCGACTATACGCTAAAGCCCACCATTCCGTCAGCACATACAGCAGACCGAGAAACGAAAGACGAACCTTGGCCTCTTTCATTTGCTTCTCCTGCCTGAAGTGTGCGTACAGCTGGAACTGCAATAAGAAACTGACGGCCCTCGCCAGCTCGTTCTTCAGCCGAATATGCTCCTCCGCTGCGGCCTTCTGCTCTTTGAGCGCGTCCTTTCGAGTTTCGGTGAGCTTGAGAAGTCCGAGCCGGCGGATGCGCTCTTCCTGGAGCTCTTCCAGCTCCAACCCGGCCTTCTCGATCTCGGGCTTGAGCTCGGCGGTGCCGATGATGTCCTCGAGGTACTCGAGCAAGCCGTCCTCGTGCTCTGTGGGGGCCTTGGGCTTCATCTGCGCGATGGACTCGACTTCACCCTATTCAAAGAAGTTCGGCCATTAGCGAGACTCTTATGTGAGGGAGGAGTAAGAGGGAAAAGTACCTGGAGGATGAGGAACCGGTTGTGGTCGAGGTCGATACCACGGCCTTTGAGGAGCGTCTGGACTTCCTTGTAGGAGCTCTGCCTGTGGTTGATCGTGTACTTGTTCGAGTTGTTCTTGTACGCCGTGCGGTTCACAACGAGGTCTGAGTTGGGCACAAGCTCGAACGAGTCTGAGCCGGGCTATATGATCACGAGTGCGTGAGTCAGGGAAATCAGATGGCACTAGACGAGTATTGCGAACCTCGTCGATGATCTCCCGGAAGTGAACCTCGACAGAGCACTCGTCGAGGTCAGGGTGGTGTACCGAGTTGTGAATGAGCTCGGAAAGCTTGCCTTGACGCATCTTGGACGCGCGATAACCGAAGACGAAGAGCAGCGCGTCGATTGTATTCGACTTGCCAGAGCCATTTGGTCCAACGATAGCAGAGAATGACTACATGCCCCACATTAGCATCTTCGCATGTACGAGACGGCGAAAGAATGATATACCTTATGAAATGGTCCAATCTCTTGTCTGCCGGCGTAACTCTTGAAGTTGACGAGAACGAGCTTATGAATCACCAACCGCGCCTTTGGCCCACTCGGCACTTCTTCTTCAGTCGCAGGCGCGGGCGAAGCAGCCTTCTTCTTAGGTGATTCGCCGTTCGTATCAAGCAGCGATATCTCTTCTTCGAAGGACTCTTGCTCTTCTTGTGGTTTCGCCTTGCCCTTGCCCTTCTCCTTCTTCGGTGTGCGAGGTTTGGCGGTCAGGAACTCCATCTCCTCGTCGGCGTCGGGTTGAGGCGGCGGTGATGCGGGCGCAGCGTCTTCATCTTCTTCGGGTATGGGCTCTTGAATGACGGGTGGAGGGGGAGGGGACTCCGAGTGTGCGACGGATGACTTGGAGGAGCGCTTAGTTGGCTTGGACGGCGCTTTCCCGCGCTTGGAGGGTGGCTTGGGCGGGGGATCATCGTCCTCGTCTTCCTCCATTGCGTCGGCATCTTCGGCAGGCTGCTTGGATACCGACGCACGTGCGGAGGTACGAGAGGACGAGGTGCGGGATGACGATGGGCGGGCAGAGGGCGGCCGGGCCGATGAGCCGCGACCGGACGACGTGCGCTTGGCCGGCTTGGACGGCGGCTCGTAGTCGTCTTCACCATCCTCGTCCTTCATCGCAATCTCGTCATCTGACTCCTCCACCGCCACCTTCTTCGATGACGTCGCCGACGTCTTCCTCGAAGTCCCGTTACTCGTCCGCGTCGCCCTCCTCGCCGGCTTCTCCGTCTCCTCCTCGTCTTCCTCCTGCACCTCCTCCAGAGCCGGCGCCACAGGCTCGGCCTTGACCGCTCTCGAGGCACGTGGTGTGGCCCCACGACTTGCCGGCGCCGCGCTTGAGCGCTTCGAGGGCGGCTTGCGCGTGGTCGTCTTGGCCTTTGGCGGTGGCGGGATCTCCTCGATCTCAGAGTCAGGCTCGAGATCACTGTCCACGATAACAATCTCCTGCTTCTTTGGTGGTGGGGCTCCCTTCCCACGCGTAGCGCGCTTTGTCGCTGGCTTAGTCTCCTGCTTTACCACGACCTCCTCCGCCTCGTTAGACGAACGCGATTTCTTGGCTGGCCGTGAGATCTCATCCGTATCCTCGTCTTCTTCGTCAATAACTTGTGCGCGGCGCGTAGATGTATTCGATGCTTTGCGTGTGGTACTTGCGGTGCGAGTTGTGCTGGGTTTACGCGCTGTGGTGCGCGACGCGGGTTTGCGAGGTTCGGCTTCCTCGCCGTCCAGAAAGTCGTCGTCATCGGGGGCCGGCCCGCTCCGTTTCCTCTTCGATGCAGGTGGTGCAGGCTCCTCAGAGGCACGCACAGAGCGCGTCGAGCGGCGCGCAGGAGGCATTGGGATCGAAGAATAGTGGTGGTCAGAGAAGAGAAACAAGACGCGACTTGCGTTCAACGCGTCTCGCATTCGGCCCAACACGCGGTCACGCGCCCGGCGGCCATCACTCCATCACGGCTTCTCCCGGTGCGGCGTGTTGGACGACAACCCCGCAGGTCCCGGCGCTTGTCCGTTGCCCTCACACCACCAACAGCCACCCAACAGCACTCAACATCAGCAACAATGGACGACGGTACGTCTCCGGCCTCAGAAGCGACATGTCTCTTCAGAATGGCGACGGCGACTTGAAATTTCCCGCTCGGCCAACGGCTTCAACGCTGGCAAGAGTTTACTATTACAACTCCCGCCTCTATTCGGCTTCAGCTATAGTCCCCCCGCCCCGCCAAGTGCAAGTCCCAATCCCAGTATCCTACTCAGTACCGGGTCTCTGCGGCAGAGGCTCATGAGCCAGCTCGCCGCTTCGTCAGCGTCGTCGTCGTATTGGTCTCCCAGTCCCAGCACCGCAGTTCCAGTTTAGGCGCCGTCCCATCAAACCAAACCCGCCTTCGTTTACCCACACCTTTCATACACCTTCCCGCGCTTGTCAAACCGATATCCCTCGTACTCGTCGTCACTTAGTCATCCATCCCGCCTCCGCCTCGCCATGTCCACATGTCTGTCACCCTTGAGGAACTCAACCTGACCGCCACGCCCTCATCCAGCCTGGCAAAACCAAGACGGCAGTGCCATCCCGAACGAAGGCCCCGTCAACGGTGCATCGCACGACGATGGCTACGGCGGTGGACGCTCGCCTCGTGACGCGCCTCCGCGTCGTTCGAGCAGGAGCCGTAGCCCACGCCGCGACCGTGAGGACCGCGGGTATGTCATTGTTTTGTTTTTGAAAGTGTTTCAGATGTTGATGTTAACTTGTCACGGCAGACGCGGTGGAGATGATGGACAAAACAACCCTGGTAACAACTTGCACGTTTCTGGGTTGAGCAGCCGCATCGACTCTCGCGAGCTCGAGGCGGCGTTCGCCAAAATTGGTCGCGTACGTCTACCGTTCCTCTTTCGCAATACATCCACTCATATCCATTCTCCCTTTCACAGGTTAAAAAGGCGTCGGTCATGTACGACCCCCACTCGCGCGAGTCGCGCGGGTTCGGTTTCGTGACCATGGAGTCTGCTGAAGAAGCCGACGCGGCTATTACCGCGCTCAACGGCACTGACCTGCAAGGCCGCACACTGAGCATCGAGAAGGCCCGCCGCGGTCGTGCTCGCACGCCCACTCCTGGAAGGTACTACGGTCCCCCCAAGCGTGGTGGAGGTAGCGAACGTTCGTCCATTTCACTTTACTTGATGGATGGTCGTGGCTGATAAATCAGGCTCAGGTTTTTACGACCCGCGTCCCTACGACTCGCGCTACGCTCGCGACCGTGGTGGGTACGGAGGCGGCCGCGAAGAGTACGGCGGCCGCGGTGACTACGGAGGTCGTGGTGACTACCCGCCGCCGCGTCGTGGTGGGTACGACGACAGGGAGGACTACAGGAGGGATAGGCGAGGTGGTGGAGGGTATGATGACCGCGCTCCACCCCCTCCCAGGGACTACGGTCGCGATGATAGGCGCGGTGGGTACGAGGACCGTGAGAGGCGTTACTAGACCTTTGTTGTTGTCCTCGCTCTTGTCAAAGTCTGGTCTGTTCGCTGCCTGCTTGCAAATGCCTCCCTGTACTCTCGAGTATCCCTAATTATGCAACGAAGTTGCTTTGCCCTTGAAATTAGCGAGCTCGCGCGGTCTCATACACTCTCGACATGAATAATCTCAGGATTGACCTTCCGATATTACGCAACACTGCCTAGGGTCATGGGGTCATGTTTGAAGTTATCAATGCATCGCACTGCTCTTACTGCAAACCGTCTAGAGTTCGGGCAGGCTCACTTTCATGCCGTACCTGAGAAGTGTGTATACTTAGACGAGGCAGCCACTGCCATATATAGACGGCTTCCACTCTAATCTGTGAGCTGCGTGTACGTTGTATGCTGCGTTCTTTGTGAGCAGACGTCGTGGCGCGGACGTGGCGAGGTTGGGCGAGGCGCGTTGGGCGCATGGCGGGTGCCACTCGGTGGCGGTGATGCGTGTGATGGCGCGCTTCGAGCCGTCGCGTTCGTATCCTCCTTCCTTCACTCGTCCACCGAGGGTGTCAACGACCTCAAGTCTTGCTGCTACTGTATCGTACATTGATTCTGTCTATGCCAGCTTGCATGACTGATTGAGCGTGAGTACGCGTCCGGAGCGCCCGCCAGCATGCGCTGCCTGCGCTCTCGAGAGAGGCGATGCACCCCGTCACCGCCAATGATGGCGCTCTCACTGATTGAACGGGCCTGTTTGATCAATGATATATAAGAGACGCGTACACCTCTGACGGCTCCCTAACCTCCGTGTTCGCCCTTTGTCTTTTCTCCTTTCTTTCACGCCCTTTGACCGACCTGGTGTCGTCGCCCGAGTAGATCTCACCTGCCGATCTTTACGCCTACCGTCGCACCCACTACTGCTCTGCTCTCGAATCTCCTCACGCACTACTACTACTAGTCACCAGACACAAGCACTATGTTCGCTCTCAACGTCATCACTGCTGCCCTTGCCGCGCTTGCGCCTGCAGCGCTCCCGGTGTCGGCCGGTATGCCACTCACTCTCATCCCCGGTCAAGTACATTTTGCTGACTACTTGTTCCAGCGCCTCTCGCCATCACATCCATCACCTCCCCGCACCTCGTCTCCCGCCAAGCCCAATCAAGCGCCTGCATGATGGAGGTATCCGGCCTCATGACGAACCTCGCCGCCGCACAAACCTCAATGAACTTTGTCGCGCAAGACTTCAACTCAACCGCGTTGCAGGACGTGTTGGCGGGTATCGGAGGCGCTATGGATGCGCTCACGACCTTCCAGGGCGCGGTAGCAAATGGACAGCAGGTCGACGCTGAGTTGCCGAATGCGATGGTGGCGAATGTGACGATGGCGATTAACGAGCTGGATAACGTTAACGGCGTGTACGTTTTGACTTTTCTTTACTGCCTGCGAGCTATGGATACTAATAGAACTCGTGTAGTCCAACAGCCGTCGACGCTGCGACGCTCACAGACGCCATGCAGCAGCTCATCACAGCCTCCCAATATGCGATGATGCTCACGGGCTGCGCGACCGCTCCCTCCGAGTCCGCATCCGCATCTGCCCCTTCCGCGACCGCGACGCTCGCCGTCTCCGGTGGCGCTACCGCAACCGTCACCGTTACCGTTACGGTGACCGCTCAACCCACCGCAACAAGCGCATGAACGTCGGGATAGAAGGGATGAAATGAGTTATTCGCGCTGCTGTTAGTTCGTTACCATTCGTTGTACTGGGTGCTGCGTCTTGTTCTATCTCGGACTCGGACTGACGCCGGGCTGGTCTCTGTGTGCGTGCTTGTTTTAGTACTGTGTTTTTTTGTTGTACGGTTCTCGGCTTGCCGTTTGTCGTACACGCCAGCGAAATGGTTTATTTGTCCGTTTTGCTGTATACTCTACGTGTGTGGTCCGGTCCTGCTCGCCGTCTTGAGTAACCGCTGGTACGCGTCACGCAAAAGAACCGACATGGAGAAACGGACTGCAAGTTCGAGGCGATGATGAACGGCGGTTCCTGCTGGCTTTGATCGCATCACGGACCAGCGTCTCTGACCCCAGATCAACTTCGCCGACTTCTCCTCTGACCCTCATCAGCAAAATGGACCTATCCTTCTACCAATCTGCGAGACTGCTCCAGTCGTCACCGGCACAGCACAAATAGCAACCTCTTTTTTGACACGCAACAAAGCTCGTGAAATGAATGCTGTAACACCCTCGTATAACATCTGCACGGGTTGTCCGGCACAACAAGTCAGGCGCCTTTCATCAGGACGACGAGTTGATTCGTTTCTGCCAAGCGTACACTCAAGCTGTGGTCGTTGTTGCAGTTCTTTGTGGAAGTGGAGCTCATTCTCGCGTTTCTTGACCGCAGCGCGCTGATGACGAGCGCACTGGCCTGCTCTCAAATCTTTTGAGGCTCTTGCTAGAGATCTTTGCGACTGCCTTTCCGGTTCATGGGTAACCCTTGGATATTGTTCAGGACTCTTGAGCTGCCGAGTAGAGGCTCGACACTTATGGCGCAAGCTCACATCTCCCACTAGTCCGCTGGAAATACTGACCTTTGGCGCACTTCCGCACACAATGACCACATCAACGGGCGGAAAGCCTTCCAAAAAATGATAGAGCCGATATCGATGATGCAGAATTGAGTGGCTGCGCACTACGTCGTGCACCTGTACGTACGCCCGGGCTGTTCGGTCGTCGATGCTCTTGCATGGTCTGTCCGTTGAGTGTGCTCCGTTCTCCATGTTTCCCGTCTCTACCATATACAGTAGTATGGAGGCTGATTTTGCCACATAGGCTCTCATCTTACGCATCGCAGGAGCAAATTATGATATATCGGACAAGCAGCTTTGCATCTTTCGCCGACCAAATAACCCACAAGTTCCAACATCCGAGGGTGGAGCCCTTTTGATGATAAAACGGGCGGCTTGATGGCGGACGAGTCGTTCTGCCCACTTGCTAACCTCTCAGGAGTCTATAAAGCCTACCAGCGCTTCACCTTCTATTCCTCAGCAGTGCTCATCTCTTCGTTCCTCCAGGTGCTGGTTACCTCGAGTCTTCATCGTCTCTCTTTCGTTCTCCGTTGTCCACATCCACAGACCAGACTCGTCTTGTTCTTACGATCTCTCGCTCATTCACGACCCTATCCTCCCTACTACTCTTCTACACGTCAAAACTCTTTATCATGCACGCCTCCACCGTCGCTCTTGCCCTCTTCGCCGCCACTCAGGTCCTCGCCGCCCCGACGCCGACCAACAGCAACAACAACGCGCGGTCCCTCTCAGCTATTGAGAACTTCTTCTCCAACCTCAAGCGCGACGAGAACATCAACGCTCGCTCGCTCTCCGCCATTGAGGGCCTCGTGGACGATATCTTCAACAAGCGCTCTCTTTCCGCGATCGAGAACTTCTTCTCTAACTTGAAGCGCGAGGAGCTCGATGCCCGCTCGCTTTCCGCGATCGGCGACGCTATCGGCAACTTCGCTGAGGACGTGCTCGGTGACCACACGGCGAAGCGCTCGCTCAAGGCGGTCGGCGCCGCTGTAGCTGGCGGTGTTGCCTCGGGCGTCGCCGGTGCTGTAGGCAACGCAGTCTTGAACAACAAGTACGTGTGTTCTTCGGTCTGTATCGGCTTCATTTTACTCATTGGCCGATCAGGCGCTCTGAGTCTGGTCTCATGGTCGACACGGACACCGGCGTCCTGTACATGGACGTTCCCGATGCCAATGATGGTCGCTCACTGAAGGCTGTTGGTGCTGCTGTCGCCGGCGGTGTCGCCGCTGGCGCTGCAGGTGCCATCGGTAATGCTGTCCTTAACAACAAGTACGCATTCATGTTCTTGTTGGTCTGAGTAAAGTCTAACACCATCATCAGGCGTTCAGATGTCATGGTCGACACCGACACCGGCATCATCTATATGGACGTTCCCGACACCAATGGTGCGCGCTCTCTCAAGGCCGTTGGCGCCGCTGTTGCTGGCGGTGTGGCCGCAGGTGCCGCTGGCGCCATCGGCAACGCTGTCCTGAACAACAAGTACGCATACCTCTCTCATGCATCAATGCTCCTCAATTGAACGTTTCACAGGCGCTCCGATGTCATGGTCGACACCGACACCGGTATCATCTACATGGATGTGCCTGACGCCAACGGCGCTCGCTCGCTGAAGGCTGTGGGAACCGCTGTGGCCGGTGGCGTGGCCGCCGGTGCCGTCGGAGCCATCGCCAACAACGTGCTTGGCAACCGCGATGTCAACGACATTGAGGCTCGCTCCCTGAAAGCTGTTGGCACGGCCGTCGCGGGCGGTGTTGCAGCTGGTGTTGCAGGCGCGGTGGGCAACGCCGTCCTCAACGACAAGCGCGCTGAGTCTGGTCTGATGGTGGATACCGACACCGGCGTCCTGTACATGGACGTCCCGGATGCCAGCGAAGGCCGCTCGCTGAAGGCTGTTGGTGCTGCCGTTGCAGGTGGTGTTGCGGCCGGCGCCGCTGGTGCGATCGGCAATGCCGTACTCAACAACAAGTATGTACTTGTTCAGAGCTCTTGCTGTACTGAGCTGACAAACGTGCTTTAGGCGCTCTGAATCTGGCTTGATGGTTGATACCGAGACCGGTGTCCTCTACATGGATGTCCCAGACGCGAACGAGGGTCGCTCGCTCAAGGCGGTCGGCACGGCCGTTGCCGGTGGCGTTGCTGCTGGCGCGGTCGGTGCTATCGCCAACGACGTCCTCGGTAACAGGGACATTCAGGACCTGGACGAGGCCCGCTCTCTCAAGGCAGTCGGTGCCGCCGTCGCAGGTGGCGTTGCAGCCGGCGCTGCTGGGGCCATCGGAAATGCGGTGCTCAACAACAAGCGCGCCGACTCCGGCCTCATGGTTGACACCGACACCGGCATCCTCTACATGGATGTCCCCGACGCGAACGGCGCTCGCTCCCTCAAGGCTGTTGGCACTGCCGTAGCAGGAGGCATTGCGACTGGTGTCGCTAGCGCCGCCGCTGGCAGCATCCTCAGCCGCGACGTCTCCGAGCTCGCTGACATGATGGCGAAGCGTTCTATTGACGATCTCGAGTGAGAGACTCACGATACTTTGATGACTTAGATGACTGGTCGTTACGCCGCTGGCGGCGCTGTGTTTGTGGTTTCGGATTGCCTTTTCACTAGAGGACTCGAGTAACTTGTAGCCAGCACTTGTCTGGAATCAATTTGCATTTGCTCTCATCACTGCACGATGATCTATTCTCAGTCTTCTACAAGCCGCGACGCAAGGGTCTTGAGGTTGTTCTTGCATTCGTTAGCGGCATCAAGATGGATCATTGGCTATCTATAGATAGACGCCCGAAGGACAGCCGTACAAAAGAAGAGGGGGTCGCTGCTATAATAGTCGGAGGTGTCGCAAGTATAGTACATGATGCAAGAGTCACAGGAGTGAGCGCGGGTAGTAGAGCGTTCTGAGTCGATGGAGGCTGCTCAAAGAAAAGTTGAGGGTTTACATTACGCGGAGCCAGGGATAGGGACGGGCGTCTCTATAGGCGCGGACAAACGAGAACCTCTACTAAGGCGGAGTGAGCGTGTCCGAGTCGGTGAGCGAACCAAGTATGCAAGCTTGTTGGCCAGTTTATCCGCCCATGATCCGCGTCGGTCAGAGCCTTTTCCCTTGAACTGAGGTGTGCCGACAGCGGTCTCTGTGGGACTGAACTCAGTGATAGGACCGCCTGAAAGCCTTGGAGAGATGTCCGTGGCAATCCTCAGACCGCCTGCGCGCGAGGATTGACGGCTGAGGGGTGCAGGGTTGGTGTCTTGCGGGGTCTGTCCGTTGAGGTAAGCCAGTGTCAGAGCGACGCTGTCGCTGAAGCTGAGAGCGGAGTCGTATGAAGAGCGACGATTGAGCGGCTGATCACCCGAGCGCGTTCGGCGAGCACTGGGAGAAACACATTTAGAGCGCTCTCTGGAAACACTTCTGCGGGTATGTTGGGAAGCGACTACGGAAGGGCGACGAGACGGTCCACCAGTTACAGACGGCGGGTGGTGATGACGTTCAGATAGAGATGAAGATCGGCGTCGTCCTCTGAAACCGTCTTCCGATGACATATCGATACGGGGTGAATCATGCCCAGAATGTATCGACTCGCAGTCATGGTATACCGTAGAATCTGAGCGCCGAATGTGAGCAGCATATGTTTCGGTACTCGCAGTAGACACTCTTCGTTTTTGGGGAGTGGTCGGCGGAGTGAACACCAGTACAGGTTGCTCTGATCCGCTTTCGAAGGGCGTCGCCGCAGTCAGTATCACGGAAGGAAGCACAGCAGACAGATCGTCGTTCAACGCATCCTCATCGTCTGGCGATCCGGCAGCGGTATCCGTTGGTTGTACAGCATGCCCTGACGGCCCTTCGTGCATGACATCCAGGCTAGAGCTGAGCGAGGGATACAAGAGCGCATTCGCATGCAGGGTTGGCGCATCCTCCATGATGGGTGTAAGCAGCTTCGCCGCCAAAGGAACGTTCAGAGCCTGCTCAGCGGTCAGCCTCGTCATGGCACAAGCATCTAGCCGAGCATTTACCTCAGAGGATAACCTAGGGACGAATGGTGGTACTGGTTGTGAAACTGAGCGGAGCTTAACTGCTGCTCTAGCAGAGTCTTCAGGCAGTTTGGTGGGTTCTGACAGTGTCTGTATGGCGTCAACACTATTGACACTGGCACGGCACATCGGAGGATACGTACTCTGACGCGAGCTCTATCGGATCCGGCCTCGCTATCTTGACCAAGTGGAGGCGAGTTGCCATGTCCAGGATCAGAGCTGGGTCCGAGTTCTCCATAACGCGGGAAGGAGCGTCGCTCCAATTCCGATCTGCCCAATGCATACTACGGCAGACGTTTTGAGATGAAGGGCTTCGCTCATGACTGAGAGGACTCACGTGTGGAGACAGAAATTGCCGGGACGTTGAATCGCTCGTCTCGATAGGTGGCGAATGTCTCCCGCGCGCACGAGAATGATGACTATTGAGAGATCTGTGCGAGACCGAGGATGCTAGAGCGCCGTTCAGTGCTATGGGGAAGCTTAGTTACAATATCTGTTTGCAGACATCGACGTGCGCACCAGACTGGCTTGACCACTTGGAAGTGATGAACGGTTGCGGCCTGTCGGGGGAGCGGGAGCGCGGTATCGTGAACTCCTACAAGGAGTTGTTAGCGCTTGTCGGCCTCTGTAGCGGTGTTTCATGGGCAACAAACCGGACGCGGGAGAACACAGAGTCGAATGAAGCCGGCCGCGCGCTTGCATCTTCTGAGCGTAGTCCGGCGCCTCCCTTTGGTCGTTAGATCTCTGGCGGGCATGAAGAGCAATCGACGAGGGATGGCGGCGCTCAGCAAGAGACGAGGGCGCTCCCTGGATACTGTCAGGCTTGTCGATGTCTTGTCTTGCTTGGTTGTTTACGGATCGGCGATGCCAGTTGAGATCTGCGACATTGTTTGCTCGCGAAGGTGCTTTGCCTATTCAGTCCTGGGCGAGGTAAACAACCTCCCACTCCACTCGAAGCTTGATCGAGCTTGTCACTCGGAAGTTTACTCATATGGTATCTTGTATACTCCATTTCACTCCAGGCATGTTCAAGTTGGAGCACTGCAGGTATGCTAGAAGTGTTATCTAGATCTGCGTTGACTTGCCAGTAGCCGCGGCAGTCACGCGCAACGGCCGACTGTCAAAATTGTATGCGCGCCTGCTATGAAGACTTCAGGGTGTATGTATTCAATGCTACCGCAGCCTTGTTCGGTTGATGAACATGCGAAGCACCCCTACACTCCTGGTACTAAGCTCAAGTCGGCTCAGTTCAAATGGGACGATGCGCGATTGAGATGTGGCGGCCGTACCGACTTGTCCGAGGGTGCTTGACGGAAGTTGCATCGTTTGGCTCGGAACCATTCGAAGAGCACGTTTGCGGACAGTACATGGCCGCTAGAGCGAGGGTAATCCGTATTTGGAAGAAGATCTTGACACCGGTGACCTGAAGGCACGACTTCGAGTGCAACAAGCGCGCTCCTACTGGGTACCACAAATATCAGTTCGCACAAGCTTGGAGATACGCGGTCAAAGAGCGGCCGCCGGAGTAGTCTGCTGAGTGAAAATGAGAGGACACTGCTTCAAGTCCAACGTGTAGCCTCGCGGATAAAGACGCTGGACTCGGTTAGGCTAGAGAAGCCGAGGCCAGTATACACGTTCAGAAACCCCGACCAAGCACCCTAAGGCCCGCGAAGCCACGCTTGTGACTTTTGCGGCGCCTGAGAAGCTTCAAGTTTCAGTAGATACTGCGCTCTCAGTGGCAGATGATGGTTGTGCGCGAGCAAGTGAGCTTAGGGCCCGCGTACCGCCGCGAGCGCCTTCATGTCGCGCACTCTTTCTTCCTCCCACCATGGCGGCCTATCACGACCCCGAAATGTTTTACGCCCCCCACAAGTCGTGAAGACCGACGACTGACCACCCTCGTTATACGGAACCAGTGAGAAGCGCTTCGTGCAGGGTCTGCATGGTACCTCTTCCTTAGCGCAAGGGCGCTTGCGGGCCCCTTTCCCTGCGGCGCTTTCCTGTCCTGGGCATCCCGGCCCACCCGGTCTGTGTACTGCATGATATCCAATCCAACACGCGTGATGGACTGAGCCTGAGCCTCGCACTGCGCTGTTGTACATATCTGTTCCGCGCATCGCCGGCCGTCGGTGCGGGCACCGCGTAAACTTCAGGACGACCGTGCGGTCCTCGCCCTGGGTAATTGCGGCATCGGCATGCTCAAGCCTCAGATCCTTCTGTCAGATGCACCAGATACATTGCTAGCCGTATCCCGTCGGGCCGTAGCTCGTATGCATCGGAACCGATATCCGTACGCGTGCTCAAGCATGTCTTGTCGCCATCTGGTAGGGTTATTGTGCAGTGTGTTATGTCATTCAATGCCGGGTATCCTGAATACAGTGTCGGGGAATACATTGGGTGTGCCTGCAACTACTGAGTTGAACAGGATGAGATGGTGGTAATGGTGGTGGTACAAATGGTATCTGTGGTATCTGCGATCTTCCTTCACAACATAAACACGACGACGGAACTACGGGATCAAGAGCGGATGACCCTCGTCGCCAACGTCAGAAGCCTCCGAGGCAACCCTCATCCTCCTCGGGTGCAAACGAACTGCGGTGGACCAACGGAGGGCGTCTGGGCGTAGATGAGCGCTTGCGCTCGCGTTCACGCCCACGGCCGCGATGTTCTTGTGCGGATGGAGGATGTGGCAGGAAGTTGAGCGCCGAACCGCTTGGTGGTAAAAGCGAGGCGGCGTCTGGAGGGGTGACGATAGCGTCCGACTCGTCCGACTCCGAGGCAAGGTCGGGGATGAGTGCGGGTACGTTGACAGGGGCATCCAGCGGTTCTGGCTGACATGCGAGTGCCGCATGGGGATGGAAATAGCTGCCAACCACAGCGGGCTCCGCAGCGGGAGTCTGCATGCGCGGGCGTCGGCGGTCAGGACGGGGAGTGTAGATCCTGCCGCCGCGCTCAGGAAGAGCACACTCGTTGCGCGCGACCATGATGGGTTTCCTATCGTATGTATGTGGCGAGTGGGCACGGTGGGTAGTCTACGCGTCTCATGAGGACCCTTGCAAGAACCACAACGACAGAGGGATACTGACGGTCATGTTCGGCGTAGAAGGGAAGTGGACGTGTGCATAGGGCACCGAGGTGGCATTGAACGGGAAAGGACTCGGTGCCGGCGACGCGAGTGTCTCGTCGAACTTGAGACAAGGGCGTACGCTGTGGTAGGAAGTAGACTGGCGAGGAGCGTGATGCATAACGCCGAAGTAGAGAGGATGGTGGCAGATAGCGCAGACTGGATTGTCGGCAGAGAGGGGCAATTAACCCTGCACAGGGTGGTGGCCTTGCCTTATGAACAAGCCCGAGGTCTGAGGGATGAGAAGAAGATCTCGGACGGAAGGCGGGCCAGCGTGGGCATGACTGTCTGATGGTTTTTACAGACCAGCAGCATGCCGCAGCCCACCGGGCCTCCCCGCATCCTGATCGCCCCTTCGCCATGCTGGTGGCGCAGAACTCTACTTTTCCGGTCATAAGCCACCGCCTCGGTGCCTCCGAGATATCGATCCGTCCGCTCCCCGCATTTGACTTGTCTACGGGGATGAAGGCTGCTAAGCTCCGATATGCAGCGTTCTCTCCTGTCGCAGCCCTTGTGACCCGTCCCAGTGTAGCTACGGCCTACAGACCGGCAGTCGCGTACCCCGTTATCTATCCAATACCCATTGAATCTTCCACGCTCAGCGCGCTCAGCTCAGCTTCTTGCCTTCGTGTTGATCCATCAACCTCTACTGCCGCCGGAGGCAACAGGCTCGCTTTCCCGCTGCAAGATGCCCGAAAGCTACTCCACTGGAGTGGCACCCTCGGCTCCCTGGGGTAGGCGCTACGAGGCATGAGATTTGCGGGTCCTTGTTGATCAAGGTTGCCATACACGATTTGCTCTGCAATCGATCTGCCCGATGTTCGTTGAACGCTGTGGAACATCCGCTGCAGGCGGCCCGCGCATGCCCGCACCGCAGAACACAGCTGTACCCGTGATGCGTACATGCACGTCCCGCTCTGTGAGCAGCAAGAGCCGACTTGCATGGATGTTTACCTGTGCAAGGCGGCCGTACAGGCGGTCCCCCCGAACGATGCAGACACGAAGAAACGCAAACTGCGGCGGACGGCAAGATACATGTGCGAAAGATTCCATTGAGATGTGGGAGATGAAAATGTACAATGCGTGTAGAGAAAATGAGAGGGATACGCGGTAGGTGTGCCTACCGCGAGGTGATGTGAATGGTAAATAGTATGGAATGCCGGCAAGATACAGCACGCTCAGCCCCAAGGGTTCGAAAGATAGCTTGGAGGAGCTTTCGTAGCACCGCTGGACGTCGGTATCGTCCAGGGATCGCGATCCGAACTGCTCGTGGCGGTGGACGTGATATCCCCATCGACATCGCCAAAACTAAGTTGAACACCCGACGAAGACGGTGCGCCGAAAGCCGACGTTGCTGCGCCGAACGATGTTGTGCTCGCACCGAAAGGCGAAGCGCCCGTATTGAATGGCGAGCCGAACGACATTCCCGACCTATACGCCGAATCCTTCTCAGGCAAAGGCGGAGGCGCCCAGATAGCAGTGTCTTCTCCGAACGATGGTGGCGGCGCGAAGCCGTTAGAAGGGCCTGCGCGCAAAGAAGACGATGACGTCTCGCCCAACCTTCCCTCGTCCTCGTCCTCCACGGACTCGTCTGCCCTAGATACGTCATTCAAGGACAAAGACCTGGTCATGGGCGTGCTGAGCTTGATGGAGGCATGCTCGTCCGGCTCGTCGATTGATTCTCGTAAGGATAATGTAGGTTCCGGTCTCTCCCGCGTTGGAGTGTGGTCGTCTTCGTCATGAGGTGGCGGCGCAGACTGTGGTCGGGATGAAGATGCCTGCATGGCGGCTGCAAGATCTAGCGGTGCAGGTGGCGGCTCACGTCCTCCGACAGAGGGCGGATGGTCGCTCGGTGCCGCATTGTCGATAATCGCCTTGATCGCCGATATATTGAAGCCAGCATGCGCGGGAGGAAGTTCGGGTGCACCCAAGTCTCCCGCTTCGTCCGCAGTCTTCGGTATGCTCGGACCAGCGGAAGCTGAACCTGCCATGGGAGGAGGCGAAGCGACTTCTCGAGGTGGCAACTCGTCGTCGACCGGGGACTTGACATCACCGTCTTTGGACTTGCGGGGCGGGGGTGTGTACGCGGTCGGAGGTCGGGAGACGCTGCCGGTGCTAGCTCTGCCATTGCCAGATTTGGCGCGACCGAACCAGCCCCGCTTCTTCGGCATCTCCTCGCCTTCGCGGATGACAACTCGCTCGCCTTCAAAGTCGGGTTCCTGTAAGGCAAAACATAGAAGCCGTCAGCACATGTAGAGACCCCAACACCCCGGGGGCTACGATAGAAAGCTTAACTGCAGGTTAAGCTATGCTCACCTCGGGCTCATCGAAGTAATCTGCGGACACCGGGAAGCCGAGTTGATCCAGGATGAGCGGCATGAATGTGCGGTAGGACATGTGTCCGGAGATCTTGTCGGTCACGTCGATGTTCTCCATGCCCGGGACGTTCTCAATAGGACGTAGACCAGCAATGCTATTCAAGCCTGAGCTCGTAGCACGGAAGAGGTAGTTGAGCAGCCAGTCGTTCCTGGCGTAGCAGTTCACAAAGCGGCCCGAGACGACCGAGCGCGCTTGGTACCATGTCTTCTGAGGCGCGGTGACCGTTGTTCCGAGGATGATCACGTCCTGGACGATACCGAACGCCTTCTGTCGGTGTAGTTCCAGGAGACAGTAGAAGATAAGGCGAGATCCGAGGGAGAAGCCTATGAGGGTGATTGGCCGCACACCAAGATGACGCTGGATCAATACGTCGGCGAGCACCGCGCCAGCTGCCTTCGCCCTGTCAAGCGCATTGTTCCAAGGGTTATCGATGAGGTACCCGAGCTTCGTGAGCACTGCACGAAGAAGTCCGCAAGACGATGAGCAAAAGGGTATTGGGGTAAGTGGCGTTTCACGCACGTATAGGCCATTGCAAGGCACTCATCAGAGCGGTCATCACGGTAGCCTGCAGAACCGTCTGCCCCACCTGCGAGAGTACCTCGGATGTAAGGATCTTGAGAGCACTGCCTGTCTCGCGAATCATCTCTGGCTCCCACAGCACGCTGTAAACATCGCCGACTACAGGGTCCAGCACGCTGAAGGGAAGACGAACGTCATCCAGTTCTCCTGTCATGAACCTGCGATAAGCAATCAGCTGCCTGGTACCCTGCACCCACGAACACCCACAACTCACCCTGATACGGTCAAGATAGCGTTTACTCGCTTGTTGTTGTGGAGAGGAAGAACATCGAAGGTGCGGACGCTTTGCACGCGCCGGGCCATGCCGCGACCGCCGATGTTTGCACCCGTTAGGACACCGCCGGTCGTGATGATCGCCGCTCCTGCAGTACCAGTAAGGAAGGCGGAAGTACCGCCGACACCCACTGTTGTCAGAGCGGCTCCGATACCTGCACCGATTACTGGTGCAAGAAGACCGGCGGATAACCCGATGACAAGACCGCCGCCTGCGCAGAGCTCAGATGAGCCCTATGCCGAATGAAACATGTAAGTTGCGCACCAAGTGTTGCGAGGCCCATCATCATGTATCTCCGCTTCCGCGACTTCTTCACATTGCCTTCAATGATCTCCTGCTGTTCCATCTTCTCAACGCCTTCCTGAATCTCCAACGCCTCCGTGACCCGCTGCTCGAACTTCACAACGTCCAACCAGCCAAGACCTAATCGCTTCGCCACTTGCTCCAGTAGAACGCGCGATCGCGCATCGTACACGCTATCGGCGATGAGGATCAGGAAAAGATCGCATAAGACCGTCCACCGGATGTCAAGCGTGACAACCTCGTCTGCAGCGGATAACGTTGTAGACACGCCAGGTATCTGCGCAGCTGTGGTCTCATCCAAGACACGCGCCGTTGTCTGGAATGCAGCTTTAGATGCGGTTGTAGGTGTGGACGGCCCTTCGGTGCCCTCTGACGACTTAGACGGCTCGGCAACGAGAGTGACCTCCGAGATATCGTCGGACAGTGCTGCGATCGCATCCTCTTCTCGTTCATCTTGTTGCCGCTTGGCTTCTGCGGGATCGTATTCTGGGTTTGCGACGGTGTGCGTGGTCATAAGGGCGGGTACGAGGTCTTCTGGGATAACGCCGTGTAGGGAGAGGTTCTGGATCATCTTCTGCTCTGCGTAGTCGTGTGAGCATAGTTCAGGATACGGATGACAAAGCGAATGGGAAGTGATCATGACATGGCATGTGGCAAATGCAATGCAAGTAGTAGCGGTGCATATCGCTCATCCAAAGGATAGAGGTAGAGAGCCGAACGTACCTGGTGTAGCAAGTTCCATGTGGTAGTACAGCCGACCCAAGATCTTCAAACCCCAGAGTTCCAAGTTCTGTATGGCTGGTTTGACGTCCTTGATATCGAGTTTCCGCAGAGCATCGGTCATCTCCTTGATAACGAGCGCGCAGAGACCGACATAGGCGACGCGCTGGGCCTCCGTAAGCAAGTTCTTGGTCTGCTGCATCTGGCTGAGCGGCGTCATGGCCTGGTCCTCGTCGAACAAATATCTCGTGCGCAAATGGACCTCGTCCGCCTCGTCCTCCTCGCGCACGCGTAGCCTGGTATATTCGCTCTCGTTCGCGGCAGCCGTGTTCGCACGCCACTCCTTCCCAAACGCGTCGACGTCCAACACCTCGCCCAGCGCGTTACCGCCACCCTTCGAAATGCCCTCCTTCTTATCCTGCGGCTTATAGTGGTATTTCTTCTGGTCCTCCTCGTCCAGACCGCCCGCGAACTCGTCCTCGCGCACTACAGGCATGTCCTCCCATCCTTCCTCATCGTCCAGATCAAAGAACGCAGCATCCTGAGGGTTCAACTTGGACATCCCCGCCAGAGTTTACCAGAGAAGTTCGTAAAGCAAGACGACCGAAACCCGAAATGAGACCAGACAGAAGGAGACGGCGGTTGGAGGAGAGTGGTGATGGGGCTCGGCGCGTGCGGCTCGGAGAGGCGCCGCTCGGTTAACTCCACGTGGATTTCATGATCACACTCGACGTCTCCGAAGTCGTGCCACAGTACTCGGGAGGCACCCGATACTCGATCGTGATCAGTCCATGACCACATAGAGAAGGATAGACAGGATACAGCTACAGCTAAAAGTACATATCTCGGGTCTCTGCCACACAGCGGATCCTTACTTCCTGGCGGTGATCCGGAGCAATATAACCCTCTGATCTATACCCTCCGAGATCTCCAAGAACTCGTTCGTCGTCTCTGGCTCGGGCTGAAGCTCTTCATGAGCCAGTCTTGACCCACTCACTGTCCGCAGGAACATCTGCAGCAGATCGGGATTTCTGACTGTCAGGGCAAGGTACGCGGTGTTGGTGGACTTGTGTTCGAGCGCCATCTTGAGCGTGGCAACAAGTGCGGGCACGATGTCCGGGTGATAGAGCTGCAGACAGATTTTGAGAAGGGCGCACCATACAGTATGGAGAGTGACATACCACGTCTGCGCCCAGTATCACATCCGGGCCGGCTTCGTCAAGGAAGGTCTTCAGGGAAGGCGCACGGGTTGAATCCAGCGCGTCCATCCAGTCGAGCGGTCGCACAGATAAACGGACATGTTTAGCGGATACATCTGAGTGAGCATTAGTCATCACGGTTTATCCGATCTAAGTAAATGAAGCCACTGACTGCAGGTTAGGCGAACATTATCTGCACAGCGTTCGAGGACCGCGTCGTTGACGTCCGAGAGTACCACTTTCGGCAAGTCATTGTGCTCTTCGTGGCATAGAACCTGAAGGCTACCCGCAACAATTCCCAAGAAGCCTGTCCCGGATCCGAGCTCCAATACGTTGTGGTGACTGATTACCTCTGTAAGAAGGTCCTAACCCGATGAGCCTTCGGCGTGCAGACATTGGGGCGGGCATAGACTGACCAGGATGCGCTATAAGATATCGAGCGAGAACAAAGCTGGCGCGCCAAGTCCTTAGACCGGTGGTACCGCTCTCGATTGTCGTTCTAGACTCGAAGAGGGTAACAGATACGCGTCCGCAGATAGTATTCTCAGGCGGTAGATCACGGCGAGTTGATCTAGGTTCCCAGTAGTGCGTCACATAGGATGGCGGTGGAGCAGATACTAAAGCTGACGCATCGCCTCTTTAATGAATCCGCTTGAGTACAGGATCAGATGAGCGGTCAAAGGGCCTACTGTACGCTGCGCGCCTCGCTCATGGCATCAAACAGTCTGTCGTACAGACGGTCGTCGATAGCAGCATCCTACATGAGAGTCTCACAATGATCACAGAGTGACATTGAGATGCATTCTGTACCTCTTCATCTCCGACATGCTCTTCAAGGTAGCCTATGATCCACTTGAAGAAAGTTTGTTGATACGGGGCAGATGGAGGGTACGTCGCGAGATGCGGGTTCAGAAGGATATTCTCAACCACAAAGCCATGCACCTCCTCAATGGTCAGATCCCTCGGATAGTTGAGCCTAGATACGGGCAGTAGTGCGGAATATCCCCGCAGCAGGTCGAAAAGCGCGTCCGTCGCCATGATCGTCGAGAGCAAAAACCGCAGACGGCGCGGTGAAGAAAGACATGTGACCGTGGTAATGGCAGTTTAACCGTTTCATTTTCGAGCCAGCGCATCGTGCGCTTCGATGCTCTCCTCCGTCTCCCTTGCTCGAAGGTCCACATGCCGCCTGCCTTCGCTGGCCGGTAGCAGTCGCTCGCTGTCCAGCACAGCGCCGACCCACGAACGTTTTAAGGACCCGGCGTCCACTCCCACGGCATTCAAGGAATGGCTTAAGACCTCGCCGGATGCGTCTCGTTACCGCAATGCGAAACGGCCTAAGAACTGGCTTGGGGATACAGTGAGCATTTTTGTTTTCTCGTGCACAGGTATCTGAATTGACATGTGTTCATAGCCATTCCCGCAGAACCCGTCGTTCAAGCCGCCAGTACCGGTGTCAAACGCACTCAAGAACGCCATCTTCGACCAGTTTATGGCCGACCCTCAAGCCAACTCCGTCCGTGCACTTGCTAGCAAGTACCACCTCAGCATCAAGCGTGTCGAGGCCATTCTGAGGCTCAAGGGCTTGGAGCAACATTGGGTAAAGGTGTGTTCACGTTTCTCACTGCCATTCTCGACGCGTCTCCTTTACGCGTCGCACTCTATGATGAGTCAAAAAATCGATTAGTCTTGAAGACATATCCCCATGGTTAAACAATCAAATGCATGGCTTTCTGAACCTCCCTATCCACCTTGTGAATCTTTTTGAACTTCATGCTGATCCCCCTTCGCCAGGTACTTGTTCGATGCTAGCTGGCAACTCTGTCTTATGCTCACTACTTTACCTCTTGGCGTCGTCTCATTTTTAGGAGGTACGTCCTGTTCTATACTCACGTTAGTGATTCGCAGTACTCATATATATCGACAGGGCAAGGCGTTGAAGACTGGCTTCCTGTACAACATGGAGTGGCACCTCGGCGTCAAGGCGGACTTGCGAGAACACCAGAACCATGAAGAATGGGTTCAGTCTCGCCTGAGCGCCGTAGAAGCAGACAAGCTCTATGACCTTCAGGGTGACGAGATGGCTCGCTCCCGCTACGAGCGTATGTTCTTCGAGCCGACGCTTGAAGGCCAGGTCAGTCATCCCGCTACCAACATGTCAGGATCTCGCTCACTGTCAGTATTCTAGGCACCTATCCTTCCGGGCGCTCTCGAGAAAGAGAACAAGCAGAAGGATGTTAGGCGCGCCAAGCGTATGGAGGAGAAATATGACCCTTCCATCCTCGGTCAGCATATCGACCGTGCGGCTCGCCCATCCGTCGTGACGACCAAGTCCGGCACCGCCCCCGGCCGACCAACGTTGAAGTTCGTCGATGTTGGCGCCCGTTGGGTAGATGTCGAGGACCGCAAGAAGCGTGTTCAGGCTGCCGAACGTCGCGCGCTTCTCAGCGCGCAGCGCAGGTTGCCGGGCGAGCATCATCGCGAGGCAATATCTAACGCCGAGAAGAGCGAGCGCGTCAAGGCGGCGCAGCAGTTCAAGAACTCGTACCGGAGTATGCAGGCGAGGGCGGAGGCGCGCTCGTTGAGAGGGAGGCCCGTGCGGTATAACCGTTTTGCGGCGAGGAGGCACGACGCGGTGAAGCGCGCTGTTGCGCAGGCGAAGGCGACTGCGTGATTCTCGAGGGCTTGCGGATGCTTTGTTTAGATTAGATCACTGCTGTTGCTGCATAATGAATCACACCATCTGATATGAAGAGAGTGCCTGTATGCAAGGTCTGGACGTCAGCGCTGCATAGTACCTGTAGGCGTATATGCTCCTGAGAAAGTGATCGACGTAAAGATGATTGGTTCACGCCACTCGCGGCATACGATGCTTGACTCCGACCGCCATCATCTATCGGCTTGCTTGCTCACATACTCTGGCTCGCTTCCTGGAACTGGTGACGATCAGAACGTATGGATACTCCTGCAGTCGACGGTCATGGCGATCTGGAACGCGTGAGCCACTCAGGCGATGGCGAGGTGTCCTCTCCCTCCTGCTCAGAGCGCGCCCGTGGTTTCTATAAAGAAGATCAGGACGAGCTCGACAGCTCGGACTACGAGGACAATGCCGTTGAGGAAGAATCGGATGAAGAAGGCGTAAGGGGGGAAGGGGATGGAATAGAGGCGGAGGAAGACGACGACGAGCCGGGGTCGCAAGTCCCTAGCTCCGAATTCGATGGCGAAGATTCAGAAGAAGAACTCGGCCTTTCCTCCGTTATCGCAAATCCCGAAGACGACTACTTACTGGAGGAAGAAATCCGCGATCCCTCCGTCAGAAAAGTCTCTTGGAAGAGCTTCGTACACCACCTGGCCCGACTGGGATTCCCCGCCTCTTTTCTTCGCCGAGGCCCATATTCACCCCCTTGCGCAGAAGTCTACTTCCGCGTCTTGACATCCTCCGATGGCAAAATACGTTCCAGGCGTCTCATTGTATGCGCAGGATATGAATGGAGCCTGGATCCCGACCCTCAAAACATCGCTATGCTGGCCAAGACCCTTCGATACAGTGTCCCCTCAGATGGAAAAACTCAGCAAGACCAGTCTTTGGATGATGAGACAAGCGAAGAGTCTATCTGGGCGCTCTTTGCGCAGCGATGTTGGCAGGCACGGCGCTCATATGAACTAGTCCACAATTCTCCGCAGACGTTCCTTGGGATATTCAAGTCTCTCGTTGAACCTCAAGTTCGGCTGGATACGATGCAAGTATGCGACTACCTCAACGCTCTCGCGGCTGCCGTGATCAATTCACACTATGACGACGATGAACATGCTCCTCGAAGTTTGATCAAGGAACAGACATACACCGACGTCTACTGCAGCATATGCTGGCGCTTGATAGATCACCTTGACAAGCCTGTTTGTCCCACAACTTCTATTTCTTGTCTTAAGTTAATCACTCCTCCTGTAAAAGGGCATTGTATTCCCCGTTCTCTCCCTGCTTGAGGGAATAGTCAACTACATCTTTGATGTCTATGAGGGCGGCCACTCTCAGCCACAACTATCCCGGCAAGTGAAGGCGGTCGCAGACAAGTTCTGGGATAGACTTTGGGCGAACCGCGCGTACCTTCTCGACGACAAGATCCTTCCCTTTCTATTGTATCGATCGCCAATAATCAACGCAAGCGCCTTGCGAACCATCGTACTTCGGTTCTATGAGAGATATGGACCGGCCACGTTTATGTGAGATTAGGCCCTGCAATGGTTATCATATGCTGATGAGTCTAATGCACCCAATGCATAGTAACACGCCATACTTGATTGGAAATCATGGTTCAGATGCATACTTACCATCTTGCCGCGTCATTCTTCTCTGCTGGATGCACCCAACGGTCGGCACAGACAATTCGCCAGTAATCCATCACGTAGCCTTCAACTTGGCGTTGACACTTTTCCGCGACAAGCGCAGCAGACGCAGTGGTCTCACGGAAACTGACTTTTCGAGGTTCGTCAGCGAAGACATCGTCGGAACCTACGGTGCAGAGGCATTCATGGTACGACTTGCTCAGTCTATTCAAGATGACGAAGCAATCGAACAGCCAAAGGAGACGGCGACGCTGCTCATCACTCTCACCGTTCTCATCCGTCGACCCGAGTTCCGGCCATATTTTGTATCTTCCGAAGTATACGACGCCATATCTTCACTCTTCGAGTCTGCGGCGATTCCTTCGCTCGATATCGATGATCAATGGACGGTCTATTGTGGCATAGTGAGCACCTTGACGTGAGTGTGCTTGTCCGCAACAGTGCGCAAAGAGGACTCATCATTAATGATATCGTCTGATAGAGCAATGCTGCTACACGGGGCAGTCAGACAGGCCGCTAAACCTTTGCTCAAACACAACATCTTCGGGATCATTGCGCGAGCTAGTGTATATTTTCTCAAGGCGCCGAGTAGCGACATCGAACATAGTTCGTGAAGCCCCTCGCCCTTATCATCGAGCTTGTTAACCAGGCCGCATATTGTAGATGCTATCATGAACAACATGCTCGTTGCTTACTGTCGCATTGCCGGAGGTGCACGAGCTCGAGGGAACGAGCATGACGTAGAGCTGCTCAAAAAGATAACGCGTTCAGCCCAACCAGAATGGTATCCGACGATACATGCTCTTCGGCGTATTCCTCTTCAAGAACCATCTGCGAGAGCCAAATACGAGCTCATCCTCGAGGACTGGCTACAACTCGGAAGTGTCCTCGGGTTCAAGGAGGATGTGGAGCGGAGGACTTACGAGAAGAATTCAAAGAGAGCGGCCCAGCTTTGCGCGTGGAAGACATGTGAGTACCACGAGAAGCAACCGCCAGACGCCACTCGATCATGTCTAGGGTGCGCCGAAGCAGTGAGTGAACATCATACAGCACTCGCGATTGTCATTGCTGATTGTGTCGGCCAGCGTTACTGTTCGCGAGAATGCCAACGGAAGTAAGCATAGTTTCTTGCGAAGAGACATAACGAACTGATACTGGATATCAATAGAGACTGGAAATTGGGTGGGCACAGGCAGCGGTGCAAACGTCTGAAGAGTGAACCTCAAGCTCGGAGATGAAGAAGTTGCCGGGATTTATAGGAGCGACGTGTCTTTGGGGATCTTCTCAGAGGACTTGATTATATATTTATCCGTATTGACTTGCCGTATGGCTCTATCAACGAACAACATTCGACGTTGACCCCGTGTGAAAATCTGAAACTGGGTGTCCGGGCCGCGGGTGCGGCGGACAGCGTCTTTTGTCCGAAACCTCGACGACCTCCAGACTACACTTACACACCGGCCTAATCGCTCGCCCTGCTACCGACTCCAAAAATAGTTCTCACGTACCACATTCTACGCACACTATGGCCTGCGGAGACAGGAAAGAGATACATCCCGGCTTTGATTTTGTTTCGTGGCAGACACTCATCGCACATCTCGAACGCCTTCAGTTTCCTACTTGGTTCATCGGAGAGGGGGAGGACGCGCCGGACCTTCTCTCAGAATTACCCATCCGTATAAAGACATCCTCTTCAAGCCCACGGCAACGTTCTTCTGCGCACTGGGTGCTGATCGTGTGCGGTGACTTCGAGTGGGACGTCTCCCCCGACCCCGACAATATCGCGAAACTCGCCGATGCTCTACAGTACAAGGTTCCAATTGACGGAAGCAATTCTGCGTCCTCTGTATCCGGCACACTGGCCAGTACTTCCTTGGAAGCAAACACCTCGAAACCGGAGAAGACGTCGATCCGGACTCTCTTCGATCGGCACAGCCGAGACTATCATCAATCACGTCAATTACTATACAGCAATCCTCGCGCTTTCCTCGACGTGGGGCTGACTATCGTGAAGGAATATGGAATACGCCTCGACAACGTTCAGTTTTGTGACTGGTTGGACATCGTCGGGAATCTATTTCACCCGCTTCCAAGCGATCGAGACGAGGAGACAGCCGTACGGATTCAAAAGGAATTGCCCAAGGAAGAGCTGCTAGAAATATACTCAAGATTGTTGGAACATCTTCACATTCCGGTTCGTGAACCATTGCTCATTGGCTATCTCCGTCTAGCTCACTATCCTGACAGTATGCCACGTATCGCCTGGTAGACATGACGCAGGATCTGATGGCAAAAGCTCGCGAGGATATATCTGTCGAGTTCTCAGAAAAACTAGGGCGGCTCCTGGATGAGCTTTGGCTTAAGCTTTGGTCGTCCCACGAACACTTGACGCGGGACGGGACGGCTATCTTCCTTGTATACCATTCGCGTGTCATCGACGCCTATCAGACTCGATCATCGCTTCTGCACTTATTTCTGCGATATATCCCGATACTTATGGGGTAAGAGCACACTTTGATACCTGTCCTTGTGCGACGTTATTGACTGCATGGCAGCGAGTCGAAGGGGTCGGTGGCTATTTATCACAATCCTGGCGCCCGGCTTGCCACGTGCCGCATCGTTCTCCTATGCTGGATGTATCCAGTACTGGAAGTCATAGAATTACCTGGAGCCGAGCACTTTGCTATGGACTTTGTGCTGAGAATGTTCTCCAAAAGGACACACATCTCCGGCCTCACGCAAAGCGATCTCGACAGATTCGTCAAGGTGGACATACTTGGCAATTACGGAGCCGGCGCGTTCCTCGTACAGCTCGCGCACGCTCTTCTGACACGGTCCACGTACAAAGTTAGGACGGATGAAGCGTACGACCATCAAAAGGAGGTCGTGACGCTATTGACAAGCATGACCGGCATCATCGTACAACCGGAGTTTAGAACATATTACTCATATTCAGGGATACTCGACGCCATTACCTCGGTATTTGACACCGACCGGTACATGCTGTATAGTTCAGACGAGCAATGTTTGCTACGCTATTGCGTTGCCTATGCGTTGAGGTATATCCAGTATCTTCGCCGCGACTACTCAGCTGATGATCTGTTCTTTCCCTCTTTCCCGGGCAGAGAAATACTCCGCACTGTCCCCATCAGTCAAGCGGCGAAGCCACTAGTCCGCTCTTACGGCATTATGTCCTTCCTCGCGCAATCATTCGTCTGCTTCACTCAGGCTGGATCGGACGTCGCAACCGGCAACGGCATCGGTGAGTTTCAAGCTGTGCAGCCTAGTCGCTTGCTGACTTGCTCAGATCTGCTCGTCGAGATCATGGACGTGTATGCAGTGATTGCGAAGGGTGCAAAGGCTAGAGGCAACGTGCGCGATGATAAGCTTATACACATCATCACAACTTCGATTAAGGCGGAATGGTACCCCGCCATCCATGATCTCAAGCGCATCGCGCTTCGGGAGCAACTTTTGGCACCCAAATGCCATCTGCTCCTCGGTAGTTGGCTCGACCTTGGGTCCACTTTAGGGCTACAGGAGAAGGATGAACAAGAGGCGTTTGAAACAGAGATGAGGAGAGTCTCTCAGTTCTGCGCTTGGACGGGGTGCAAGTTCCACGAGGAAAGGCCACCCACGGCAACGAGAGCATGTGGGGGCTGCGGCGAAGTCGTAAGTTAGATTCTGCGCATTGCATCTATCTATGCTAATATTCTGTGAAGCGGTATTGCTCGCGAGAGTGTCAGCAAAAGTAAGATTCCATAGAGACCAGGGCAAAGCAAAGCACTCATACTTTCGATAGGGGTTGGAAGCAGGGGGGTCACAAGCTACGATGCAAACGGCTGAAGAGTGAGCCTCATGCGGCACGGAAGACTTAGGATACCTCCTACGCTCGACGCCTTCCGACCTCACCAGCGGTTTCGTTCAGATGATGACCGTCTTCCTTCGTGCGATGAGCCATGCAATCTCCACTGCTATGGATATTCTCAAGCCGTACACATATTAGCGAACATGTACTCCACACATGACGGGCAAAATGCTCACAAGATTCCGCCGATTGAGGTCCGCCGGCCTTGCGCTCCGTTGCGCTTCTTTCCACGTACCCTCGGATTACACCATGAAGAAGGCCGTGATCAGCCTAATTCTTTGCGATGTGAAAGTTATTAAGACAGATATCAGGGGTATACCCCCTTCTCAATACGTTCGTTACTAACGGAACGGAGCAGTCCAACTTCCTGCGAAGACCACGCCTGCGTCGTGCTTCTAATCTTGGAATGGTCGACGGTCCCTCCGGAGCTGCGGTGGGGCAGAGGCCCTTTGAAACACTAGAAAACATTACGAGTTGTAAGATAGTCGATACATCATATACTAGCCAGACCCCGGGGTCGCTCAGAAGATTCTTGGAAAATCATGCACCAGCGCTGAGTGGCAATATATGCGGGCACAAAGGCGGGCAATTCTGCTCTCCGCGGTCTCCGCGGTACGGCAGGAGAACCTCGGCCGAATCTCTCACCGGTGAGAAAACGTACGTCGACTCTCGGAAGTTCTGATGAGTCAAAAGAGAAAGCAAGGCCCGGCGAGAGAAGGACAGTCGCCTCATCACTATTGACCAAGACCGGTGCCCGGGGCAGAGACCGCATATCCTCCGTTCTCGCAGGCTGCTATGATGAAAGTACTCGGCGCCGTAGAGGTGCGGAGATGGTCCAAGACGACTGCGCAATACTGGCACACTGCCAGCCACAATAATATGCGCGATTGGCAGGCGGCGGCCGGTCTCGGCGGCCCCATTCAGGTTAGGGTTGGTCGGATTCGCGCGCAACGCGCGTGCGGTCAAGCTCGTGTTTGAACCTCGACGACCACGATTGGCTAGGTGAAGCAAAATGGTCATTGGACAACATCCATATGCATACAGTCTATGCATTCTCTCTTGGAACTCGGAGTCATAATTGGTCCTATCGTCATCCAGTATGGTACGTCAAGCACAGCTTCAACCTCTGCCGCTGGCAGGCCGAAGCAAGCTACGTTAACCCTTTCATATTGAGTAGTCACATCTTCACGGAAACCGTCTGCCGACGCGGCAGAACTTCATCATGAGCTTCTCGAACTCACGACGACTCCATGCCTTCTCCCAAGCTCGCCGCGCAAGCTTGCTTTTACGCAACCTACATACAGCCGCTTCGGACAGATGACCGCTCAACGGCTCAACGACACACTGCTCGTTAGGTCACCTAGACTTCCCCACGCTGGAATACTCAAGGTGTTCTCTCCTTCGCGAAGACTTTTAAGGGCTGCACCTCATGCGATCTCCCCAAACCCTCGCCCTCTCATCTTCGCTCGACCGGGCGGAATATGGAGTTCCTTGGGTTCAGCATCTCCTTTCCCTACGCAGTCGCGGTTGCCGTCTGCCTATATGTTGTAGTTCAATTCTTACAAGATCGACGCGTATGTACCGCAACTTGTGTTGGCGGGCGCGACTGACCAGCATATCCTATGCCTTAGCTCCGGGAAATACCAGTCGTTGGATACAGTTTCCCCATCTTGAACTGGATCACAGGCGCTCAATTCATCTTCAACGCTCGTGCACTCATCCAGGAAGGGTACGAGAAGGTGGGTCACTTGTTCATCACTGATCATTCTTCCCCGGCAAACAACTCTGTTTTAGTATCAGTCCGCCGGTCTATTTCGAATTGCGGTTCATGACGGCTGGCTCATAGTCGTGACAAGCCCACAACTGGTCGATCAAGTGTGCCGTGCGCCAGAGGATACGCTTCTCTTCGAGAAGGCCATACAACAGACACTCCAAGTCGATTATACGCTCGGAGTCGAGTCCGTGACTGTGCCGTACCACGTCGACGTTGCGCGCAATGCTCTCACGAGGAACCTGAACGCGCGCTTCGATGACATCTGGGATGAAATTCAGGCGGCTTTTCGAGAGGAGATCGGAGCAGGAGATGGTCAGTGTAGTCCTACGTGTCGGTGTCATAGGTTGACGCTGATTTATCGCTCAGCATGGAAGGAGATACCTGCCGTTACCAAGATCCAGCGTATCGTCAGCCGTGTGAGCAATCGGCTCTTCGTGAATCTGCCCCTATGTATGTGAGCTCGGTGAACCGCAGATGGCGGAGAACATCGGCAACACGAACTGACATTCGAGGATAGGCAGAGACCGCGACTGGATGCAGCTCAATATCGACTATACCATAGATGTCGCGCAAGGGGCGTCAGCTCTGAAAGTCACTCCCGCGCCTTTCAAGCCGTATGCACCTTCCGCTCTTCCGTTTCGGATTGTCGCTAACCTTATGATAGGCTCATTAGCTGGCTACTTACCAAGCTTCGAGCACAGAGACGGCTTGCGAACAAACTCGTCGGCTCTGTAATTCGTGAGCGGCTTCATGATTTCAACGAGGGAAGCGAGAAATGGGAAGACCGACCCGTATGTTATGTCCATTCATTGAGGTTCTCTCCATCTCTGATTCTGCTCGAAGAATGATCTGATCTCGTGGCTCATCGAGGGATGTCCGCCGGAGCTGCGCACGGTATCATCCCTCACGGATCGACTCTTGACTGTCAACTTCGCTGCCATCCATACGTCGTCTATCGTACGTGAAGACTCGTCACTCACAATACCTTAGAAGCTGACTGCCGGTCCCACTATGTAGACATTCTCAAACGCGGTCTATAGGCTGGCTGATAACCCTGAGTGGGCCGAGCCGATGCGCGAGGAAGTTGAACGCGTCGTCGCGACAGACGGCTGGTCGAAGCTCTCACTCTCCAAGATGCATCGCGTCGACAGCTTTATCCGAGAGACACAGCGCGTACAAGCCATCTCGCTGCGTATGTGGCCGTGCTCGTCTTTTCGTCGCCTACTTACTCAGCAATGCTGGTATCAGTTTCTCTCCAGCGTTGGACAATGAAGCCATTCACCTTCTCGAATGGGGTTAAAGTGCCCGCGGGCTACCAGATCACGAGCGCCTCAGAAATGCTGCAGCACGACCCGGCGCATCACGGCGAACACGCAGCGACGTTTGATCCCTGGCGGTGGGCAACCATCCGCGAGAACGAGTCTCAAGCCCTCAAGCACCAGATGGTCGCAACAGCCCCCACGCTACTTCACTTTGGGCACGGCAAGCACGCATGCCCAGGTCGTTTCTTCGCCGCGAACGAGCTGAAGGCTATGCTCGCGCACCTCGTGCTAGAGTATGACGTGCGCTTCAAGGCCGGAGAGAGCAGGCTCCCCAGTATGGAGATTGAGCACAACATTCTCCCGCCACAGATGCACATTGAGATTCGGAAGCGGCAGAAGACAGGTTGATAGCAGCATGAGGCAGTTTACTTTTGTATGATATCTGATGAGGCCGTTGAGGAGCCTTCCGTCGTCATCGGCAATCAATTTTGCGAACATCGTAGCGAGACCCCTGTGAGCTGCATATAAGAGAGGCTCTCAAGGCGAGATGGCCGAGCGGTCTAAGGCGCCAGACTAAGGATCTGGTCCGAAAGGGCGTGGGTTCGAATCCCACTCTCGTCAATATTTTTCCACCTTTTCGGCTTCTCGCACGCTGCGACAATGACGTATCCGCCTGTCGCGACGTTTCGCTGCTATCACGTACAAGCATATGATTTTATGCAAAAGCGACGAGAACAGAGAACAGAGAACCAGGAGCTGAATCTGCGTTACAACCACAGAACATACTAAGGCGAGACGTAGATTGCCATGCCGGAGAGCAGAGTTTGGTCTGAGCCGTGGTCAGCATCACGAAGAACAACTGTCACGACGTCTATGCTCACCAAAGGTCAGGCCGAGAATTCGAACAGGGACGGCCATTTCCCATAGCTGCGTCAAGACAGCTCGACCAGGCCCGTCGAGCCGCCAAACGCCGAGTGTGTTTTCACCTTGCATGAGCATATACATAAACTCCTGACCCTATGGAAGCATGAGCCAGCTACTCATAGCAGGACGCTGGACCTATCGTACTTGGATCTCTGTGACAATGGCCTCGCTTGGACCCAAGCCTGGTACATCATACTGCCGGACCAGTGTGGCATTGTTATTCTCACCGAGGGAGATCTCGTTGATTACATCGCCTAGTGGATCGGAGATGAAGAAAGTGCCAGTCTTGGGAGCGCTGACCGAGTGGCTGTTCCCCACGTTGTTCGGCAGGTCGATAGGCTGAAAGATGGCATGATTTGGACCGGCGGTCATATCGATAACGAGTCCGCCATTCGTACCATCAGATCCGACGTAGACGAGTGTTCCGGGCGACTGCGAGAGGGACGAGGGCATTCCTCCTATGGGTTCGGTGATGTTGGCCTCGAACGGCATGCTCGCAAAGGTGCCATTGTCTGCCAGAGGCCAAACACGCATGTAACCCGGGCTATTGATCAAATCATCTGGTAGTCCCTTTGCGATGGTAATGACGCCGCCCTGGTCCGCTGTAAAGAGTACTTGTGAGGGCGTGCCAGCGGGACCATGAGGAGGATTCGATGTTTGGTTATATGTGGTAATCTCGCCAGAAGCGATGTCCGTCAACTTGCCCTTCTTGTCGACAATGAAGCACCTAGAGATCATCAACGATGAGATACGACAATGTATCCTTATGTTTAGCACGTACTGAACCCTCGCGTTGAGACCGCCGTTCAGTACACACATTCTCGTGCCAGCGTTGTTCCACGCGATTGACTGGGGGAAATCGCCGCCGGAGGGCACAGGTTTTCCGATGGCAGTGATGTTCAACGGATTCGTAGGATCAATGTCGAAGAGCTGTATTGTATTTGAACCCGCGTTGACTACTGCCAGACGGCTGGTAGCCTGATTGACTTGAACGGAGCCTTGTGAGAATAGAGCATCGCGCTCCGAAAGTTGACCCTGAGCGCCGACGCCGTTAGCCGAGATGGCCTTCACATCTGTCTGCGAAAGGTTCGGCGTCAGTAGACCATTAGATCGTGAACATGGCCACCTACCGCAATACCGTCCTCTCCGATCTGTGCAGCTATGACAAAGTTCTCGTCCAGACTGTTCGTGATATCTAGACCGTAATCAGCATCGCGCGTGGCCTCAACCGCGCACGAGGCTTACAGTAAACGGCTCCAAAGGGCTTTGCTAGGTCCAGTGGATCAAGCCTTGGGATTGAAGCAAATGTCGTGGAGGCGAAGAACGCAAGAGAAGCAACGCATGTTGAAGAGAGGCGCATGCCAGGTAAAGAGAATGGCCAGCTAGGCGACGAGGACTTGGAGGTTGCACGTCGGAAGCGGCCACGAAATCCAGTGAACGACTTGGCGCCACTCCGGGCTACTTGAAGCAGTACATCAGACAGGGTACAAGGAGCTGACTTGTGCATCAGTCAGCACAGGTAATACGCCTCTGTGCGACCCTCGGCAGCAGTGACAGAAGGAGTGTGTCCGACTCAACCATATCGGGCGCTACGAGGATGGCCATAGGCACTACGTGGGACAAGAGGTGCAGGGATGAGATGCAGGCTCGACTCGTTCCGGCGGAAGGCGCGGCGCTGGTTGTCGGTTCGGATAGATGAGCGGCCTTCATGCTGTCTTGCATGGTATCTGCACGTTCGAGACAATAAGATACCTGCACCATAAGTCACAGTAGAACGAGTACGCACTTCGCAAGGACGGCACCCTGGTCGGCTGCATCAACTGTAGCGGTACAAGACGTGGCCAAGTAGACTGCGCCCAATGATTGGGTGAAGGTATCGTTCACAACAAGCTCACGTCTGTATGCGCGTAATGGTTTTCCAGGGGGCGTTTGCGCGGGTAGAACGGCCAGGTAGCCCAAGCGATGCTCGGCGCGTCTCACTCGACGGCCAAAGGTTGGGAAAGTCGATGGGATCTAGCTATATGGCATGAAGACTTGTGAGTCACCCCGGACGAGCACAGGCATAACGTATGCAGTGCCAGCCGGAGCTAGATATGTGTCACTCCCGTACGGGCTCGGTTGTTCAATTGAACGTCTGGCAGTACTACAGAGAGGTATTAATCAGCGGCTGTTGGCGGACAAGGCAAAGACTATCCCAGGAGGGTCACAAGGATTCTTGCGCCTGAGTACTCAACAATCATGTGAGGGCAGTGGTCGTACCCTGCGCGAGAAGAATTTGGTTGACGCTGAGATTCGGGCAGAAGGCTAAACGCGTGGAAGTATTGGATGACTGATGGATCTCGTATGTAGGGTCGGTATATTCAGACCACGCTTTCCCGCGACTCCGGGCTTCATTTAGATACAGTTTCTAAGCCTTCAGGTTGACTGGAAGTGGCGGTACAGTGTGATTCCATTTGCGGTACAGTACGAAGCGAACGAGACCGTCATAGTCTTGTCCAAGCCGCGTCATGCAGCCGACCGCGACTTCGGGGGACTTGGCCGGACACGAGACGCGGGTTCGAATCCCGCTGCGACACATCTTAGCGGCCGCGCCTATTTCGAGTACACTGAGGACGATATTGTTGTCTGCTTGTATCTCGTCACGATGCTAGCTTCATACATCCATGATGCATTGTGATAGGCTGATCTGATATAGTGTACAGTAGATGTCTAGTACTGAAAGCATCGTCATTGGCATCCGCATCAGTACGCGAAGCGGAAGTCCAGTCGTTTATTTCCTTCATCCTTAGTCGTGTCGAGATACTGAGCGCGTTCCTGTGCGTTGCCATATGAGCCAACGCATCCGGCGCGCAGCACCAGATAGCCCAAGCTCACCTCCGAAGACATCTTGTCCCAAACGTTCGCTTTCCTCTTGTTGAGCGTGCGATAGAACAACCAGGTCAACGCGTACAACGCCAGATTGGCGCAGTTGACACCGATGAGAACACGGTTCCCCCGTTTGTCTGATAGAGGAGATCGGTGAGTTGAGATTGAAGTGCATATATGCAACATCGAGACTCACATAGAGGCTTGTCGTCGGATTGGTAGATGTTCGCCTGTACATCCAGGGTCAGCAAGAAGAAGCGAAGCAGTGCAAAGGTATACACGCACATAGATGATTGCACCGGCCTGCACAAACATATTGTACACACTAGCCGACACCGTCCGATTCCGTACCGAGTACGAGTTCCGACTTGCCCACGCGACCTGGATCGGATGCACGTACGGGAACCCAACGATGAGCGTCACGACCGCGAAGTACACCCACTGGCTCGTGCCAGAGTTGAACGTGTACAGCGCGATCAGTAGCGGCAGAGTCCATATCTGCGCCGTCACTGTCGCGAGGACGCGACTGTTGATGTGCTCAGATAGATAAGCCGTAGCAACGAGGCCGATACCGCCGACTACGTAGGCAGGGATACTGAGAAGCGCAGCCTGAGTCGTGTTGAACCCGAGTTGGCGAAGCGACAGTGTCAGGTAGACTTGAGGCGTGCCGGACGGAACTGCAGAGCTATCAGCGAGTGCGTACACAGGCAAACCGGAGGGAACGTACTCATATGGGTAAGGCCAAGGATATAGATTGGCCACATGCGCCAGTCTGTTAGTGCCTTCGCGATCGCGAATACGCTCAGACCCTCCCTGTTGTGCATCGAGCTCTTCGTCGGATCGTCCCGTAGAATGCGGTTGACCATGATGATCTCCTCCCTGCGCAGCGCCTCAGAATTGGTATGGATGAGATCGCTACATAGAGTATAAACATACCGCTCTGTGAACCATCCGTTCGGCCTGAACCACGCCTTGGTTTGTGTAGGACCGGGCGGCATCATGAAGAACGAAGCTATGCCAACGGCGCAAGTCAACAGGCCCTGTATGCACGGTCAGTGCAGTCTCACGGCAGCTGATCTAGTGTATCATGTACATACCTCAATAAGGTACACGTATCGCCAGCCAGCATGGCCGCCTACACCGCCGAGCTGGAGAATCGCAACACCTATCAATGATCCGACGGAATGTGACAGGTAGTTCGAGATCCAGAACCAGGCAAGGCGTATGGGGACTGCATACGGCGGTCAGTGTGGTAAAGACGCGCAGGTCATGGGCATACGCACGTTCAGTCTTGGTGTAGTAGTATGAGAGGTAGAGCACGACGTCCGGGATGAACCCGCCCTGCATCGTCCCGAGAAGGTATCTAACAGGGATGTCAATGATGAACCTCTGGCCGCGTCGGAACGGGCTTACCGTGTCACAAGGAAAGACGTGCGTCCGCTCAACCAGAACTGCGAGAACGATACGGTACTCCACAACACGATCCTACAAGCGCGCGTCAGTCCTCTCCACACATTCCAACACGAAAACACTCACTGGCTCGGGATCCAAATATCCGGCCCGACCCTCTTACTAACCAACTGGCTCGGCAACTCCGCAATCAAAAAGCTCAACCTGAACAGCGTATTGCCCAGATTATAATCGTCCGTCGTCATACCCAGATCGTCAAGGAAGTTGTCCGTATTCGCGAGCGAGATGTTGGACCGGTCGAGGTCGAGGCAGAAGAACATGACGAAGGCCCACATCATGATCCTCAAATCAGCCTTGCGCACGATCCGCTTCTCCTCGCTCCATGTCCATCGTGCCAGAGGGTCGAATCTGTGAGCGTTTTCGTATTGTGGCGGTGGGCGGTAGAGGTCGACGAGAGCGGGATCATCAAAGACGCTTGGTTGTGTTGCGATGGCGTCGGGGTCGAGACGTGGGCCGCGGGAGAAGATGCTGCTCTTTGCTTCGACAGGTTCGCCCAGGGGAGGTGCAGCGGGGGACGAGAGGACCGAAGCGTCATCTTTGAGCTTGTTCGTGGATTGCGCCACGCTACGCAATGAGGCTGTCTTGCTATCCGTCATATCTGCCCAATTCGAGTCTTCGAATGAAGCGAAAGAGACAGAGAAAGGGAGGAAAGAGAGAGCCACGAGCGCTCAAGAGGGAAAAGAACCTGGCGAGATAAGAAGGCCGCAAACTTATACCGTCACCACCGCCGGCGCCGGCACACAGAACACACACACGGCGCTGGGATCAGTATACCCGGTATAGACGGTAGCATCAGGATGCGGCGACGATGAGCAGAGCGAAAGGCGGTATGGCGAGCTTTTGGGCGCTTCGCTGTTGGGTGCAATTTCGAAGCGGGATCGCGTGCTGGCTCCCGCGCCACAGCTAAGCCGTCCCTGGTGCCCAATCGGGAAAGGCGTTGCCTGACACAAAGGCTTATCAGTACTGTGGGCCTGTATGTTTGTACATAGACTCACCATTGCAACGAGTCTCCCGCTCGGTCGCCTATATGTCGACAAGTTGGGATCAACGTGTTCCCACGGAGTCCTACTAACCTGATCCAAAGTCCTGACGCTGCCGTACTGTCTTCCAGAGTGCCCTATCAACGCAGTTACAGCCGCTTCAACGGATCAGTGTCAAATCAATAGTAGTGCAGAGGGCGAAAGAATGGCGTATCACTTTCGGACCACTGGCCCGAACCAGTTAGGAACGACCTATCATGCGCGGTGCCGACTGCAAACCGACTGTAACGGAAGGCACTGTACAAAGCACGCTGGGTGCAGCATCCATTCACTTCTACTCTACAAGTCAATCGTCTATCGCCTGGGCACACCACCGCGTCCACGGCCTCTCAACGCGCGACCGGCAGTTCCCGGTGGTGCTTTCGGTCCAGGACCAGACTGCAGAAGTGCCGTCAGCATTCGAGATATCGACAAGGACGAAGAGGATTAGACTGACCTGCTCGCTCTGCGGGTTGCGCACCGTCTCGTCAACGGAGATGATCAAGCACGCAGCCTCAACCGCCGAGCTGATCGCGTTGACCTTGACAAGACTCGGCTCCCAAACGAACGCCTCGAGGTTATCGCGCACGCCCTCCGGTCCATCCACATCCACACCCGCCCACCGCTCACCCTTATCATGCCTCTGCCTCAACCTGTTCAAGATATCGGTCGAGTCCAAGCCAGCGTTGTCGCAGATCTGGCGCGGGATTATCTCGAGCGCTTTCGCGAACGCCAGCTGGACGAGCTGGAGCTTGCCTGGGATCGACAGCGCATGTTTGCGGATGTATGAGGAGAGGTCCATCTCGATGGCGCCGCCGCCGGCGACGACTTCACCGGATTTGACCGCGCGCTTGACGACCATGATCGCGTCGTGCAGGGAGCGCTCGACTTCCTCGATAAACTGGTCCGCACCGCCGCGGAGCAGAAGGGTACACGTCTTGGCCTTGGGGCAGCCCTCGAAGACATTGTACCTCTCCCCACCGACCTGGCGCTCCTCGAACTTCGCGCACGTGCCAAGGTGCTCGCGCTTGATGTCCGAGGTGGTGCTCTGCACGGATCCGCCGACGGCTTGAACGACGCGGCGGAGGTCACCGGCCGTGACACGGCCAGCGCAGAAGATGTCGCGGTCGGAGAACCATTGGGTGGCGAGATCACCGATGGGGAGTTTGGACAGGACGATCTTCGCGCCCGTCGCCTCGATCTCGCGTAACTTGCGGTAAATGATCTCCCATTCGGCGTCCACGATCGCCTGGTAGTCCGCCACGGCATCTACGCGGACTTCGGCGTTGTCCTTCTCCGCTTTCAATTCGAGCTCGACGTTCAGCGAGAGGATGAGAGGGTCGGCGAAGGACTTGGGCTGTTGCTCTGCGCCGGCGTATGTGAAAGTCTTTTTGAAGGCTACGCCTTGGACAAGCTGGGAGTCTTGCATGCCGCCACCCGGGATCTTCTTGACGCCGATGAGCGACTCGTCGAGGTCGTCCTGGTCGAGAGAGGAGACGGCGTCGACGACCATCTTGGAGAAGAAGGGCTTTTCGGAGTGGATCAGTTTGGAAGACATTGATGTCGAGGCACACTTGAGCAGCAAAGAGCGGAATTTTCTGTCACGAGACGTCAGTAGAGTACATAGTATCATTACGGGTGAGCATACTCGGGATCGGAGCGGTCTACTGTGACCTGGATCTCCTTGATGCGGTCGATAGACTAGACGTGCACGCGATCAGTTGTAATACGCGTGAAATGAGAAATACTTGTACTCACGAGCTGGGCAGCCTGGCGGAAGCCCTTCATGATGATATGTGGGCTGACATCCTCCTCGACATACTGCCTAATCTCCTTCAGCAACTGCGCCGCCAGCAGTACCACACTCGTCGTGCCATCACCGACTTCGGCATCTTGCGCGCGAGCAATATCCACAAGAGTACGCGCGGCGGGGTGCACGATGTCGAGCAGCTTGAGGATGGTCGCGCCGTCGTTGGTGATCTGTGCCTGGCCGCGCTCGTTTACAATCAGCTTGTCCATTCCGCGCGGGCCGAGGGTGGATGATAATGTGTCGGCGATCGCGAGGCAGGCGGAGATGTTGGACAGCAGCTGTCCTTTTCCTTGCGAGCTGTCCGTGCCCTCTTTCAAGAGCACGACCGTCGGTTGCTTGATTTTATATTAGTACAGCTACCATATATTCCGAAAGTAGAAGTAATACCATTCCTAATCCGCGCTGCATTTTGAGTAGATGGACGCGAGCAGAAGGCAGACCTCGAGGCGGCGTGCAGTTTCGCCGCAAAGACGACGCGACGCGTCACAGATCAGTGATGGCATCAGTCGCGTCGCGTCCGCGTTTGTTGACTGTCGGTCGCGTCAACGAGCGCGTCTCCCACAACCACCACCATGTCTCAGCCGTTCGCGCCCATGCCGCCGCCGTTCTTCGCCAGCTCTGATGACGAAGAGAACGAGGCCGAGAACCCGGTCGAGCCTGTGAAGCGTCGCTCGGTGTCGCGTGCTTCGGCTGTACCCCTGGCCTCACGCGACAACCAGCCTCTGTTCTTGCCAGATTCCGATAATGAGGACGAGGATATCAAGCCTCCATCATCCCCGGGCGCGGTCGTAGACTTTGAAGAAGACGACGAAATAATGGTCGTGGACGCACCTCCAGCACCAGCACCAGCGCCTACACGTCCCATACGTGCTCCCACGACTGCCCAGAAGTCCTCGACGCGTTCGTCCAGCCCACCACCAGCGAAGAAACGGAAACTCTCGCCGAAATCAGCTTCACCAGACGTAGAAGTCACATCGGCATTTGCCGGCGAGAAGCCGTACAGCGCGTCTTACATCGGCTCGTTCCTCGTCGGAAACGCCTGGAGCACTGTCAAGGGCAAAGGCTACATCAAGCAGGGCGACCCCATCACTCTCGCTCTGGATGAACCCGAACCTCCACGACCCGCTCAGTCATCTGGCAAGGGCAAGAAGGGCGCCGGCGGTAAACAGATGACGCTGGGCGCTGCGTTCAGGGCGAAGCCTACGCCGCCCAAAGCGGCGGGAAAGAACAAGCAGACTGTGGTTCGACTACGCAACCAGAAGGGCTTCGGTGAGTCTCGTAGCCTACATTGCTTCCGTATACGGTGCTGACCCTACGCTATACAGAATTTGGCCGCCTTCCAAACCAAGTCGCAGCCTGGGTTTCGCATCTACTCGAACTCGGCATCGTCGACTTCCGGGGCAGCACGATGATCCAATGTCCAGAAACACTCCACTCCGGCGCGGACCTCGTAATCTCTCTTTCGGTCTTCCTCCTCCCCGCCGCCTTCAAACCTCCCGCGCCCTCAGCCAACGACAACAACGCGCCACGAAACGTGTTCGACGAGTCTTCCGAGACGAGTGTCGAGCAGACGCTGAGAGAGCGTAAAGTGGGCTTGTTGAAGCTGTTCGATCAGATCGGGTTGAAGCCTGTCAGCGGACATGATGCGGCGAAATTGAAGAAACAAGCGGAGGGTGACTTGGACGGGGAGGATCTCATTGCGCTTACTCAGGCGCCGTCGGGGAAGGGTAGCGAAGAAGAAGAAGAGGGTGAAGATCTGGGCGAGGACGAGTTGAACTTGATCTACAAACGGTATGATCATCCCGTTGATACGACTTCCAGATGGGATGCTGACGTGTAAGCAGAGCGCAGGCAAACGACCAGACGATGGCGGAGATGGAACCGCCCGACACGTTCAAGCTTAAACTACGCAGCTACCAGAAGCAAGCTTTATGGTCCGTGTCATCCATTCGCCCATGTAGAGAAAGCGGGCTCTAACGCTCGATACAGTTGGATGCACTCGCTAGAGATGGGCATCCAGTCCGTCCGCGAAGCGACCTCCATGCACCCACTCTGGAACGAGTATCGTTTCCCGACAGAGCCCGTCGACGGCGTCATCGACCTCACAGCCGAAGCGGAACAACGCCCATTCTACTTCAACCCTTACTCCGGCGAACTCAGCCTCACCTTCCCGAAAGCCGAGCGCAAATGCCGAGGCGGCATCCTCGCGTACGTTGGAGCTTTCTCCTCTTCATCTTACTTAACTGACATGTGATGCCTTGCAGCGATGAGATGGGTATGGGCAAGACCATCATGCTTTCTTCCCTCATCCACACTCTACGCGGACCCGACACCGTTCCTCAACCGCCCCCGCCAAAAGCCGGAGCATCAGGCCTTCAGCCGTCCAAACAGCGTCAACAGCGCCTCGACTTCTCCGCAGCCGCAAACTCTACATCAACTAAGAACGCCCTCGGACCCGTGGCGACGCTCATCGTCGCGCCCACGTCGCTCCTCGCTCAATGGGCCGAGGAGCTCGAGCGGTGTTCGGAGCCTGGAAGTGTCGCTGTGACTGTCTGGCACGGGAGCAGCAGACTGGACATCGATGCGCTCGTCGCTGGTGCGGGAAAAGGAGATGGGTCGGAGTGTGTGCCGGTTGTTGTTACGAGCTATGGAGTATTGGCGAGTGAACATGCGAAGGTCGGCAAGACGGGCATCAAGGCGTCGCCGTTGTACAGAAGTACGTGTAGTCCTGCAAACCTCGCTGACGCCGGCGCTGATGGATGTCGTCTATGTAGCGGAATGGCTCCGGGTAGTCCTGGACGAAGCCCACCACACCAAATCCCGCACCTCAAAAGCATCCAAAGCAGTCTGCGCCCTCCGTGCGCGCCGGCGCTGGGCAGTTACCGGAACGCCTATCGTCAACCGACTCGAGGACCTCTACTCGCTGCTCAAGTTCTTGGACTACGCGCCATGGAGCGGATACGCCTTCTTCAGGAGCTTCATCACGCTACCTTTCCTGGCGCATGATCAGAAGGCGATTGAGGTCGTCCAGGTCATACTTGAGAGCGTGCTGCTCAGGAGGGAGAAGACGATGAGAGACGCGGATGGGAAGCGGATTGTCGAGTTGCCCGCGAAGGAGGTAAGCCCGCGTTTATCTTCTTCTTCAGGCGAGTCGCTCACGAAGCTCTTGCAGACGGTCGTCGACGCCCTCACATTCTCACACGCCGAACGCCGCATCTACGACTCAATCTTCAAACAAGCCAAGAGCGACTTCGACAAGCTCGACGCGGGCGGACTCGTCGGGAAGAACTACACGCACATCCTCGCGATGCTCATGCGGCTACGTCGGGCGGTGCTGCATCCCAGCCTCGTCTTGACCGCCGACAGCAAGGATGGAGACGGAAAGAATACCCAGGGCAAGGGGAAGAGCAAGGACGACGGTCGTGTCGATGTGGACGAGATGATCCGCGCTTTCACACGCGGTGAGACCGCGAACGCCTATGCTGAGGGTGTTCTGTCGGGGCTCAGCACGCCTACACAGTCCGCGGAGGGCAGCGGAGAAGAAGACGTAGAAGAATGCGCGATCTGTCTCGACGGGATGGAACGCCCCATGATGTTCCCCGCATGCGCACATAGATGCTGCCGCGATTGCGCCGTCGGATATCTCGCTGCATGCGCGGAGAGAGGCGAGGACGGGCGGTGTCCGACGTGTAATGCTGGGCCTGTTACGGAGCAGGAACTGTTGGAGGTCGTGAAGAGCAGCCAGGGTGCGGATGGAGAGGAGAGGAAGCTTACGCTGCGGAAGAACGACTTCGTGAGCTCGACCAAGTTGGACGCGCTCATCGCGAACCTCCGTACGTCCTTCCTTCGCTCATCATGCGCACATCATGACTAACGCTCAACTTGCTGGTAGGCCGACTGCAAGACCAAGACCCCTGCTTCCGCGCTGTCGTCTTCTCACAATTCACCTCCTTCCTCGATCTCATCGAAGCGGCCCTCGATCGCGAAGGACTTGCAACTTACCGCTTTGACGGCTCGATGGACGTCAAGAAGCGCGCAGCTGCTGTATCAGAGTTCAAAGCGGCGAGTCGCGCGCCGAAGATCATGGTCATCTCGCTCAAGGCTGGTGGTGTCGGACTGAACGTAGGTTCCATCCTCGACGGTGTTGTGAAGGTGCATGATACTGATCGGGCTGTAGTTGACGTGCGCGAACCATGTGTTCATGATGGACTGCTGGTGGAACTCCGCGACGGAGAACCAAGCCATCGACCGTGTTCATCGTATTGGACAAGAGAAGACGGTCTATGTCCGGCACTTCATCGTACGCGGTCTCCATCACCTCCAAATCTTCATCTTCCACTCACACTGCACCGCAGATCGAGGACACGATCGAGGGACGCATCTTGCAGATCCAGAAGCGCAAAACTGCGCTCGTAAAGGAGGCTTTCCGCGGCAAATCGGGTGGAAGCGGCGCGGACCCGGAGAGTGTTGAGAACCTCAAGATCATGTTTGGGAAGGAGGGCGCCGATGATGACGACGAGGCGATGGAAGAGTGAAGACGGTCGCTCTTGATGCTTTCTTGACATGCGCTATCTACGGACGCTCGCTTTCTTGCTTGGCTCTCGTGCTATGGTACTCTCCCACGATACAGTAAATGCTTTGATTTTGCTCGTCGCGATATGATAGTGTACATACTACAGTATATTTGAAGATCGCTCGACGAAACGGTGCCTGCATGTGCACTCCGACTCATATGGTGGTGTCCCGATAGAATGTCTGCTTTACAGATTGTACGTTGAGGAAACGGGATCATGAGCGGGCGGCCTACAACTGAAAGCCCGAGGCCATAGCCGCCACGTGCTTGGTTCGGAATCTCGACATTCGCACGGTGGCTGGAGCCTCGCTCTGCTCTCAGCGTCCATGGTCGCCGGAGCTCAGCTTCTATGTCCAAGTCTGAACCCTTCATGGTGCCCCTCTATGAGGATGATCGACTTGTACACACGGATCTTCAACCTCTTTACTTTGAGGAATGGTCTGCCGCTGACGCGGATTCCCCGATGGACCCAGAGTGGGCCACCCTGGTTCAGCGTTCTTGCGCTCTGGTAGGCTCAGAGGCACGACCAGTGCAGATCAAAATGCGCAAGCCTTTTGATCCCGAGTCTCTAGTCGGTGAACTTCTCGCGCCTTTCGCCCGACTGACTATCTAACTGTGGCGTTAGGTTATGGAGATGCATCTTGCTGACGGAAAGAGTGTATTCGTACGCATCATACCCCCCGCCGTCAATGACACTCTCCTTCATTCATGGACTGTGGGTCGGTTCGCGGCGGAATCGGCCGTTCTAAGGTGGTTCGAACGCATTGCTCCGAAACTACCTGTACCTCGCGTTCTCGCCACAGTTGCAGAGGATGGTATAGCCGTAACGACACTCATGCCAGGGATTGACGCCATGCATGTCTATCCTCTTCTAAGCACTGAAGCAAGAGTAAGCATCTCGATGTTGCTTCTGAGTGTCTTTTACTGACTTGCGGCACAGGAACACTCACTTGTGGCGTGGGCCCAGTTATCTACACAGATCTTCAGGTTGCAAGCTCCGCAACGCTTCGGCTCGCCCTTCTCATTTGATGCATCTAAATTGAAACCTGGCATGCATGTAGGAGTATTACCCGATGCTTGCATCACAGTCGACGACAGCACCGACCTGTATACTTTCTTCAAACGCCTCGCCGACGTCCGTCGGGGTCGCTTACCTACACCTAGCGACCAGAAGACGCAGGATGCGCTGTCAAAACGCGTTGATAAGTTACTCAAGGCCATCCGGCCCATGATCGAGAATCTCACGCGCGAACCCTGGATGCGACGTTTCGTGCTCACTCATTGTGATCTTAGACCCGACAACGTGCTGCTTGCTCCTACATCGGGAGAGCCCGTCGGTATCGTCGATTGGGAGTTCTGCGCATGCCTGCCTTCTATCTTGGCCGCTAAGTATCCTGAATGGATATGCCCTACGATTCTGGTGGATCCGAGATATAGAAATCCGAGGGACGTCTTCCTCACCTATGAGTTCGACTCATGGAGCGAGCAGAAACGGCTGCGCGGCATCTACGAAGACGTACGTGGACCATGTCATGTTCATCATGATCCACCATTGATCATGCGTCTAGGCTGTCAGAAGACTTGATGAGGAGTATTGGAAGTGCCTCATCCAAGGCGCCAAACTACGAGAGGCATACGCATGGTTGGAAACCGCACGCAGAGACCTTGATGGCGTCGGGATGGAGCGTTGGGTTGAGGATGTCTTCGGCGATGCTACTCAGGAAGATGTTCGTACATGATACCTCTTCCGTCGCTACTTCATGTTGTATACCCATCGTTCTCTCACCCATCATGATCGTTGCTGCTGTCTTGTGCCGTTTCATCTTCCGTGTCCAGCAGTGTCCAACAGTATCTCAGTTACAATATCAGAGAGTGTCGAGGAAGGAGTGACATCCTATGAAACAAAGGTCCATAAGTAACACCCAATACTGGCGTACTGTGAGCGTCAATCAATAATAAAGAGTCCCGATCATGCCCATCCCAATCGCCGCCCGCTTCACAGCCCCTCAGCACTTCACAGTGTGCCTATCCAACGTAGGAGCACGTAACGGAAGATGAAGAGGCGGAACAGGAAGTGAGAACCTTGCTCTGTTCGATGTCCAAAATAGCGGCGCCCGACGGGCCAACAGAGCCGGAAGATGATGTGGCGGAAGCGCCGGTGAATGTCACGCTGCCGAAGTTCGCGAACGGCACCAGTCCACCTAGCAACAATAAGAACGAATGCGGCTGTCGGATGGACTATAGACTACTCACCGCCAGATTCAAAGTCCTCGACGATCCACTCTGCATCGAATTGGCAGAGCGAGGGCTGTCCGGTGAAGGTGTGCGAGACGGTCGTGCCCTTGCTGTTGTTCTTGATCGTGGCGGTGCCACCAGTCTTGGACGAAGCCTTGACAGTGACGGTGACGGAATCTCCGGGTGAGAAGCTGATGCCCGAGAAGAAGGTTGCGCCCGCGGGGAACCACTCATACCAAGCTGGGGCCGGCGTGAGTTCAGCTTATCAGACACTGAGGGTAAGGCTCACCATCATACGAGACTGCGCCGTTCTCAACATTAAAGTCAACACCAGTCTGGAGAATGGCGCTGCCGCAGGTATCGCCGTCGATGCCGACCCAGGCGGAGGCGTACGCCGTGCTCTCGCCCGAGGGAGCCTTGGGAGTCGGAACGGTGAACGTGCCGGTAACCGCGGTCCAGGTAGCCTAAGTGGACCGAATTAAGCTATAAGCGCTCGGCAAGACCAGATGATGCAACTGACCGTTGTCTTGCTGAGGACAGCGCCGGCCCAGTTGTTCGAGTACTGGACCTCGGAGATATTCGTAGAGAGCGCCGCAGGACCATCGGACGTAATCCTAGGCTGCGACGAACGGGCTGCGGCGCGGCGCTCTAGACGGCGGGCAAGCCGCTCGGGAGACGAAGGAGCGGCAAATGTGGAGCCGATTAGAAGTGCGATGGCCAGAGTGAGCATCTTTGCGAAGGGGCTGAGAGATTGAGAGGTAGGAAGTAAGTAAGCTCAGAGCGCGGGAGCAACTGGAAGCTGACGCCCCTCACCTACAGGGACAGCCTCTTTATACCTTCATTCTTGATGTAGCACCCTTAAGGTTTACTATAGAGAGAATCTCTACTTGCGCAAGGACCCTAGGAAGGACAACGAGGCGCGAAGGCAGCACAGAGATAACACGGCCTTCCGCGCTCTACGGACGTTAGCTTTGCAGATAGAACGACACAACACATGGAGGCTCAGGTTGAGTTGGGGAATAGTGTCTCTTGATTTCAGCGCCTCGGCTGTAGCTCTGTCGCCAGATGAGATCGAAGCTGCAATATGAATCCATGTTAGGTGGCATCGCCTTATGGAAGGACACAACACGCGTCCTGCAAGCACGAGGTACACCTGTGCGAACCATGAAGTATCTGCGTTGGCATCGCATCGAGACCGCAATGGGCAATCGGTATCACCTTAGTATGGTAGTGTGTTGACCCTCAAGGATGATATCAGCATACAAAGGGCCCACAAATAGCGCGAAAAGATGGTTGACAGATCACCATAGGTGGCGGAGTCTCATGGATACGTAGATAGATTCCAACACTGTACTTGATGCTACAAGATACAGCTTCTCAGCCTTGCGTATAAGTTTGCGGGAGTGGCAGCAGAGGATACAGATGAACCTTATGCTGTACAGGTCGTGATGGAAGCTCACGTCAAGCTAGAATTCGCACCCAAACTGACCAATTTCATCCGGATTCGCACATCATTTGCCACATGTTCAGTACGCGGTCACATGTGCTTCGTAAACCGGAATATGCCGGTTGATTGGTTTGTGGACGCGTTTCATCACGCGGCTATCTTCCACCCCCCATTGATCATTTCTGACGGCCATGTCTACTGAGAGCAACGCTGAAGCCAGCGGCTCAACACTACGTCACTATCGGGAGCGCGCTCTGTCCTCAGCCAGTTTAGCATCTTCAGGCGACGTGGATGATTTGCCAGACGCATCCAGCGCGTCAGCGCGTCCCAAGTTGACGCGCAAACGCTTCAGCGAGTCGCAGGTTGCACGGATGGAGGAGCTCTACAACTTGACCACACATCCGAGTCGTGCAAGACGCGAACAATTGGCCCGAAATATTGACATGTGCGTCTTACCCTGCTATGACGAGGCTTCCCGCTCGCTCACGTGCACCGTCGTACAGGGAAGCTAAACAAGTGACCGTCTGGTTTCAGAACAGGCGCCAGGCAGATCGCAAGGTTGAACGCAACGAGTTTTTTGAGGCAATACCGCTCCCCGACGCAGACGAACGGCCCGACGGTCCACGCAGACGCGTCACTCTGCGTCCGCTACACGCTCATATGAGCTCCACCGCCTCGACTTCGGCATTGAGTCTTGATGCCATTGCCACGCGAGAAGAGAGGAGAACGGCGTACCCGGCCTCCTCAAATATGAACGAGGGGGATGTGCCGCCTGTAGCACGCCCTGGCACGTTGGAATGGGCTTGCGCCCAAGAGCGCGTCGCGCATCGCCTCGGAGAGCGACCGCCTGTGTATGCACGCCCTCGCCGCGTGAACTTCACTGCCACGACTTCTCATCGTGACGCGATGAACGGCGTAGAAGGTGTTGATCCCGAGGAGCAACAACCAGCGCATACGCATACGCATACTGTCGCTCAAGACACAGTTCAGGCAGATCCAGGAGATCAAGATGGAGCTGGGGATACGGACGTGGGGGAGGAGACGGAAGATGAAGCGCATGAGGCTATCACACCTGCCGGTTCACTCCTAGCCGATGCTTTTAAGGCTGCCGGCGTGTATACAGGGAAGGGCAATGGCGAAAAGCCCATGCGGAAGGACGACGACGAGCTCATGAGTGCAGCAGTCGTACTAGCGAGCCTAGGGCGGCACACATAACACTTCTCGTACTGGGATCTGGGGGGACATTCTTTCATTGTTGTACTCGTACAGATGATTCTTCAAGTCATGCGGCGATTCGCCGACGCTACCAGCCTCATGCCTTCCTCTGTCGCTTCCTGAACTCAAGTTGCGCCGGACGCGGCACGATGTTCGCTCCAAACGCGAAACTGGGTGGCCTATTCTCCCCTTCCTTGAATCTCACGTCGTACTCGAGTACGAGATGAGCAAGCATCCCCTTCAATTCGTTGGCAGCGAAGAAGCGGCCAGGGCACGCATGCTTTCCGTGGCCGAAGTGCAGAAGTGTTGCGCCCGTAGCCACCATCTGGTGCTTCAGCGACTCGGAGTCATCCTCGCGGATGTTGGACCAGCGCCAGGGATCAAATTCGGCCGCGTGCTCGCCGTGATGGGATGAGTCGGTCTGCAACATCTCAGCCGCGCTGGCGATCTGGTATCCGGCGGGCACACGCAAGCCGTTTGAAAACGTGAAAGGTTTCATCGTCCAGCGTTGGAGGGAAACTGACGGCGCAACGGTTTCAAGGCGTCAGCTTGAACCTGCGGACGTGGGAATGAGAGAACTCACGCATGCTGATAGCATGTATGCGTTGCGCTTCGCGGATGAAACTATCCACCCGGCGCATCTTGGCCAAAGACAGCTTGGACCATCCTTCGGCCCTCACGACGCGCTCAACCTCCTCGCGCATTGGCTCGGCCCACTCAGGATTAGCCGCCAACCGATAGATCACGTTCAAGAAGGTCTGTGAAGCGATGTAACCAAATCAGATCGGATGTACCACGGCGTGCCCGGTGAAATGCTGCGCACAATAGACGATGTGTGAATCGCCGCAAAGTTGACCACGAGAAGTCGGTTCGTGAGCAAGGGAACCGTGCGCAGGTCCGGGGGGCATGCCTCGATAAGCCATGAGACAAGATCGTTCTGTGAACATCAGTGGGGACTAGGATGAGGAGTATATCGGACAACAGCGCATACAGGACGGTTCTCCCACTTCTCACCGCGGTCCTCGAGGTCCTCAAGACGTTCCGCGATCAATGGTCCTACCAGCTTCCTGGCAAGCTTCCGCTGATGCTCAAGTGTGGTGAACGACCAACTGACGAGCCTATGATGCATCGTCAGGGACCGACGTGCGGACGGTGAAACATGCTCATACCGCTTCAAGGGTGTGGGCGTGATCTTCAGGGCCAAAGCTCCCTTCGCAACGTCTGTCGTGTAGTCGATGTTCAGTTGCATCCACTGACCATTCCTACCTGTATCGAAGATCAGCTCTGACACACTACACAGCTGAGCATGCGGATCAACGTACACAGAGGCAGACCCACAAACAGCCTGTTGCTCACACGGCTCACTATACGCTGAATCGTCTCGACAGCAGGTAGCGTCTTCCAATCTGTGTAGGAACTTAGTGCCGCTCTGCAACCCCGCATGAAGACAAGATGATCACCCTCTCCAGCACTGATTTCCTCGCCGAAGGCCATCTGGATCTCATCCCAGATATCGTCAAATCGTGCGTTGAGGTTGCGTGTGAGCGCATTGCGCACAACATCGACATGGTACGGCACATCCACACTATCCGTTCCTAGCGTATACTCGAGCTGCAGTATCTCCATCACTGCGGCCGCGAAGTCCAATGTGTCATCCGGTGCGCGGCGTACTTCCTCGACCAGCTTTGGATCCGTGACGATGACCAGCCACCCGTCGTGAGATGCGATGCGGAAAGTACCAATATGTTGATACTGTTGCGATATTGTAGATCTCGATCACCGTGTTGTTGAGAAGTTGTACGAGGCAACTGTACCTTCTCGTATCCTTCCTGTATGAGCTTGCGACCTTGGAGAATGTACTGTATGCCCGTATACCAGTTGAGGATGGGAAATGTGTATCCGACGGCGGGGATGCCTCGTAGCTAGAGTTTTTCCTTAGCTTCTGCCCATTGGCATGAATGAAGGCGACGTACGTGTCTGTCGGAATTCAGCTGTATGGTGATGTACAAAGCAATCACACCAACCGCCACGTAGGATAGCGGGATGCTCAGACCGACCAAGATCCAGTCCATGGGTTATGGAGAATGAGCGAGCGTTAGCTAGGGCACACGGCTCGTACGAGCATGTGGATGCAGACTTAAGAGTGTTTGCAACCAGAAAGGAGCCCGAGAAACACGAAGAAAGGTGCGTGGGCCGCTAGATGGTCATCTGCACATGAAGGAGCTCCGGCATGGCGTGGCGTGAGGGTCTCTCTGTGGGAGAGTTTCCTGGTGGACGTGTAGTAGTCGAACGATAGATTCGTCGGGAAAAGCCAGCCAGGCTTGTGAGACATGTACATGCATGTAAAGGATCCCAACGACCCCAATTTTCGGGGGACCTT